TGTGGGTTCCGTTTCGAAAGGTTACGGAAGTGCTAAGCAACCTGAGCTGCAGGTGAGGCGTGTGCTGTCACTCTGCTGTGTACCCTGCAGCAGCGCGAGGCCCGAGGTCCCTGCCGGTCCTGGTCTGTGCAGCGTCTGCTCGGCCTTGATGAGAACCACCGAGCTTCGCTGCGTAACGGTGACGCAGCTGCCGTAGGTTCCAGGCACAGCATCCCTCAGCTTTACTAAAGGACAACGGTGGCTCTTCCGAGTTCCGTTAGAAACCTGTGGGAAGGTGCTGAGACCCCAGCTCTACCCCTGTGGGCACATTTTAAAGCAGCCCTAGCCGCCGCCTTTATCACGTTGCACCTGCAGGGCGCCAGTACATCACAGAAATGAAGCGTTCTTTTCTCCATATTTAACAACAATGAAAGGAGCGCTTCTCGCCTCACAGCTGTCGGTGTGCGCGACAGTGACTGGCTGCCCACCTTCTGCAGCTGCTTCCATGCTGGCGACTCCGTTTTTGACACCGCTTTTGGAATACAGTGCGACCAGGTGCCGCCACCTTAGCGCACAGTCAGTGCAGCTCTGCGACTGGCTCTCCCGTCGCGGTGGTTGAAGGCAGGCCCAGGCTTCTAAAGTTGTATCACTTGGGGGCATTTGAAGAGCTAAGCGTCGGGCTGGGTTTTGGGGTGTTGCTATCTGAGGCAATGTCTCATCGGAAGAGCCACGGATTACTGCACAGCTGGGCTTCCTGGAAGACGTGCCCTTCTACCGGTGGTGTTTCAGATCGACATTATGTAACTTTTTAAACTTAAAAAATGAATCGAATCCTTTTAGGGGAAAAGATGAAGTGTGAGAAATGGGAAGAAAACCAGGGAAGGGTGGAGGTTCACAAAATAAGGGTTAGAGTTTCAGACAGTGGTGAGCATGGTCACCTATGACGACAAACCCCACTGCATCTGGTACCACAGGACCAGACTAAGGGCGGGTCTGCCTGGTGACAAGGAGAGGGGTGCAGCATCCCGGTGACCGCAGGCCAGCGGGGAAGGACAGGACAGGGAGCAGGTCAGCCAAGCAGGAGGGGGTGACACAGCATTTGGAAGAGCTGAGCAAGTGTGTGCGCCCAACAGCCCAGCTGCTGCCACTGCTGCGTTGCTGTCACCATGGCCTCGTCCTGGCTCCAGCGCCCTTGCTCGGATCAGGGCTGGGTCTGCGTAGCCTGCCTGCCTTCAGCGTAGCCGCGCACAGCACACAAGGCGCCGCCTGCTGCCTCGGGGTCACAGCTCTTCCTCCAGTGGCTGCCCCCTGCCCTGAGTTGTCAGGATCCGTGGCTCAGCCCTGGCTTCTCGCCGATGTCACCTCCTGCCACTGTGTCCCATTGCTTCCGTTAAACCTCAGCGCTGTGCCTGCGTGCCCCACAAGTTCATCTCTTCAGTCCTCAGGGCTTAGCTTAAACGTCCCCTCCTCAGGGAGGCCTTTCCTGCCTGCCTCCCAGCTCACCGCGTTAAAATCGCCTGTTTTTGCCAGTCTGCCCCACTGCAGTCAAGCTCAGTGATGCCAGGGACCACAGCCGTCTCATTCCCTGTGTCCCAGGGCCTTTTCCACTTTAATAAATGTGTTGAGTACACGGTCAATGTGACAACCACTGCAGCTCCCCAGTTCGTTATGTCCGACATGGCAGGGACAGACCTTACTACTCCTCCGACTTCTGCCTCTGGGGTCCACTGCCAGGGGACACTTTCCAGGTTTGAGGCATCAGGTGGCCATGCAGAGAGAACCATCTACCACTGATTTGGGGTAGAAACGACACTTGGCTCTATGTGGTTCCCTCCTACACTTTCCTAACCTCCCGTATTCTCTCTCCCCGAGAGACTGTTCAGACGAGTAGACCTGATGGCGAGAATGACCTTCCTCGGTAGGCAGCAAGGTGGCGTCCACTCCAGCAGAAAGCAGGTCCCAGGTTCTGCGATGACTCAAACGTCCGTTCCTTACGTATCTGATTGTTAGCGATCAAGCGTGAGGTCACGGGAAAAGGCTGCACTGACAGTAGCTTTAAAACCCAGCGCAGCCCAGGAACACAACAGCCCCATGAAGCTGACAATTTCACAAACGGCAAATGTTTTAGAAAAAGATTAAAAAAATTTTTGTCTGATGATCGGTGCTCTGAGAATTTCTGTAAAACCACACAGTACAAATGCTTGTTATGTTAAGGTGTTCATGAAGCACCAGCTAAAAATCTGTTGTGGAACTCTTGAGGGGAGGACGTCCGCCTCGTCGAGTGCGTTAAGGCTCTGCTCGCCTCCTCCCCCAGCTTCGCCAGAATTACCACTAAAGGAGCTCAACAGAATTCCTATCACTAAGCACATAAGCCACATGGAGACTGGTGGGAGGGGCGGAGACACGGAATGGGCAGGTCCCACACCGAGTGGCAATTAAGCATCCGGAGTGATCCCACATGGGGAACGGGGGTCCCAGCCCCACTCCGGGCTCCCGAACCCAGGGCATCAGTGCCAGGAAGAGGAGTCCCCATAACATCTGGCTGAAACCAGCAGGGATTGGGTCCAAGAAAGACAAACGGCTTCTAAAGACTGAGGCGCTTCTCTTCAAAGGACCGCGCACACTCACTCACAAACCCACTTGCTCTAAGCTCCAGTGCAGGGGCAGTAGCTTAAAAAGCGCCAGGGACATACTGGGAGGAAATAAACGGACTAACTTCAGGACAAGGGCTGGAGGAGCAGCAGTTGGGGCAACTCCCTCGAGGGACGAAGTGCTGCCAAGCGCCAATGTTGCCCTGTGGAAGTTTCCTCCCACCCAGCCAGCCTGGTGCAGGAAGGCACCAAATCCGAGCTCTCCGTTCACCTGGCTCGTACCACTGGCTCCATCCAGGCGATTCCCTGACACCCCACCCAACTCTCCCACCTGGCTTGTGCTGCAGACCTTCCCCAAATCTCTTAAAGGTCCACAAAACCCAAACAAGCAGCGGCTGGCCTCAGCATGCCCTCGACCTCTCACTAAGCAGCGCCACCAGGGGCAGTCGGCCTCTCCCAGGTGTCTCAAACCCACACAGGCAGCAGCCAATCACAGATCACTGTGGATTTACTCCTAGAGTGCAAGGTTGGTTGCATATCCACAAATCAATCAATTTGGTATGCCACGTAAACAGAATGAAGCAGAAAAATCATGATCACATCAATACATGCAGAAGAAGTATTTGACAAAATCCAGCATCCATTTATGATAAAAGCTCAGCAAAGTGGAGATAGAAAGGACATACCTCAACATAGTAAAGGCCGCATACGACAAACCCACGGCTAACATCATACTCGACAGTGAAAAGCTGAAAGTTTTAAGATCAGGAACTAGACAAAGATGTGCACTTTTACCACTTTTATTCAACATAGTATCAGAAGTCCAGCCACAGCAATCAGGCCAGAAAAGGAAATGAAAGGCATTAACACCGGGAAGGGAGAAGTAAAACTCTCATTATTTTCAGATGACATGATACTATAAGAGAACCCTAAAGATTCCACCAAAAAGTATTATAACTAATGAAACTATTAGAACTCATACAACTCAACACCATAAAAAACCCCAATCTCATTAAAAAATGGGTTGAGGACCTGAATAGACATTTCTCTGAAAAGGACACACAGATGGCCAATAACATGAAAAGATGTTCAACATCACTAGTCATCAGAGAAATGTAAATAAAAACAACAGTGAGCTATCACCTCACACCTGTCAGAATGGCATCATCAATAAATCATCAAACAAGTGTCAGCGAGGCTGTGGAGAAAAGGGAACCATGGTGCACTGTTGGTGGGGCTGCAGATTGGTGCAGCCACTATAGAAAAGTGTGAAGGTTCCTCAAAAAATTAAAAGTAGAACTAATATATGACCCAGCAATTCCACTTCTAGGTATTTATCTGAAGAAATCCAAAACTAATTAAAAAAAATATATATGCATCATCATTTAAATTAGCCAGGATATGGAAGCAACCTAAGTGCGCATCAACAGACGCCTGGATAGAGGATATACATATATACAATGGAGTATTACTCAGCCATAAAAAAGAATGGAATCTTACCATTTGTGACAACGTGGGTGGACCTAGAGGGTATTATGCTGAGTAAAATAAGTCAGAAAAGACAAATACCAAGTGATCTCACTTACATGTGGAATCTAAGAAACAAACAAAAACAAACTCATAGATACAGAGAACAAATAGATGGTGGCCAGATTGGGGGGAGGGGGGGGTTGGGTGAAAAAGGGGAAGGGATTAAGAAGTACAAATTGGTAGTTACAAAACAGTCACAGGGATATAAAGTACAGTATAGAGAATACAGTCAGTAATAGTGTAATAACTGTACCTGGTCAGATGGTTACCACACTAATTGGGGCAGCACTTTGTAAGCTGTATGTCTAGTCACTAGGTTGTACACTTGAAACTAATATATAACACTGAATGTCAACTGTAACTGAAAAATAAAAAATAAAACATTGCACATTACATAGAGTTTTACTAGAAGTAGAAAAAATAAATACACAAAAGGCCTCAAGTTTCTCCACAACTGTAAAACCTCTCTACTAAATAAAAAAATAATCTTGAGAGGGATTCTGAGCAATTTTAATGCTTAGCAACCTCCTTAAAAATGTTAACTACATTCAGTACTATAAAAATAGTTTCTACCACGTAGAATAGATCTAGGGAAGCAATGTAACAGTTACACAAAAACAGACTTTAAACAAGGGAAGAAGGCATCACAAATATTTTTTTTCAATTAGGCCTTAGTTTTAAAAAGACACCGAAGTTCCCGTCTTTATTCACCTGCAAGGAAGGATCTCTACTTAGAGTGAGGTATGAGCTTCATTGAAACATCTAAAGAGGACCGCGTTGGTCACGGCAGGATGTGGACACCGTAATTCTCAAAGGCAGACCAGATGTCCATGACTTCAGCCATCATCATTTCAGACCTGCGGCTGGAACACCGGAGGGGCTGACAGAGACTCGGGCGGCTTTTATAGATGTAAAATATTTTATTTGTAAATGGTGATCTTCTAAATCTGTGTCCACAAATTCCAAAACCCATAACACTCTGTATACTTCAAAAAATTCAATTTCTGCCAACATTAGATACTATTATACAGAACAGAAAACAAAACAAAAACCCGGTAGACAAATACTGGTAGGATGTCAGAATATTGTACAAGAGAAGAAAAATATTCAAGAAACAAATTTCATACAGCTATTTATCAAGAGAAAAATATATACAATTGATTTATTCTGTAAGATAAAAATACATCATGCCATATACATTACAAGTCCAGAACTGCTTCACTGAACATACCGACAGCTTACAGCCCACTTGAATTGTGCACACAAAACTTCATTTTATACTTAGTCTGGGAAGTGTCAGTACCAGAATTTTAAGGACAGAATAAAAAGCTAACCTGGTTCAAAATGCTGATTAAGTTTCTACAAGCAAACACAAAACAGTGTTTTTTATTAAAGAAATGTAAACAAACAGTTCATACAAACACATTTTAAAATTACATCTTCCAAAACCCTATTGCCGGAGTCCTGCAGCTTGCAAGCATAGTCAAGTCTCTCGTTTTTTTTTTTTCTTTTTCAAATTTTTATGTTAAATAGAAGGCGAGGGGGTTAGATCTGGGTTCCTGCTACATGATCCTAGTATGTTTACATGATTCTTTGCGGCTTGAGACAAAGTTCTAATCAAAACTACTTCTGCTGAAGAAAATCCAGCCTCCATTTGGGTGTATTTTTAAGCAGTTATTCACAGTTATCACAAATTGTAAGCACAAAAAAACCTGACTGAAGAAGTAGGGGGGCAACAGTATAATATGAAAAAATTAGTTTAAGTTACCAAAACAGTTAGAAAAGTCGTCGCCGTGGCGTACACTCCGTTCTGTCAGAAGTCAGGCGTATAAAACAACGCAGGACGACCGGACTAGTTCCCAAACCCGCACTCGGGTGGCGTTTGGCTGTTGCAGACTCCCCGCGCGTGCGTGTCACTAGCACAGTTACACTGTGACATCCCTGCGAGCGTTTCACGAGCACCGAGCTGCTGCAGAGCCTGGGAGCATTTGGTCAATAACTATTTTTATACTGTATTTTTTTTTCTCAAAATATTTACATATTTGTACAAAGTAACAGGGTTTGTTAGTTCTGCAGGTAACAGCAGCAGCTTGGCTTTCTTCTAACTTTTATTTAAAAATAGCTTCATTCACTTATTCAATAATAAATACAAAAAGTTTCTCTTATTTTACAGAAATCAAAAACTACAATAAACTGACTCATGGAATCAAGTATTTAAATGTATTTTAGTGCAAGTTATTATCCCTTAGCTCTATCCCTAAGGAAGTCATTTCAGTACATTCCTTGTTCAGTGGTGTCTACTTATTTAAAAAACTTTAAATTAGAGGGCCCGCCCCTTTCTCAGATAAGGCCGTGGCCAGCACTTCGGACACCTCCCTCCCGCTGGTGATCAGTCTTACATTCATAGGAAGGCCCCTGCCCGGGCCGGGGCAGGCATCGGCTCTTTCTCCTTAGTGAGACGAAAACAAAACAAACCCACCCACAAAAAGAAACAAAGAAAAAGGAAACAAAAGTGCTGGACTGTTCTGTAATTCTGCGTAACCTCGAGTCGGCCTCCGGTGCTGCTCGAACCTAAAGGACTGAGGGAATCAGAACTTCCAGAAGCTAGTTTTCAAAAAGTCATAAAAGGAAAACAAAAACATCTTTCTGTCTGCAAAACCCAAATGGCATGTTGAATCGCTTCTTCCTAGGGACAAGCCGCCTGCTGAGACAGCAAGGAATGCATTTCAGTTCATCCACTTCCGGCAGTTGACGGCTCCACAGTGACAGGGGATCTTGTGCTGGTCATCTTCAAAGTCAAACTTATAGTCGTAGCAGAGCTGCCCGCGGCAAAGACACAGAGTGAGACGGGCGGGCAGGGGAGGGGGGAGAGGAGGGGCGCCCTGCCCCCACCTGCCTCTCTCAGCTCCTCGGTTCAGGGAGACCTGTGTGCTGGGGGTTCCCGAGGACCCGGGTGGGGCCATGGGGCCCCTGAGAAGCACAGAAAGCAGCCTGGCAGTGTCCCGCTAAGATCCCAGAGGGACAGGAAATCGGGAGGCACAAGTTTCAGGCAGAGCAGACCCGAGGAAGGGCAGGCTGGCTGGAGAAGGGGCCCTGGTGCGGGTGCTCACTGCACCGGCCTGGCAGGCGGCCATGCTCGGGTGGCCTGCGGTTCCCTAGGCGGCGGTCTCCCGACGGGCTGCCACACAGAGGAATCGCCTCGCCAGCTAACATTGTTTTCCTCCATCTTTCCTCCCTTACAAGTATTTAACTGACTCTCTGTCTAGGGGTTACCGAATTAATGACATCGCCCGCCAACTCTGTTTGCAGGTAGGTGGGAGGCTGCACGGTGCCCATGGTACCAGCCCCTAGGCCCCAGCACTCGCATGTGGAGGCCGGACGGATGCTCTGCAGCCCGAGGAGACATCCTAGGACCCCACTTGCAAAGACTTCCCTTCTGTGCTGAAGAAGGCGGCGCCGCCTTAGTAATGACACTAAGCTACTCGGTTGGCCTATTTGCCGAGTTCCTTGTGAGGAAATCATTTTCCCCCTTTACCACAAAGTGCAGCCGAGGCTCGGAGAAGTTAAGCGACTTCCCGAGGAGTCCTCACATTGGGAGGGCCAGAGGGCCCCATCTGTCCCGAGGCTGCTGTATCCTCGGAGATCACTGGCCCCGGGCTGGGTGCTCATATACTTTCTCTAATGTCAAGTGACTTTGAGAAGTGCAAAATGGGCCTTGGACAATTCCTGATTTACACAGAGGAATTCCAAAAGGAAGACCAAAGAATACAAGCATAAAGCCAAGCTCTGTTCTCAAAAGGCTGGAGCCTCCAGCCCAGACAACACCCTCTGGCCCTCATACGTAAACGGGGCTTCCTACAGAAACCCCCCACTCGGCAGCAGCTTTCCAGCAAGCACGCTTCCAGGTCTAGAAGCTGCCAGGCGTGCGCTGATCACACCTGTGAAAGCCACAGCTGGGTAGGAAACGAGGCCTCTGAGACCGTAACAACCTTAACAGGTGAAATGCTGGGCCAAGGTCATCTGTGAGACCAAAGAAACAAATGTCAAGCCCAGCGTTCAGCATTTTGAAAAAAATAATAGCCAAACAGTTTGAAAATCTGTTGATAATGAAAAAGCTGTAAGCTTTTACTGATCATAAGTGAATATAAGCGATCTGGAACCGTATGGCGCCCCCAGACTTGCTGCTACAGCCTCATGGTGACCCCACTCGACGAGACCTCTATAGGCACAACCCCGATATTCTTCAATCATCAGTTCAATGACTGGCCAAATCTTTAACGAGGGGGATCCTGCCCAACTGACGGGGGAAGAGGAGGAGCCAGAGACAGGAAATGATACCACGAGTGATGGGGGTGGAGTGGGGGGCGGGGAGGGGTGGAGTTTGTAGGACGAAGCGGGAGGTGGAGGAGGTGGTGGACACCCCCAGCGCTGCCGGATAGTGAACCATGACAGGGCCAGTGGGACCTACACGGGACCTTTGCAGCGACAGATAAGGAACTGGAAGCCACCGAGCAGGTTCACGTGTAACCGAGTCACGTGCGCACAGGACACAGGACCCGGACGCGGCAGGCGCACCCTCGCTCTTACCTCTTCTCCCTTCTGGATTCTCCGATTGGAGCTGATGATAATTTTGTGTCCTCTCTCAAAAGTCACCACTTCAGCCACACAGTTAGGGGCACAGGAATGGTTGATATATCTGCAAAACACCATTTCAGAAAACTTTATTATAGAACAACTGAGTATTACATGTCTATTTGCCCATTTAGAGAACAAGAACCCACACATTTTTAAATAAAGCTCCTTTGAAACGTATTTGCCCTGAATTTCTCATCTCTGACCCCTGGAGGTCAGAGTCCCTTTCTCACCTTGCAGGCCCTCCTGTGAGTGTCGCATCGATCACGTGGTCATTGTCCATGCGGAACATGTACACGCCACGGTTCTGAAAGAAAAATCACGGTTCTGAAAGAAGTCACCGTTCCTCCCGCGGTCACATCCACCGCAGGAAGACAAGGTCAGCGGTGAGCCAAGAGGTCCCCTGGTCCCACTTGCTGCCTGCATTACCTGCTCATTCAGCTACAGTTTTACATCCATGCAAATACCACCGACTAAAAAGATAAGACTGGGGGGAAGCGAGGTGGTACACGAGGGTAAAGAGGATCAAATACATGGTGATGGAAGGAGAACTGACTCTGGGTGGTGAACACACAATGTGATATATAGATGATGCATTACAGAACTGTACACCTCAAACCTATGTAACTTTACTAACCATTGTCACCCCAGTAAACTTCAATTAAAAAAAGAAAAACATAAGGCTGATGGAAAAAACAAGAGGAAAATGCAAGAATATCCATATATGGCTTTTGTTCAAAATGGAACCCAGCACGACAGGAAGCTTTGGCCCTGCCTTTTGGGATGTTTGGACAACGTGACACAGGGACAGAGAAAGGGTGGGTGTGGCACGTACCTGAGACTCATAAAGTTTCTCTTTTCTGTTTGCTACTTCATTTCGAATGATGGTCCCAATATATTCAATGACCATGGTGTGCTTCTCAATGTCTCTAGCAGCATACAGGCCCAGTCCCTACAAAAATACAACCACAACAAAAAGTGTGTGTGTCTGAAGAAACACATCCATTCCTTGGACAATAAACCTGCATTCTATTCTCTTACATACAAAGGTCATGCAAAAACCACAAGGTAGACCTCACCAGAACTCAGGTGACCTGTTTCATTGACTATGCTATCATCTGAAACTGACGAGACAACCTCACCACTTAAAGCTGTGCCATCACTGCCTTGTTTCTGTGTCTTATTTACACTCAGCTCTCTTCCCTTCCGTGTAAGAAATACCATGATGAGTGAGATCCCACTGATTGAAGAGGCTAATGGCTCTGGTATTTACCTTGTCCCACCACTATTTCTAAAGAGACTTCACACGACTGGAAACTTAATAAAATAGGAATCAGGCTAACTGTCAGGGATTATTAATAACACTAGAAACAGGTTTTGTATCTGGCTATGAGTTCCTGGAAGTCAGGGCAAAAAGGAGAAACAGGAAAAGCTACTTTGCTCTAATTATCAGGAAACTTGGAAAGAAAGTTCTTGGGAAAGGCAAAATTTTTCCCTAATATAAACTTCTGAGGCCACAAAAGAAATGAACCGGAACCTGAACTGGCAGAAGAACTTTTTCTCTCCTCTGGCAACTCTTGCTGTCTGCGCTAATAAATCACATACTACACGCACCATTTACAATTTTTAGTATTACACATCTGGAAAAACATACTGAAAAAAATATGGATAATTTCCATGAATACTTGTCTGCTCCTGTCCCAGTCTGAGCTCCTGCATTCTCAACTAAAACTGACCCGAAAGCAGTGGGGAAGGAAGACCGTGTGCCAACCGGCATCCCCTCCTTCCGTCCCCACCCTGAAACAGTCCTGATCAGGCTCCGCCTTGGAGCACCTGGGGGGTGGGTGGGGGAGGTCTAGGTTAGAGATTTTGGCATGTGGAGTAAATTATCTTCTGAAAAAAAGTATGTGGTTTATCTGTTAAACTCCACATAATTTATTCCAGATAATTTACAAGGTAAACAGACTAGGATGCAAAGAAGGAATCAGTGTGGAGATAACAGTTTGGTGTAACAGACAAGATCAGTGGGAACAGAGACCCACGTGGACATGAGGACGTGTGCAGCAGTGTGTGGAGGTATCGAAATCCAGGTCAGCGTGCAGGGGCGAGTTACAAAATGCTGCCTCAACAACTGGTTATTCATTGGAAGAAAATAAAATTGTCTTCAACAAAAAATACAATTTCTGGAAAAAAAACAACCTAAGGTACTACTATGCATACAATCTATACTCTTAACCAAAACAGAAGCAACAGAAAATTATCTATGTTTGACTATATAAAAATTAAAACTTTTGTAAGAAAGGAGATACCATATCTCCTGGTAGGCAGATGATGTTTTTAGGGAAAATATCTAATAGTATGAGATCTTACAAAGTGAAAAATGGACAAAGGACATGAATATGCGATTCGCAGAAGAGCAGACCCCAACGGGAAACATGAAAAGTCACTCATTTGTTAGCAGTTTGAAACTTCAATTGCAGTAACATCAGTCTACACTTAGCAGGCTGGCCAAAAAAAAAAAGGAAAAAAAAAATCTAAAAGAGCAATAAGTCCACAAATGGGAGAGCAGGATGAAACGGGCAATCACAGCCTTTTAGGAACGTGGGCTAGGCTGATGACTAATGTGGCGAGTACTTACACTCTGACACGGAATCTGACTTTTGGGAAATAACTCACAGGGCTGAAGCTATGGCTACACAGGGATATTTGTACAAGGTACTGAGAACGACCTTCCAGGGAAAATGCCCGTCAGTAGTGGCTTAATTACAGTTCATGACCATCATGGGCCACCACAGCCATTACAGAGAAAGAAAGAAATAGAGCTGCCTTGGCGGACTTAGAGACGGCACTAGTGAGAAAAGGAAGATGCAGAAACATAAACAGCACGAGCCCATTTTACATGTGAAGTGGCCGTGCACGTGTTGTTAAGACCTAGAAGGAGAGAGAGAGGAAAAAGATGACCCAACAACAGAAGCTCTCAAAACAAGATGACAGGTGAACACAGGTAGTTAAGAAACCATGAAAATGACAGTAAGGGAATAAAACGCAACACTAAAGGACAGGAACAGTCAAGTGAGCTGTTTGGGGACATTTTAAATGGAAAAGGAACTGATTTAGCAGGAGAAAGGCACCCCTGCCCAGGAATGGCAGACAGGCTCCACTCTGGAGGCAACAGCAGAAAGGAAGGCGTTGTATTCCAAGTGCGGAAACGAAACACCAGGGGAAAAGAGGAGGCGCAGAGAGAGCGGAAGTCTCGAGGAAATCAAAAGGCAAGGGCGAGAAGGACGGATGTCAGACAGACGGGATTTCTCTGGCTGCATCTCAGGGGCCGATCAGTAAGGCTGGGCCCCCAAACAAGGCCCCAGGCGGTGCCGAGACGCTAGCCGGGGTCCACAGTGTGAGGGAGACCCTGGTCTTGGGTCCGGTGTTTGTCCATAAGCGCCAACAATCAGAGACGGAGGAATTGCAAAGAATGAACATAACCTTTCTCAGAAGCAGGGCCATGTGGCTCAGGAGGAAAGGGCTCATAAGCGAGGAAAGCAGTAAATAAAAAGGCCTTCATGCCGGCACATTTGTGTAAAACATTATGAATAAGGAGATAAAAAAAATCACCGAGAGAAGAGGAACAAGGCCCCAAGAGGAACAGAATGGGAATGCGCAGACTCGGGGTGTGGGTCAGACTTAGACTCTGAAGGCATCACAATGGCTTCCGCGGGGGGGGGGACGACAACACAGGCCCCCGTGGGAGGGGCGCACCGGTGAGCCAGGGGATTAACTAGCTAACTAGCGCCTGAGAGCTGTTGTGAGAGAACTTCTCAGGGAGAGGAGGGGGAGAGGGAGGCAACAGAGCTCTGTCGCCTGGAGCTGGGGCACTGAAGCCCATCCGGGTCGGAGACAGTGACGCCACTCAGGAACAGGAGGCACCTGGAGGACACTCAGGCTGAGGGACTGAGCCGCAGGCAGAGGGGAGCATTCTAATTCCAAGCAGGGATGCCCGAGGGCACACGCCCAACAGCACTGGGGTCTGCAGTTCTGGAAGCAGAGACTTTTCCGCAGGGTAGGCACCAGGACATGTGTCAGGACTTCACCAAGACAAGGCTTTGCTTCCACCAGGCACCTCCCAGCTCCTCCTGAGGGAGTTCTCACCGAGTCCTCACTTCACAAGGGCCTGAAACACTCTCGTGAACTCCCACAAACCCAGGTGTGCAGAGCAGTGCTGCCCGTGAGTGTTTCACCAACACACACACACACGCGGAGCCCATCGGGAAGGAAGCATCGGCCTGCGCTGTTTGTTTCTAACCGACAAGGCCTCATGCGGCCCCCAAACCCTGACTCTGTCCCCGCAGCCACGGAAAGCCTGTCCCACACCCTGGACGTCAGCATCTTCTGGCAGCTGCCCGCCCGCCCTGCCTGCCCTCAGCCCGGAAGTCTCCCCACCTGAATCCGGGACCGCGCCAGGTACACGTTGGACTTCCATTCCGTCTTCATCTTCCGGTACTGGGACGACTTGGAGTGGACGAACTGCTTGCTGTAGGGGGCGTTCAGCTCGCCAGTGACCGTGCTCTGAAATGACTTGGAGGTGCTGGTGCTGTTCAAGGTGTGAGGCCTGCAGGTGGCGGCGCGGCAACAGGAAGAAACGAAAGGAAAACTGAAGACATCTCTGAATGGGGCCCCAAGGCAGCTCGATTCAAAGTCATACTGACGAGAAGGAACATACATGGAAAGCCGCCTAGCAGAGCCACACACGGGTTCTCTGATGTGGCCGGGCAGACACAGCCAGAGACAGCAGGGTTTGTAAGCAGCAGACAAATCAAGCACAAAAAAGCACTAATACGCCTAGAAACCCTGGGCTGTACTATGTGAAGTTAAAACAAAATACCTTAACACAAACCTCTTGACATGGGCACTCATTTTAGGTTCAGCGCGGGCACAGCCTGTGGGGTTGACGGCCAGAGGAAGCTCCATCAGAGGGTTTCGGCCGTAGCGGAAGGTGTAGTTTTCACACGCCTCAACCCCTGGCAGCTAGAAAGAAGCAGAGACCCAAAGCTCACGCACTTCATCAAGACTACACACAGCAGTCGTTGGGCACAATGTGAGTTTTAGGGAAATAACTTGTCAATGTTTCCAAACTGCTGGTAACAGAACGGTCTTGAACTCACGTGAAGACCAGCCTGCACTCAGAAATTCAGCTGTGAGCAGCAAACTCAGTTTCGAGACAGAGCTCCGTAAAGCTCCCCGAAGAAACAGACTGACCCCCGGAACCACTGCACACCCCCCCCCCCCCCCCCCCCCGTGTAGGCCTGTGGGATGCGGGGCTGAGGACACCAGATCCCAACACCGGGGCTGAACTAATTCACAACCAGTTCGCTCACCGGGGTGAATGCCAATTTTATAGCTTTATTTGGAATCTGAAACTTTAGTTAAACATCATTTATATAGTTTACTTCCTCGATCATTTCTCACTTCTTTCAATTTAACTATGATACGATGAGGCTATCACTCCCAGTGTTCTAGGAGCTCAGGTGATAGCTTAAGGTTTACTTGTAAAATGGTTTATATATTAAAGGTCTTTTCTGGTATAAATTTCTCATGAACATATTTCTCTATAGACATAACAGATGCATATCATTTAGGCAGGGCTCTCTCACAGGAAGCAACTGGGCATATTACTCAGTGGCTTTTGGGGTGTCCTTTGCATCTCCCAAGAAAACTGATCAATGATCTCTTACTCTTGAAAATAATGCCTTAGAATCATGCAAATTTCTAAAAGCATTGTTTGTAGTCTCACTGGCAAACATTCTTGGAATCTTAAAAGATTACAAAGAGGTGTCGGAGAAAACCTAAGTTCTCCTGAAATCCACCTGCCGTCTGGTGACCAACCCTGGGCTGAGGGGAAGACAGTGGCCATAAACACCGCAGTCTGAGGACAGGGCCCACAAACATCCTGAGGTGCAGAAGGGCTTGAAGAAGCAACTGGGAAAGGAGCCCCCCAGCTCACCACGAGACCACAGAGCGGGTGCCCTCCCCCTGGAGGACCGCCTTGTGGAGCAAACGTCAGCGTTTATGAGCGGACCTGGTGACCCGCCAACGTCTCACACTCCTTCAGACAGGAGGTAATCCCCAGGCAACGTCACCACCCCGCGTCACGGACACCACCACACGGGTTACACCGGTCCCGCTAAGGGAGACTGCTATCGGGAGAGCCAGTGGCGCGTCGCGCTCGGGCACTCACTGATTCCGCAATCCGAGCCACCGCGGACACCGTCAAGCCAAACAGGTCTTCTCCTTTCAAATACACCGGGAAAAGCTGGAGCATTTCAGATTTCTTTCTCACACTTGCCACAGGCTCCAAAATTTTATCCCAAACACCTACATACGGGCAAAAAAAAGTTTTCATGACAAACTTGTATTTGCTCAAGAGGAAAGCAGGACGCAGTATTAGAAACAAGAGCAGAAGACGAAGCCCTCACAAGGATGTCCCTGTCCCCAGGGAAAGCCTGAGTGGTGACCTAACAATAACAAGCCTTCTGTCATCTGCTTACAGTTGTTCCTAAGGACTATGAAATTTGGGGGAAATAATGTTATATTAAGACAATTAAACAGTACAAGTGGAAAAGGAAGTTTGAAGTACCTGAAATGTATGCAAGCAATTAATTCATTTTCCTACTGGCCATATAACACATTAGATTTTCAAATGTCCACTTAGTGATATCTCTAGCAATGTCTCTTTCCTCTCAGATTTAAATTAAACTGTGAAACTGGTAACTGCATTGTAATCATTTCTAGAGCATTTTTATACAGTTTTTAAAAAACTGTTAACCTTTAAAAAAAGAGTTCCCAGTACTTTTACATAAATAAAAATGACAATGACAATCTAGACTTAACCCTAGATCAAAACCAAGTGTCTAATTTCTAGCTCTAAATGTGTTTAGTATCTGATGCTCCTAAGATAAGACAATGTACATAATATGCTTTAAAAACAGAGCCTGCCTTCTAGCTGACATTAAGAAGGGGGTCCCCAATGTGAATGACAGGAGACCTGTATCAGCAAATTGTTCTATTTATTTTATCAATGTCTGACTATCTATTCCGACCTACAGGAAGTCTAGCAAGTGCTCAGAAAACTGTTCGGCAAAGAGAGCAAGGTACCATCATACAGAGAAGTAAAGATTTGCATTTGTAAATGAAATCTCCACATGTATTGTTATGAAATATGAGACAAACCTGAGAAAAAACTCGGAAATACAGGCCTAAAACATCCACAGCCTAACACTGGAACAGCTCGCCCTGCGGGGCGGGGCGCACAAAGCGGGCCGTTACCTTTGGGGGACGCGTCACTAAGGACCAGGTCGTCGTGGCCCTGCTCCACGATCCTGATGACGAACACCGGGCGCCCGTCCTTCTCCTCAATGGAGCACAGGTAACGGCAGCGCCGGTTGGCGTAGCGCGTGCTCCAGTACAGCCGACTGGCTTCGTAGCCCACGGGGAACAGCGCTTTCGGGGAGTGGAAGGCCTGCATCTGCTGGGGGAGCAGCTGGCCGATGGCGTGGAAGATGAGGCTGCCCACCCGGAAGGTGTGGTCGCGCTCCCCGCGCTGCACGATGCTGGCGATCTGCCGGACCTCGTCTCGCTGCACGTACACCCTCCTAAAGACCGCGAAGTAGCTCAGCTCGTGCTCGTGGGATCCCTTTGGTCTGTGCATGGGACAAAGCATGGTTTTGTCCTTAAAAAACATGCATTGTGCTTTAATGGCGCAGGTGAAGTGATAAATGTTGGTGCACCGAAATCGGTGACATCCACTGGTGGCACCCATTTTGTGACAGAAAACACATTTCATTTGCAGGCCCCGCCTCAGTGCCAGTTCCACGTTGATTAAGGCACCAGCCTGGGTCTCATAGACCTCTGTGGACCACAGAGCGCAATTCAAGTGGACCCATAGGTCCAGGTCGAGGTTGAGCAGCCTCGCCGGGCCATCTGTCAAGCCGTCTCCTTCCTCGTGACAGAAACAACACTTCCGATAGTCTTTGGGCACAGGATCAGGTTTAAGGGAAGTGCCCAGTTTCTTCAGAAATTCATCTATTTCGTCCTCACAGGGCGGCTTGAAGGTCCCCTTGGGGATTACAATATGAATGCTCCATTTCTTCCATTTCATTCCTCTCCACTTTTTATTTATCGGCCTACAATCTTCAAACGCACCATGGACAGTTCTCAGCCGCGGCTTTAACTTGACCGTGACCTTAAGCTCATCTGGCTTTGCCTCTACTTTGGCTGCTTCGAAAGCAGGAGGGAAAGTTATGGGCGGGGACGCTGGGGGGGAGGCTTTCTCCTGCAGCTGCGGGAGACAGTGCACATCGAACGTGGAGATGTTGGTGCTGTACTGGTGCGAAGCCTTGGAAGGCGTGTCTTTTACAGGTGACTGTGGCAACGAAGGAATGGCCTCCTGGGCAACGAAAAGAAACACGAAGGAGAAGAGTTAACTCCTAAGCTCTAAAGAAGCCAACAGGGAGTGACGGGCGTGTGCCAGGCAGGAGGGGAAAGGGTGGGTGAGCGGAAGTGATGCCAAACATCTAGGGAGTTGGGGGCGAGGGGGAGAGGAGTGGGGCGGGGCGCGAGCTTGCTGCTGAAGTAACAGCTGTGGGTGGGCTCTGCCGGAGCCTTCTCTACGAAGCCACAGCTGCAGACGCATCCTGCTCTCACACCTTCTGGACGCTCCGCTTTCTAACCACAAGAACGCCAGAAAAATCAACGCTGAAGGAGCTAATTTAATTTGCATAAAGCAAGAGTGCTTTTGTTAAACTAAGTCAGAACTTCAAAACATTATCTTCTATGAGCTTATCCCCTCTCTGAAAGTCGGTTCATCTTAGGCTTAATTCATTGGCATAAAAGTGAAAGAAGGGGAAGATGTCCCCTGTCAACAAACAAAATTAACTTCTCTCTGAGGCTGCGCAGTTCTAGCTGAGCTGCTGGAAGAGTTGAGCAGAGAGAGAAGCTGCAGTAGTGTCTCTTTTGGTAGACAGTATCATAAACTAATGCACCCCTAACTGGTTCCCCGCTTCTCATGCACCCCTGTCCACAAGGTATTTGGAAAAGACACACCTCACGTAGAATCCAGAAGCAGGCAGGAATTACACACCAACTTAAGAAACTGGTAAAAACACATTCCTTCTCTCATATAGGCTGACAAATTCTAACTTAAAGTCTGAACTTATTTATAAGGCATATAGCTTGGATTTCATTAAACTGGGTTCTACTGCCTGTTAAAAATACAAGAGTCTCCAGAACATTCTTCCAGGAAAGACACACAAGAGCAATAAACTGGAGAGAGGGGTGACAGGCAGTATTACTGCTTGAGGAAAAAACTTCCTTCAATGCAAGTGATTAAAAATATATCGTCTGCCATATACAGGGCCAACAGACACATGAAAAGATGCTCAACATCGCTAATCATCAGGGAGATGCAAATCAGAACCACAATGAGATGCTACCTCCCACCTGTCAGGATGGCATCATCAGGAAATCAACAGACGACTGAATAAAGATGTGGTACATACACACAAGGGAATATTACTCAGTCATAAAAAAAGAATGAAATCTTGCCATTTGCCACAACATGGATGGACCTAGAGGGTATTATGCTTAGTGAAATGAGTCAGACTGAGAGAGACAAATACCTTATGATCTAACTTATACGTGGAATCTAAAACACAAAATAACCAAACAGAAACAAACTCACATATATAAAGAACAAGCTGATGGTCACCAGGGGAGGGGTTGGGGAGCTGGGTAAGAAAGGTGAAGGGATTAAGCAGCACAAATTTCCAGATATAAAAACAATCATGAGGATGTAAAGTACAGCATAGAGAATATAGTCAGTAATACTGTAATAACTGTGTATGGTGTCAGGTGGGGACTAGACTTATCAGGGGATCACTCTGTAAGTTATATAAATGTCTAGTCACCACGCTGTACACCTGGCAGTAATATAATATTGTTATGTCAACTGTAGATGAAAATTAAATTTTATAAAAGTTAAAAAAAAGAAAGATACAATTGTTCTAGAAAAACAATTGCATCAATACACACTTAGACACACCTACATTACACAAAATCAGGTAAAGTAGATGATTTCCACCATGGTATGAGCAAAATAATTTCTCCCCAGAATACATGAACAGACTTAAGCTGGGTTTATGGCCAGGTTTTCCACTGGGATAAGATGAATAAAAGCACTATTTCATAGTTGTTATTAGTATATTTGTAACTAAAATAAAAGATTTCAGTATTTGTGTTTTATTCAATTCTGAACTTCTAAGGCACAGTAATGCACGTTTGTCCACTCATCGAGTAAGTGATTTAATCTGAAGTGGCCACACGGAGCGGGGGTTGTTATAACCGTGGACTCTCTGCAGAGCTCCACGCGCAGCCCCAGGATGCCAGGAGTCCCTCAGTGTCTGCTGCTGATGAACTGCGACTGACCTTGCTTTCTGAGTTTTTGGCTTGTGCGGTCGACGAATAAAGAATAAAGCAGTTATTACTACAAAAGACAATATCCTTCTCCATTCTATTGGCGCTTTCTCGGAAATCCTGAAAAGCAAAGAGAGAAACGTGTGGGGATCACAACAGGCCCAAGTCAGTGAAAACGAGGTCTCTACATTGTTGGTTTTTTGTCTCATGTTAAAGTGAAAAGGTAACACGTGTCACTTAGTAACACGTTAACAATTTGGCCACAGAGAAATGCGTTCATAGAGCGGACTCCACCAGCCACACTCCACTCGACCTGAAGCCCGCGGCCCTCGTGATGCCCAGCCCACGCCCGCTGTAGCTGTGGGGTTTCAAGCCCAAGCACGTCAAAGGCGCCCACGTGTCCTGTGGAGCCACAGACACGGACCCTCCCGGTGTCGGAGCACAGCAGTGAACGGGACACTGCAGGGGCGTGTGGGTCAGGGAGGACGATCAAGTACCTTGCTCACGCAGGCCAGCTCCCGGCCTGACTTCCGCACGCCGCTCCCGAGAATAACCACTTTGCAGTGGCAACACCACTGCGTCCGCAGCGCCGTGCTTTCTCCAACGGCGTGGCGAGTATCCTTGTAACCAGCGAGACCTGAAGGCAAGCGGCTCGTCAGCGATCCCAGCTCACCAGCAACACCAGGTGCTGATGGTGTAAAACTGCTACGTCAGCAGCTTCTAACACGGCCCATTTCACGGACCTCAGGTTAGTCTTGGTTAATCAATAAGTCTTTTAAGCAGTGCTTACATGTGTGGCACCAGGGTACAAATAAAGGGACACGCCTTTCAGAACAGCTGGGAGCGTGAAAGGAACCCTAGCCACCATGTCCAGCCTCAGTGCAAAGAGGGTCGGGGAAGATACTACTTCTGCTTGAGAGTGAAGACGATACAAAAATGCTTGTGAAAGATGAAGATGCATGTGTACAAGAGTCTTCAGTAAACGTGATTTGGAAAGTTCCAGAGCCAAGACACAAATCAGGGGAGCCCCCCGGATTACGGAAGTACGAGGCCTACGCAGGGTGCACGGTTTGTGTGGGGCGTAAGGCGGGACAAAAGGAGTGACAGACAGTGGGCGGCTGAATTCCAAATCTGACACGGACCTTTTGGTCAGAGTTCAGAGATGAGGGCTGAGAAGCTGCTGGTTCTCGGAGCAGCGTAAGGAGAGGCTGGTGCGGGCAGAGTGGGGAAGGAAGGCTGAGATGCGGCGGACGGGGGTCTGGGGAAGGGCCTCGTTTCTTAGACATGGGGAGGCGTGAGCACATCCCAGGGACCTGGGGGGGACGGTGCAGAGGCAGAACAAGGGGAAAGCAATGGTGGAGGGTGCAGAAGGAAAGGAAAGAACACGAGTAAAGCCTATCTGCAGCGTGTGAAGCAAGCAGCGGTGGGGTGGGAAGTTTGGGGGTGCAGGGGAAGCCTGCTCAGAGAGGGCATTCAAGTACTTCCTGGTTGACATTATCATATCCATCCCAAACCACACCACAGAAGGCAGAACACCCCCGAGGTTAATTTGTCGAAGACTGTTATTCCTTAACAACTCAAGTGAGACTTTATAGACAATAAGCGTGACTTGACCAAGAAGGAATTTGGGGTGAAAACGTCAATGAGCTCACCATTGCTTGTTGGAGGAAATGGGATGTTAGGCGGCTTCAGCCGGTAAGAACTGGCTAATCGGGGAGGGTTTGCAGATGCCGGGGGAGGCCCGCGAAGAAATAAATGCTGTCGATACTCCAAAGCTGGGTTGACCCGGTGGCCACTGAGCAAACCCACAGATGGCATCTCCGGGGCACTGCTAACCTCATAGCTGTTAGGGATCCGGACGTGAAGGAGGTCGGAGAACGCAGCCACGACACTGCTGATGTTCTGGAATACACGTGGAACACGGTTACCCACCAGCGAGCAGCGGGAGCTCACGCACTGTAAGCAAGTCCAGCGACTTTTCAGACTCAAGCATCGCAGGAAAAAACGGTGTTTTAATGGACCAATGCGCAAATAAATCTCCATAAACAGCCTCATACAGGGGTTCCCACTCCCATGAAACATTTGAGAGAGCACTGAACTGCTGCAGGTAACTGGGTGTCTACCAGCTGGGAGCGCACGGCTGCAGGAGCAAGCTAAACCTCATCCGCCTGTACAGCTGGTCAGGAGCTACGGCCACGTGGGCTCTGTCCAACTCCGGACAGAAGCCGGACTCGGTCTCCGAGGACGCAGTGTCACCCCACTGCTAAGCTGCTGACGACCAAAATGTCATACCGTTGGACTGGTGTGGTCGCCAATGAAATGTCTTCAGGGAATTAAGAGTTTTTTAAAGACTCTCAGCAGTTACTGGTGTCTGATAAAAGCAGCTGCCACCTGACTGGTTATACTGCTTCTGTAAAGCTCCTATTGCTAAGAGCTGTTTTCGACCGCTTCATTTTCTGTGTGTCAGGTTATCAAAAGATTTTCCTCTAAAGAGTTCTCTAGAGCATATGTCCTTGAATTAACAAGTGAGACCCTGAATTTCATTTTGCCCTTCTGCCTTGAGTTGATGCTTGCTTACAGTGCTCAAAAGCAGCCTGGGGGTCTGAAGTGACCCTCACTCCCACCCCTAGGCTTTAACCTTCTGTCCTCATGACCCTGCTGTGCTTATTTCATTTCATGGTAAACCACCTGATATGCCTTGAAAAATGGGGACATGGTCCATCATAACCTGGCTAACCCATTCCATCTTTACCTCGGCAGCTGTCGGATGCAGAGTAATCGCCACAGATATAAGACCCGATCTGGGGCCATTTGGGGAAGAACCAAAAGGCGGTGTGAAAAATAAAGTGCCTGGTTCAGTTTTGATGTCATTCCGTCTAGATTCTGAACCTAGAAGGGAAAAACACCGGAGGGAGGGATTTCAGTGTTAGCATTAGTGAGACAGTGGGTTTGAGAAGGGACGGGGCTGGGGACCGTGGGAAGGGACGGGGCTGGCACCTCCTCACCTTTCCCCACAGTGCTGGGCAGAATTGGAATGATGGGCGACGGCACTGGCTCTGGTGGCTCCTCCTTGACCAGGGACAGATCTGGGTATCTGCTCACTTCCACAGCAACCACACTCTCAGGAGAGGATGAGGGAACGAAGCTGTCAGGAGTGTCCCGATCACCACCATGGTCCTGCATCCTGAGAAGGAGAACACGACATGTCAGTAAGAGCCCACCACTCTTACTGGGCTCTCTGGCACCAGCCCAGCCCCATCTACCAGTGTGACCATGAGGATCTCATGGCCAATGAGTCAGCTCAGGGCAAACAGGAAATCTCGTGGAGAAGAAATATGGTAACTCAGGTGGTATGTTTTCTTGTGACCTAAGCTTCGGCGTCTGAGTTTAAAGAGCTGCCCATGAAGGAAGCCGGTCAGACTCCCACAGGGCACGGATGTGGCGGCTTGCAGAGCCCGGGCGGTGTGGCTGCCAAGGAGACAGCGGCACTCCAACAGCAGTCACGCCCGCACAGCACCCCGTGGACCGCACACGCCCAGTCTCAAGATAGCAGAAAACTCTACATTTTTCTTAACTGATAAAGGAGAACCAAAGAAGAGACTCGTCTACCTAAGAAGCTAGTACCCAGACAATTGGGGTTGGAGGGTGAATGCTGTGGGACACCCCCTGGAGCTGATGTGGCCACTCCTCCCCTGGAGGAGACGTGGCCAAGCGAAGGGGACTGTGAGCGGCAGCAGGATGAGGAGACAGAGTCCCCAACGCAGGGCATGCCCGGGGGCCGCCTTCCACCACAGCTCTGGAGTCAGACTTTGGCAACAGGGTACAGGGGAGAAAGGGCCCGGACTCTTAAATCGGGGCGAGTTGCCTCCTCAGGAAAGGGAGAAACGCAGGCTAAAGGTGTCTCATCCCACAGAGGCCAGTCACTGGATTTCCCACGGAAGGCAGGCTAGTTTGATGGTATCCGGGAGCGCCTCTCTGCTAGACCTAAGCAGTCGGGTGGCGACTGCTCCCTAAGGCTCTGAGTGCCCCCAGTCACTTTCTGGGGGCTAAGGAACACAGACGAGGCAGTGACAAAACACTGGGCAGCGCAGTCCTTAAATGCTCATCCACAGAAGAATTCTGACATCTGTGGCTCTGTCTGTTACTTGGGTATCAGCTAACACTTATCAGTCACCCAGTCAACCACATTACTCGCTTTCAAAAGACACAGGTCTCTCACATACTTTGCATGGAGAGTCCCACTGCCTTAATGTCTATTCGATTATTATTTAACTTCCTATGTCATAATAAGATTTCAAAAATTCACAAACTAATTTAATAGTAAGGATGTTTTATACACTTGAAACTCTGAAGAATATCACTCACGTTACCCCCTTAAAATGTTTTTAACATTCTATTCCTACAGACATCATGCTAAATACATACATGTACACATTTTTAAAGATACATAGTAACTGAAAACTGTTTGAGAAAACAGGCATCCTACCGTAACTCTTCCTGATTGTTGTGCGGCGGTGTGGGGAGGGAGGCTGGCACATCCACCGTCTTTGGGCCTTGAGCGATCGCCCTGGCTAACAAGTCGTCTTGTGGTCTGAACGGCAGCTGAAATGGCTTAGGTCCTAGACTTTTGGTCACTGGAAAGCAACGACACAAAGCGGTGAATGCTTCAGTCGAAATCGCTGAGTGAGCAGAACTTTACAATCAGACTGCCTCTCCGGCACCAGCCGGCGAAGGCGCGCCCCTCACAGCATAAAACTTGAGGTCTGCCCATCGTACCTTCATGGCTCACTAACACGCCAGCTTTTCCAGCAAGTTCTTCAGTTGTCGCAAAGCCATTTGCCATCTTCTGACAAGCCAGAGGAGGTGGTGTAGGAGGAAGAGAGGCAGGGGGTGTTGGAGGATTACTTAAATTATTCTGCTGCAGGAGACCAAAAAATTTTCAATTATATGCTACTGAGCAAACACGCCAGGACCCTGCTAAAACTTACTTCTGTGACTTTTTAGCACATGGGATCAAAGCTACTGAAATGCATGTGAGGTGCCTCTTCATTCCCCAATGCACACTGCGAAGGAACCGGTGCACAGGCCACGGAGAGGCGGGGACACACACTCAGGAGGGGACGGTATACACTACCCACATGCTCCCTTTACCCAGCTTGAGGACTCGGCTTGGAAACTAAGAAGCAAATTTTCTTGCTGACTGATTTGATTCTATACAACTCTTTTTGAATTTCATTGTTGCAGCCGTGGAAGAACGGCTTTAAAATTGAACCAATAAATTGCAAAAAGTTCTCAAAATGTCCTTTATTAAATGCTCATTAAGATATGCCCCAGTTCTATAAAAAACTTGAGAATTTGTGGCCCTAACCCTATCACTGCAACTCACGTCCTAGATATCAGAATCGGGATTGTCCAAAATCTCCACAAGAAGCAAAGCAGGAACAGCAGGACTAATACGACGGGATATTCACAAACAAAGCTCCCCTCCAATCATCTCTCCCTGCTTCACCTTTGCCATTTACTGATTGGCTGTTAGGATCTACCAATAATAACATGCAAATCAAGTGCAAGGTGAAACTGCAAATGTGGCAAAGACCTAGGACTTCGCGAAGATGAAGACGTGCTGGAGAATAGCATGCATCAGAAGAGGCGGCCTTTACGAGTTATGACAGGCTCTAACTGAAGAGAAAAGTCCACACCGGGGACCGGTGGAGCACAAGAGAATGATTTTACTGTTAAGGTAAGAGAAGCCCTCAGGAAAACTGATGATACTCTCAAATATTTTTGCAAAAAAAAAAGGTCATTTTACATAAGTCAGACGTGAAATAAAGAATGTCTAATGAGGCGATCATAAAACTTTGTTTAAAAAAAAATACCAAAAATTAAACCTGATTTAGTTTGATATTAATTTAGTAGTCTAAGAATGCACAGTTGCAATTGGTACCTAATTAAGACAAAATAACATTAAAATTTTTTTTTTCATTTCCTTTTTCAGGGTAAATTCCTAACTACATTTTTTATCCTATGTACTCTAAATTTGGATTCGTTTCAAGAGTTAATAAAAATAAAGGTTCTAGGGGAATATTTTCTCTACCATGAAAGTATGTAATAATGGATGTTTTTCCCAATTATTATTTTTACCTATACAAAAATTTCAAATGTTCAAAACACTTCACCCAGTAAAATGTTAAGCTTTTAGCTGAACTACAGTTTAAATGAAACGTGAAGATTAGATGTAAACTAGATGAAAAACAAGCTCTACCCATGCTGACACGGTATCTGACGGGAAGCAAGTTGACACCTTGGCGGAGAAACATACCTTGTAGATCAACTGAGAATAGTAATCCGAAACCCCGTCAAGGGCAGCACTGCCAAAAGCTCCTAGAAGTCGATTCCCACTATTAAATTGGCCACTGCCATAAGGAAGAAAGTGCGCAAAGTTCACTCCAATAATTGGTTCCATTAGAGGGAGCAGAGAGAGCTGCTATTAAAAAACACATTTGAGAGTAATGTACACGGTACACAAAACAGGGCGCTTCTCAACTTTTCTAAGACCTGAGGCAACTTAGTTAAACAAGGCTTGAGAAAAATAAGACAAAAATTTCAAGTATCGAAATGCTGGTGTAAAGTGGGAGGGACGAATGAATCTTCAGAGATATGCTTAAAGCTGTGTTCCTATCTGTCTCGCAGGGACGCTGCCAGGCATCTAACAGGGAAACACATTCCTCATCTTTGCTCAGCAAGAATCAGGGCGTGAATGAAGACCAGGTACCCCCCGTGGCACATGAGAGGCTCTCGCCCCGTCTTTCACAATTACGAGGTGTGAGCACAGAGCTCGCAGTGGGGAGACACAGCCCCCACATTTCTCTGCATCCAGGGATGAGGGATGCGGACGGCCTCTGGTGCTGACACTAAGTGAATGCGGCCCGTCGCCTCCCATGCACCTGTTTTACTTAATTTCCAGTGTCAATAGGATACGGTGCAGCTCTGCAAATAGAAACTCCATGAGTTTCCTTGCTGAGAAGTCTATTCCGGTAACTCTCTCTACTGTAATTAGGCATTGATCGCAGTAAAGAGAAAGTTTCAGTTTAACAGTGTTGAAAAGGCTCGCACATCCTCGAATTTTTAAAGGGGCTACTAGGGAAGGCTCACCTGTTTTAGGTGGGTAAAGGTGTCCGAGGCCGAGTACATAGCTTGTTTCTCCTCTTCATCCTTTCTCCTTTTCTTTGAACGAGGTGCTGCCTTCTCCCCAGTCCTCTGAGTCCGTTTGCTTCTCTGCTTCTTGGTTTCCCCTCCATCTGCTTTGGGCAACTGGCTGTTGCCACATCCAAAAGCACCTTGCGTTTGAGCCCCCAAAGTTTGCTAATGTAAACAGAGAGGTTAAGAAATCAGTGAGCTAGTCACATACTGACCCAGCTCCGTCCTGACACGCATTCCTGGCCTGGGTGCTACAAGTCAACAGGGAAGACGGCGGCATCAAATGTCTGTCTGAACTGTCACCCCTTTTCTCAAATGTTATCCTCACGGGTGGAAATCAGCAAGCCGCCGAGCCTGAGGAAGAGCACAGCCATGCAGTGCAGCCTCCTCCCCTTTGGAGGAGGCACCGCCCACGGGCCTGTCCACACGGCGGTGCCAGGCGCAGACCACAGAGCCTCCTTCCCGCCGGGAGGAAGGGCTCTTAGCCAGATGGCTGCGTGGCTACCGCACAGTGGTCTCACTGGGTCCCCCTGAGGAATGGGTGAAATACGAAGTCTGCAGAGACAACTGACAGTCTTCAGAAAAGCTTTGCAGCCTGTGCATCTTAGCTGAGAGAACAGAGAGCCTCAGAGATCAATAAACCACTGACATCGGTCAAAGTCGCTCACACTCATACATCTGACTGAATAATAATTGCTATCTACTTAAAGTCAATGAAAGAGGACCTAGATACAAAAGCAGATACATCTTTGTTTACTTTGTAATTAAGTGAGAATGAACCTCAAAGGGGTTTTTCAGGGTAGTGCAACCAACACCTACAGATACAGGACTGTTTTCAGGGCCATTGTTTCTGAGCTTGATAGCTGCACTTTGCTCAAGGCAGCTATAGCTGCTGAGCTTATTTTCATGAATTCTGCATTTAATCTTTGAGGGTTCTGGAGATTATAGTTTCCAATTGTACTCTAAATAGCTTAGAGCATAGACAGAAAACTTTTTCTATAAAGGGCCAAGAGCTAAACGTCTTAGCTCATACCAAGAGGGGAGGACGGGAAGCAGGCCCCCACTGCCCGTCCGGGTTAGAGCCACGGTTCTCCCAGGGCAGGCCCCATGCGGCAGAGCGGGCATCACCGGGACCGGTTAGAAACACACTTCGCTGGTGTCCCCAGACCCAGCGAATCAGAGGCCTGCGAGTGAGACCCTCTAGGCCAGCGGTTCTCAACCTGTGGGTCGCGTCCCCTTTGGGGGTCGAACGACCCTTTCACAGGGGTCGCCTAAGACCATCGGAAAACAAAAAGATACGATTCATAACAGTAGCAAAATTACAGTTATAGAGTAGCAATGAAAATAATTTTATGGTTGGGGGTCACCACAACATGAGGGACTGTATTAAAGGGTCACAGCATTAGGAAGGTTGAGAACAGCTGCTCTAGGCGATTCTGACACACTCCAGTTTAGAGAATCACAAGCCTAAAGCTGTCCTCTCCGTCTTCATATGCCTACCAGTCACCTAGAATCTTGTCAAAAACGCATTCTGATTGGTAGGTGTGTGGGGGACATGAGACTGCATTTCTTAACATGCTCCCAGGTAAGGTCACGCTGCTGCTCCCCAGGACTGCAGGCTGAGCGGCAAAGCCCTTAGGAGACTGACAGTGCAGAAGCGTACATGAGCGCGCATGGGCCAGGCACCTTCGGTGCTTTACAGGCGTCACCTCAATTCCTCACAATTACCCTAAAAAACCAGATGTTACTCCGTTTCAAAGAATACTTTCAATTCTAGAAGAGCGCAAAAGATTCAAAGTCATTGGAAAGTCTGCCTGAGGTAAAAAGAGTTAACATTTTAATGTACCTGTTTTTGATCTTTTAACTGTGTCTACACTGAAACATTGAACAATGGTGGCACTTGGCTTCGGTTTGTTTTGGTGGCTGCTTTTTAAACGTGACCTGTGGTTGTTCTCCAGGACATTAAACATTCTTAGATAGCATAAATGTTAATGGCTGCCCCCCAAAATCTGTGCATCATTCAGATTTACACTATTGAAATAATTTAATCAAGTAGCTACTGTAGTTGTTTGGGGTGTGTCCTTTCTCTCACGTTTTCTCTATTATGGAGACAGGACATCAGCTCTCCATGGAGCTACTGCTTCACACTTTTCTGAGTTTTACACTCCTAAGGCCAGGAGCCTACACATGCAGTTGATGGGTCAAAGCTGAAAGGCGTGCCTTTTACGAAATGGCCAGTGTGCTTTAACTCCTTTAAACCTGTGGCAACCCCACAGGACGGGCACTATTACTGACCCTGTTTTACAATGAGGAGGCCGAGGTACAGAGAGGCTGCCCACCTGGGCCACTGAGCTGCCTAAGTGACGAAACGTGGTTGTAGCGCAAGCTGAGTGGGGCGACCTGTCAGCGTTTCCAAGAAGACTAGACTGCTCCGCTACAACGAGGACGACGCTCTTCTCCTAATCCCAATGTCTGTGGGAGAAACAGGCTCGGCGTGGAGAAAAACTGGGTCTATCCAACCACAGGCACACCAACTGTGCCTTATGTGTGATTCGGCAGTAAATGGATTTCATCCTTTGTGAAACGGGGAGAAACAGTTGTACCTGCACATGATTAAATGGTATCTTAGGACGAGTGCTCAGTACAGCCTAACGCCTGGAATGTGCTAATACAGCGTCCCTGCCCGCTGCCGCCCTCCCAAATGGACATCAGGATGTGTGACAGAGTCCAAACATTTACACATCGGCAACTCATCTCATCCCTGTCTCTCTCGTAACACCCTCTGTGCGTTTTTACGTATAATCACCAGTATAAGGACTTAACTTCCGTTCAATATGCTGAGTACTGACTGCGCTAAGCACTGTTTGAGACACTGAGAGGAAAGTGCTCAGGACGCAGCCCACGCCCTTCGGGGCACTGTCTAAGACAGGTGGTGGCACAGAAGCTGCTGTGCGAGCACAGGGGCATGACACATATTTGACATGGGCTGAGCTGAGACGGGACCCTGGAGAAGTTGGTTCCAGAGCTGAGCTTCAAAAGATCAAGACATTGGCCGGATGTAAAAAAGGAGGGAAGGCAGAGCAGGCAGAAACAGCAGCATGGGACCGTCCACGGGAGGGCAACATCAGAAAGAGGTTCAAGGGGTTGAGAGTCCCCAGGGGAATTTGTCACCATTTCCAGGGGGCAACACATGCCATGGAGAAAGTGGCAGCAGCTGGACATATCTGCTGGTGACAAACACGACTGCAAGTATTACCATTAAAATTTATAAAAATCACATCCATCTATCGGGTCAACACTCAGCCTCTACTGAACGGTCAAACACAAATAAGAGAAAACAAAGAGTAAGCCAACACTTGTAAAAAGAGCAGCTACAGTAACAACGCTAAAACTGAAAATTTGGACAACTAAATAATACCGCTCCCCACCATGCCACTAAAATATGACAATTATGAAACCCGTCTGAGAAGCCCTGTAGGGAGCCCGCATGAAGACACGAGGAAGGCACTGCTGCTTCCACGAGGTAAAGAAGGGAGAGGCTGTTGCCTCTGGCCCCGGGACCCCAGTTTGGGAAACGTCTCAGGCAGCTCACTGAAATGGGGGGTGGCCTCTTGGAAAGGCGTATTTACAAGGAAGCCCTTCGTGCACAAAGCAAAACCAATGTTTTATAACTTAAGAAGAGCAAACTATTGATACACGAAAAACCACAGATAAAACAGCGCCTCCGCGGGAAGGCTGTGTGTGCGACATTAAGTAATGCTTCGCTGGACACCACGGACTCCCACTGAGTGACCCCTGGGAGCCCCACAGGGCACATTTCTTCAGTAAAAATACAGACATTGTACTTCTTACCTTTTGTTCGATCCACTCAATGTGGTAAGGCGCACGTTACATATGAAATGCATTATAATGACTTTGATTTTTGAAAAATATAGTAAACAAATTATGGCTTAACATAGTTTACGTAAGTCAACACATGGAATCCATGGAGCCTCAAACAACAAAATAAAAAGTGGTCCTTTGGAGTAAAAAGGCTGCAAAACAGCATTGGAATTGATCTAGCGGTTGATACTAACCTGCTGTGACCATAATTTAAAACAAAAGGGGAGAAGTGACATAGTTTTCCTGTCACACTCACCAGTCCTTCAGCTGGGGGCTGCCTCTCGGCGGCTCTGCTGTCCTTTGTCCAGTCGCCTTCTGAGCCCAAAGGGCCTTCCGGTTTCTGGGCTAAAAGGGCCGCCGCCTTCTTGTTTTTCAGCAGGTGCTTCAGAAGCTCGTTGCCGGAGTCCCCTTTGGCGGCAGGGGCCCCAGCGGGATGGGGAGGGCTCTGCCCCGAGGACACGGGACCAGCCCCAGCGTCTTCTGCGGCCTTGTTCCCCGTGTGTCCCTCTAACTGAGGCCCCTCTTGGCCAGGGCCCTGCTCGGGACCGGCCGTCTCCAGCTGGGCCTCGTCGGCGGTGGCCGGGGTCTCCGAGGGCAGCCTGTCCACGTCTGCTCTGGCAAGAGTCTGCTGGGGAGCAGCTCCTTGCGAGAACTCGGTGTCCGGCACTTTGTTTTCTAGTTCTGTGCACAGCTGGGCTGTGGCCGCGCCGGGAGCTGCCGGCCCGGCCGGTTCCCCCGACTCGGGCTCCACTTGCTGGGGAGGCTCGCTGGGAGTGTGCCCTGGGGGAGTGGAGGTAGTTTCTGAGACACTCGGAGTCGGGGGGGCAGTTATATCCGAGTGGGGAGTGGACGGTGCCTTGGTGGATTCTGCATCTTCATCTTTCTTCTTCTTTCGTGTTCTTTTCTTTTTCCCTTTTTCTTCTGGGATTATATCAGAATACAGCTGAATGAGAGACTGGGTCGACCCAGGGTAACTCTGTCCGTGGGTGACAGCAGGGTCTTGGGCACATGGGACACTGCTGCTGGCTCCTGGAGCTGCTGCAGGTAAAACAGGTGTGAAAGGGGGCCTCGCCGGGGACTGGGGAAAGCTGGCCACAGACAGGCCTCCATGCACCTGCTTGGCAGAAGGGAAATTTGGGCTGTCACCAGAGACTACTAGCGCATCAGGGACAAATGTAGGGGGGGCGACCTGCCTCTGCTCACTGCTCGGCAGGAACGCTTGGGTAGGGGGGGAGTTGACACACGGTAGGTGCAAGGCATGCAGCTGTATGGCCGCTCGGCCTTGCTGCTGGTGCTGTGGCGACGGCGGCAGGGCCCTCGGGGGCTGCATGAAGTCACAGGGTAAGTCAGAGCCATAGAACTGATTCCTGCCCCTGGACTCTGAGCCCAGCAGGCCGTGCTGCCCCCTCTCCATCCTCTGCTGCAAAGCCCTCTGTCTGTCTACTTCCTGCATCAGCTGGATTCGCTGTCTTTCCTGCTGCTCTCGTAAACGCTCCTTCCGTTCCCGTTCCTGAAAACTTTCACTGAAGGGATTATTGTCATCGAATTCTACCCGTGGGGGTGGTCCACTCTGGGCACTCGCGTTTGACACGGGCCCTGGGGCTGGTGCGCAAGTTTTTATTGGTAGCTGGGCAACTGGAGGCGGAACCCTTGGCGCACTGAGAGGAAGGTGAGCAGGGGCACTGGGAGGCTGCCACCCGGTCAAGCTGGGCATCCGGGCAGGGCTGGTGTGGCCGGACAGGACCGGTGCGTGCTGCTGCAGCTGCTGCGGCCCCATGGTGAAGCTGGGCTGGCCCGTGGCGGGTGGGGTGGCACCAGGAACAAGGGGTGGCTGGGACTGGACGCCTGGGAGCCCGGCGGGCGGGGCCATGGCGCACTGCTGCTGCTGCTTGATCCGGTAATCCTCGATCAGCTCCGCGTGCTCCTTCTGCTGCTTCCGGATCTGCAACGACACGGAAAGCGTCCTCACTTACGGTCCTGCAGGCATTGCTGGCTGAGGGTCACGGTCGGGGGAAGGGAGTTACACGGAGGGGCAGCTAGAGCTTCTAGCGGCAGAAGTGTTTTGCTTAAGCAACGGCAAAAATCACAGAAACTTGGATTGATAAATATTATCTCAAGACCACCAATCTTTTTAACAACAGGATTTTTATAAAGTCACCTGTAAAACTTCTTTACATCTGAAATACCAAAAACAAATTCAAAATACAGTTTTCTGAAATAAACAGCAAGAAAATCTTACCATGAAAATCAAACTATTTAAACTACACATCAAAGGTAAGCTAAAACAATAAACAAAGGCTACACAGAATCAGCTAATTGTGACATCTTAGAAGTTCCATTAATATGTAAGGTTTGAATAACTGTGCGATTTAACTCAAATTTCAACATGTTAAGATTTCATTCTTAAATATACAAAAAGACACAACATGTTAAGATGAATTTCTAGCATGTATGCAACACCCTCCTCCCAATTAGAAAGACTAGATCAGTGAAACTCTGAGTTTAATAGCTAACATACTCAAATTACAATTTTTGAAACACATACAGAGCTAGTTTCTAGTAGGGTCCTGACTGACCTGTCTCAGTTTATTCATTCCCAAAATCTTCGTGCCTCAAAGGGCAAGATGCAGACCAAGCTCAAAAAGATGTGACCCATGTCCTGGGAGCACCCCACCTCCCTTAAGGGGCTTCAGGAGAGGGGGTGCAGGATGACTGGCACATCCTTCAAAACCATCGCCTTTTGGATGTAAATTATACTTATTGGGTTGTCGGAAAAGTCATGATGTATTTTTTCTGTTTTTTGTTGCAAAAACGTGTCAAGACTTTTCTGACAACCCAATAGTATGTGGAACCCAGTAGCTCTAACAGGTTTTCAGTCTATGTTCCTCAGTCTCCCTGGCAGACCACATACTCTGCACATTCTGGTTTTGGCCTGGTCTCCACTAGCTGTATAACTTCTATCTTATTTTCTTGTCTTCTCTGACCAGTTTACTGGCTCAAACTGAGGAATTACTGCTGTGTTGGTGGAGCAGTACGAATACACATGAAGCAGCTAGAAGAGAATGTGGAAAATGGAAGGCAGCCATCTTGCCTTTCCCACATTTACAACACCACTCTCAGCTGCTTATCTTTACGAGATTACACTGGACTGGCGGCAACTACATAGTAACAGAGGCTGTGTCCCTTTTTCCAAGTCCACTATTGGCTTCTAAATAGGATTCGATCCATGGACATGCAAAAACTCATCATAAAAAATTTACAGAAATACACCAAAGGCAATGAAAGTGCTAAAATTACATTATAAGAAATACCCATCCTTAAAAGAATCTTTACTTGCAATAAACATGAACCCAGAAGGTAAATTTAAAGAGGAAAGAAACCTCTAATCCTGGAATATTCTAGTTTTCAATAATAGGAATTATAATCACCTCATTGTTTGGTACACTGCTGTGGCGGCTACAGCTGGAGATGAGACGTCTGGGTGGAAATCCCTAATCGGTAATCAGTAGGAGCGACCACTCACCTTTGATGACTCACCAAGTTCGTTGTGTGTCAGGGGCGGTGCTGGAGAGGCTAGGACAATGTGTGCAAGTGTGTCTGCCAGTGTGCAGTCCGCAGGAAGCACTCCGGTTTTTACTGAGTCAGTCTGCTCTGAACTCCTCCTCTCCACTATTAACATTTAGGTTACTTTACTGTTGTATTTTAAAATATTAAAACTGACCATGAGAAGCAAAGCTGACTTTTTGGGTGTACAATTCTATGATCTTTGACACAGAAAGGCAGTAGTGCAGCCATCACCACAATCACACGCTGTAACCCTTTTGTAGTCAACCTTCCTCCCCCCACCCCTTAGACCTGAGAATGTTATAAAAATTGAATTGGTCATAACCTTTGGGGATCAGCATCTTTTACTCAGCATAACGCTCTTGAGATATTGAGATGTCTAGTTGTGCACTGACAGTTCATCCTTTTTCAATGCCGCGTGGGTATACCCCGCTTTGTCTGCCCATTCACCACTGAGGGATCGTGGGGTATTTCCACTTTTGTGTAGCTAAGAACAGAGTTGCTATAAACATTCATATCCAGGTTGTGGTGTGAACCTAAGTTTTAATTCACTTGGGTAAATACCTAGGAGTGGTCTCTTGAACACTTATTGTTTTATTTTAAATAATTTAAATTTTACTTCTTTTTATGTATAATTATTATTTGAGCGTGCGCATTTTGAGAAACTGGTTTCTAGGTTTTGTTTTTCAGGAATGAGTACTTTACATAAGATATACCAACATATTGAGAAAAAATGTTAGTCACATCCTATGAAAAAGAACTGCCAGGACGGTTCAAATGCTGCATCTGAAACCCCACCAGAAACCAAGGAGCCCAAGGCGACAGGCAAGCCAAGGCCAACTCCAAAAGAACAAGTCCTTCTCTGGCCCCAGTTCCGGTTCCCGCCTATACCCAGAGCCCTGTCCTCAGGGGCTGAGGACTTGCACAGTCGTTTCTCAGGGCAGGTAAGGCTCCCAGTTTCCCCAGCTGTACTAGGCATCACGCCCGAGCATGAAAATGGCTCTTCTAAGTCAGGACTATGAGGATTAATCTCTAGTCCTCTCTGGAAAGGACTGGGGCTGCTTCGTCAGCCAGTGAGGGGCTCAGAGCTGTCACTTGTGCACTTTCGTGAGCCTCTAACACAGATCGAAACGCCCTGCGGCCTCGTGCTGACGGACACCTGTGGCCGGCCGTACCTGCTCCAGCTGCCTCTGCACCATGCTCTGCTGCTCCGTGACGTGCTTGAGCTGCTCTGCGTCCTCCTCGGGAAACTCGCGGCCCGCTTTCTTGGCGGTGCGCTGTTTGGCCGACAGGGCCTTCTTGGACTTCCTGTGGGCGCCGATTTGCTCTTCAAGGTATTTCTGCTGCATCTGAAGAAGCTGCTGGGTCTCCTGCAGCCACTCTTCATACTGCTTCCGTTGTGAATCATCTGAGGGGAAAATTAAAAATTCGTCTGTGTTAATTTTCTGAAGAGTCCAACAATATACAAGTTACACAAATCCATTTTGTTCAGAAATGCAGTTTCCTATGACCTTGTAATAGGTATTTTGAAAACACAATACTAAATATTAGACCATAAATGCAACTATAAAATAGGAGATTTTAGAAAAATCTTTGAGAAAACCAAAGAATGCATGATTTTAGGACACGGATTAAGTTCATACTTATCAATACTACGAATCCAATCTTTGAAAAACAGAAGACTTTTATCTAATGGAATGTTTTTACCTAATGAACTATCAAATTCTCTAACCCACAAGCCAAACTATATATTTTGTTGTATGTGTATTTTATTAATTCACAGATTTTAAAGAAACAAAGTAAGACATATCCTATTAAGGTCCAGGACATGGATTAGGTATTGTTTCCCATGCAAATTTTCCTACGTTTATCAAGTTTTCCTTGATAGTGGAAAAAATGTACTAAGCTGAGAGGGAGGGAACCTAGAATATTTTAGAAAGGGTCAATATGAAGTCTATGTTTTATAAAGGAAATCCCGAAGTTAAAAACACTGGTAATTTTTATGAATTGTGTAACAAATATACTTCTGTAAATAAGCAAAGGTAGGGAATAATCACCCAGGTGAAATCTTTTCTACTTTGATGACTGTCATTAATATCTCCCCAAATAGTTCTCTCTTCATCCTGTACCAACATCCCCTCTTTATTCTTTAAGGGCACTTTACTTCACTGATGCCAAATTCAAAAAAAAAAAAAAATAAGTCATCTTATGGTAGTGAAATTCAGAATATACCTTTATGACTCACTATACGACAAAGAAATGAATCCATACAACTCCCAGAAGGACGTTAGCTGGAAAATGACACCAATGGTAACAGAGGATTATCGTACAGTAAGAATGCAACCAAAGCCAATGGGCACAATAAAGCCGGAAAAAGCCAGTTGGTTACAGCAGTTTACTTGCTTTCAATGCAAATATGGGTTCAAATTGTGATAATAATTAATGCAGGGGTAATTTCAAAAGGTTGGACTTTGGGTTTGTTCCTAAACCCAGAAGTTCCAGTATATGTATGAACATGAGATCTAGTCTAAATTTGCAGGGCATTTTTCAAGAACAGGCTTTTTCACAAGATTTCAGAAGTTCTGCTTCTGGTAGAGTGAGACCTACCGCAAGGAAAGCCTTTCTGGTTTCTGGAACCAGGAGAGCAGAGGTGAGCAAAATGAAAAATAATGGTGAAAAAATAGTTAGCTAAACAGTCTGAAGATTTCGGAAAGGTTCAGTTTGGGGAGGACTTTAAACACTATCCTGAACCGCCTTGGGACCCCTGGAGACAACTAGAAAGGACTCGGTGGCATCCTTCATCCCTGACCTGCACGCCATGCTGCTAGCCCAACTTGTTTCTAGCACATGCCCTACGTGGTTCCCATTCAGTGTCCTTCCTGTTCACTGAGGCAGACAGTCATTAGAGCAAGAAGTCGTTTAATTCTACAGGTTGTAAAGTGCCCAATTTATTAAAAAAAAAACACAAAACAAAATAGCAACAATATTGAAGAGAATGGGGAAGATGGTTTTTCTGTATTAAAATATTTATCTCTAATTCTTCATGCACAGAGAACAAAAAGCAGTGAAAACACATCCCTTGAGGGTAAGATGCCGAATAAGGTTTCAGAAAAGATGAGGGCGCTGAGATTTAAAATTTAACACACCTACGCTAACTTCAAGGTTTTAGAAGAGAACAAATATAGTGCAAACAAGCAATCCCCAGAGAACATGTAACTTATTAGATTTATACTTACTGACAAAGCCTGGACCAAAATTTGGAGGATTAGGCCTAGAAATCTGATGTGTTATACTGCCATCCTAAAATAAGTAAAATTTACAAATAGGTTTATTCCACATTTCAGTTAAAGGGGAAAAAACTTTTAAAAAAGAAAGAAAAAGAAATGGAAGGAAAAAAGCCCTTTAATTTCCTGAGACATCTTTTAAAGCTCTCCCTTTTATAAAAAGTAAAATGAATTTAGTGCTGACAACCTAACTGCTAAAAAGTTTAAATTATCTCTGAGTTGTTATATTTTCTAGATTTTAGTTGAAAAACAATTATCTTTGAGGTGAGCGACTATTCGTTAGAAATATAATAGAGGTCAAATCAAATATTGTTAGTACTTAGCTAGAGATCCACATAAAACCCTACTTTTTGATGAAATCTAATGGTTTCTCCTGCAATTAAGACATAAACATGGGTTCTGGATTTACTAAATTCCACGCCATAACACAAAGTTATCTATAAACAAGAACCAATATCTCTAACATGTACAAACAATAAAACAAATATACACTAATTTAAAATACTAGTTAAAGGTCTGTTCCTTCCACGGTGACTGAATAGTTATTAATCCCAGTTTCCTGGCAACAATCTGATATATTTTAACTTTGTAAAAGCATTTACTCAGTTGTTACAAGTTCAGTTAGACATGAGCTGCATACAAGGTAATGATTAAACATGAAACTAGTAGCAGCCAGCCCTTACTACATGTAATCCTTATAAAACAAAGCAGGTCTTGTAACATTTGACAGATCAGAAAACTGGGGTTAAAGAACTTGCCCAAACTTGCACAGTAAATTCAAAGTGGAATTGAGGTTTTTTTAAAAAAAAAAACTCAGCAATGAAGCCTGTGCTTTTTCCACTGTGTGATGTGGTATTCCTCTTTTTTAATAATAAAAATAATATAATTATCAGCATACTAAATCTAACGCACAACTGGCAGGTCAAAAATGAAAATGCTAAAAAGATATGTAGTAGGGTAGCTTAGTAAATAGCTTTCTCTTTTCTTCCGAAGGCAGATACGTAAAAAAAAAGAATTTTTTTTTGAAGAAAATACTATATGAAATGAGCAATTCTACTTTCCCGGACATTGGTTGACACGAAATATTTAAATATGTATAGTTAAAGATCGTTACAATGAATGGTGAATACTCAAAAAACTAAATTATTCCAAGGAACAAACAGCAGAACATGACAAGACTATCTATATCTAAATAGAATGATTATAATCATTATTTTCTACTGTTTATAGCAGTTTTACATTTTAAACATAATGGATTAATTCCAAAATGCAGGACACAAAACCGTCTTTGTGGAGTTAAAAGTAAATGAAAGCAAAACCAAACACCTAAGCATTTGGTTTCCCTCCAAGGGATTATCTACCCTTAAGTATATTAGGTCCTTTTCAGAAACCACTGTCCATTGTTTAACCTTAATTTGTCTTTCCCTCAAAAAGTAATACAAAATCTTTATTTCTGCAAGCCAATACTATATTTTGGCAGCGCTCTAAGGCTTGCACTACTGTCTCTGCGAGGAGGTTTGGTGAGGACCAGGAACCTGGTTCTGAGGGACTGGTCACGAGCAGTGGTACCTGAGGGACTGCCTGGGGCAGCAGGTTCTGGCCCTCGCCCGTCTGTGTCCCCGTCACCGGCGGGCCCATAAAGGGGAACCTGGGAAAGAAGAACACGTGTCAAACGGGCAGCATGTGGGCTCAGGTGACTTTAAGCGCTAACAGTCCTCGCCTCCAGGGAAGAAAGCAGTGGGAGCTCCTCCTCGCCCAGGTCATCCACCAGAGCCCCCTTCTGTGCACAAACGCGTTCCATCCTCACTGCACACCTCCCCCAAGTGCGGACGGACTCACACTGTCTCACTTCACTTCTGATGAAGGGAAGGTTCAGAGAGATGGAGTAACTTTTCCCTCAATGACCGGAGGGGCTGGGAGAAGCCAGCTAGGCTACTCGAGGTCTCGCTCTCTGATATACGCCTCAGTATATCTTAAAATAAAATTAATTCATCTTCTGGATTAAAAAATATAGTGAAGGCATACTTTTAGTACATAAAATCCAAATACTTTGGATTTTAAAACTAAAGCTGTATTTCAATTAAGAAGTGTCATACATTTTTGTACATTTGTTTCTAATATTAAAGCAAATCAAAAATTGGTTATTAACCAAGAAAAAGCCCATATGCTGAAAAAATATTTGATAAAATGTTATTCTAATGAGAGCTATAAAAACTTCACAGAAACATCACTGCTTTAATGAAAACACTTCCTCTAGAATTACCAAATGCTTCAACATAATTAGGTTTACACACAGCATAATTTCCAAATTACGTTGTCAAATACTGTACATCAGTATTTAGGTACTATTAGGATTTAGCACATACGCTTTCTGATTTTTTTCATCGGGTTTTTGATTCTCCTAACAGCCCCTGCCTGGTCTGGAATGATCTCTGAGTCCAATCATGACTCACTGTCCATCACCCTCAGCCAACATATCACACTGCTGGGAGGGACACACTTCTTCAACGCTCTCGGCAGAACAGCAGGCCATGTGCTGGATCCACGGCTGACAGGTCAGCGTGTCTCTAACCCATGAAGATAGGACCCTGAAAGAGCAGGGGTTCTAACTCTAAGGCCCACCTTTTAAACTAAGTGCTAAACGCAATTGAGTATTTTCTTCTCTTCTGACAGCAAACTACACTATTCTCAGCCGTGTCCTGTCACCAATACAGCTCACACTCCTCTCACAAGAGTTGTTTCACGCACCTAATACAGATCTTTTAGGTTCATAATTACTTTGAAATTATGGTAGTTATCAGACCAATTGCTAAATTCGTTAATGCATTAAAAAGCACATATATCATAATTTTTGAGTTTAAATAACTATGTTTCAAATGCAATTGATTTACTGTGTAATACTGTTTTTGATTTTGCATATAAAATGTTTCGAGAAGGAATTCAAAAGCTTCAGAGTGTCAAAAAGCTTCATGATGTACAAAAGTTAAGAAGCCCTGTGAGAGAGAAACACTCTTTAGTGTGAACAGTGAAAATCATAAGAAACTAACTGCTGTCTCTACTTTGATCTCAACAAGGCTTCTTCCCTATTTCAAAATATCTCAACAAATGAAAAGCACTATCGATGTCTTCAAGGATTCCCAATTGATCTCTAGTATCACGTTGCTCTTAAATTCATGCGAATCAACATTCGGTCCATCATCATCCACATTCCTTTCACCAAGTTCTTCACGAAGACAAGACGCTAAGTGGGGCTCTAGCCCCCGCTTCGCCGGAGGTTACCCGCCGGCCATGTGCGGAAGACGACCCACGGTGCTGAGGACAGGCAGAGCAGCGCCACCCACAGGTCCTCTGGTTCAGCAGGTCCGCGCGGAGTGGCTGAGCGGCATTTAAAGCCAGCTGCCAGTTCTGATGGTGGTCCGAGAGCAAAACGGAAGGCACTGCCCTGCGCCATTAAATATCCCTGAGGGGGCGTCAAGCAACTCTCAGGGCCTTCTTCCATCCAGAGTTTCCATTTTTCTGCTAACAGTGCAAAGGCTTAGAAATGCTCCGTCCACTAACTTTCCAATGTCCTCTTACCTACTCCTCCTGACCGACTCAAACTCAGTTTAGGGCATTTATTTGAGAGCTGAGTTCACAGCTGCCTTAATCACTCCGTCACTTTACTGAAATGTCCCATTTTTGTCTTTGCATTGTTCCTTTGATAGAGTAAAGAAATATGCACAGGCTGAAATAAACTATCATCTTAGTTTATCATTGTCTTATCTCAACACAGAAGTTTCCCTTTTCCTGCTTATCTTCTCATCTCTATGTATTTAGGATGAAATATCTCTGTCTCAAGCAGCTTTCAGCTAGCATTAACTATTCTAAAGGTATTTAAAAGGACACACACTTAAAATACTTATTTCCTGATTAATCAAGTCTATCTTCTAAATCTTTCAACAGTGTTTTATTATGTTTCCCCTGTAACTAATGGAAATCAAATCCTTTCATTTGTACAGCATTTTACATTGGATCACAGCCAGCTGACATCACAACAGGTTTACATCCTGTTCATTCCTAGAATATAGGTTTCCGAGTAACATACATTCATTCCAGGAACTAGTCATAACTTTATGCACTTTTAGCAGATGCAAAGTGAGAATGAAGAACAGCTTCACCTACCTGTTCATAACCATGGGTGGCATGCCCATGTTGTTCTGTGCCATCACTTTATTTATGCCTTTAAGGGCCACCATTTTGGCTTTCATTATCGGATCTGTAATTGCATCAAAATCTAAAGAAGGAATACATGTAGAAGTTACTGATTTCATAGTACTTGGTTCAGGTTACACTGAGAGTTAATGTAACTATCACAAACAATTTATCTTCACTACTATAGGTTTCTAGACTAGGCAAGGAATTATGATCAGAACCTTATCATGCATTTAATCCCATCTCAGTGACCCATAATTGAAGTAAGCTTTATTACCTGAGTCCTGTAAGAATCAAAACAAGAATCTTGTCAAATTTAAGGGGATTATAGCAATAATTCAAAGCAATGCAATTCCCCTTCATCTAGACTTTCACAATGCTAATCAGAACTGCTTCTTTAGTAAGTTAACTTCATGAATGAAAATTGGACTGTGGAATTCCACTAGTTATCAATCTTTAGGGGAAAATGTATCCATTTCTTGAGAACATATCCTTGCAACAGGGATAGGCTACTGAGAAAAGACCTCTTTGCATTTAAGTGAAAAAGAAATGGACCAATATGATAAAATTGGTAATGTATACAGAAAAGAATGTCAGTTTTATTGTTTAGAAGCAAGCATTCCTTAGACGCGTCTCCTCTGATTGCTAATTCTTACTTTCAGAGACACTCAGGTATTTTTACTGCATTGCTATTTTGTGGGGTTTTTTTTCTTTTTTTCTCCGAATTAGTAAGCTACTGGAAGTTAAAGAGCTTTATATAGCAAAAAATTGCCAAGCATTTATCATACACAAATGGACAGTAAGTTCATTTCTATCATAATTTCTTTAAATTCATCTTTCACTGCCTCTGAAAATACATGATAATAATGATTAGGGGGAAACTAAGAAGAAGACTCTTGTTTCTATTAAACAATAGCGCAAACAACGTAAGTCTGAAACGCAGTTTTGAATCTCAATTTACCTGGGAGGAATCTAAAACTCGTAATCAATTTCATTTTAAGGCCAAAGGAGGAACAGGAATAGGACCCTCGATGTTCTGGTCCTCACGTAACTTTAATACTGGGACTAAGCATCCTGCACAGTATCCGAATGCCCACAGAAACCACCAATGAAACCGGAGGGGCTTCCTACCGATGTTCGGAAAGAAGGGCTCCGAGCGCTGACGAATCATGGCTTGCATCTGTCTCTGCTGCTGCTGTTCCTGCCTCTCCTGATCCAGGAGGTCCTGCAGAAGCAGAGGCTGCTCTTCCAGGAGGAGGGGCCTCTCTCTACTCTGCTGGGCCAACGCCGGAGGGACCATCAGCTGGTGGGGTCCAGACAGGCCACTGGGACCAGACTGACTTGTCAGAGGCACAGTTTGATGTGCAGGTTTTCCTGTCCCGAAACCGTGACTCACCGCTGGCTGACCCTGAATGAATCCTGGATTTACTTGAACACCCTGAGGAAAAGCATGGTTGACTCTCGAGACTACTGTCACATTCGAATTCATGGTATTATCCAAAACATGGCCTGGCGGCGTCATCAGGGGAGGAGGCAGGCTTGACACGTGCCCGGATGGTGAGGCTGGCACACTGGGTGGCGGAGACCCCAATGGCCTCATGTCTGAATTATCAGGTTTTTCATTAGCAAGTAAACTTGAAAGAACTGGCGTTGACCCCGTTATGCCACAAGAGTTCATTCCATCTTCAGCAGGCAGCTGGGTGGGTCCATGACTACCGGTGCTGCTGCAGCCAGCACTTTCTCCACTGGCTCTTTTGTCCAGTACATCTGGACCACAGGGCTGCGAGGAAGCCTTTTCTCCCTGATTTCCGTCTGTGTGGGAAGAGGCCTGGGAGCAGGGAGTGTCGCTGTGGTCTTGACCCTCATCACTTTTCTCACCTTCACATTTGGTTTCCCCTTTAGAATTTGGAGACAGAACTTCTGTCTTTATCTCACTGGTATCAGTGGATTTTTTCCATGGAGAATGTTTATCAGAAGGAACCACAGTCTTATCTTCTTGCTCCCTTTTTTTGGGTTCAATAGACACACATTGGTTATCTAACTTATCATCAATTGGGACATTGAGGTCTAGTTCCTCATTAAACATGCTTTTCTTATCTCCTAGGTCAAGTTCTGGGTCTGTATATGCAATGATATCAAATTCTCCTGACCTCAAGAGGTCATCCAGGTTGGGATCATTCGCTTCCAAATTACCTAAAGTGTCCAGTTCGTCCCCCTTGCCGTCCTCTGCATCTAGATTTAAATTTTCAAGATCTTCATCATCCAAGTCTTTGACTTCAACCCCTTCAAGGTCTTTAACATCTAGTTCCTTTACAGATGGGTCATCAGAAATAAGTTTCTCTTCGAGGCCGTCAGAAGACTGGGGGGGCACCTGCAAATTATCAGGTGATGTTTGAGCTGGTGCAGATGTTGACAAAGGGGTCTCTGAAAATTCACCACCTAAGGGGTGACTCAGGGACCGCATGACCAAAGAAGCTTGGACAGGGTGACCTTGCTCTTGCTGAGATGGTGGCACCTGCTCCAAATGTGGGTGCCCAGGTAGCTGATTAGGTAGACCCTGGGAAGGTCGTCTCATGGGGTCCGTGTGTCTAGGGCCTGGAAAGTCTGGCCGGGGAATGAAGTTTCCATGTCGTGGATGAGAAGGTGCCTCAATAACATTCCCAGGAGGAGCAATGAAGGGCAGCCGTGGTCGTCCGTCGGGGGCCCTATGCCTCAGCTCAATAAACGCTTGACCCAGTATGTTATGCTGCTGAACGGGCAGGCTCTGCGGAGGAAAATGCTGAGCCAGCCCAACCGGACTGGTCATCTGTGAGTTGTTTAAGGGCCTGGGCATATCTACAGACACGGACCTTCTGAGCTGTGGGGGAACTCCGGCCCCCGGCATCGGCTGAGGAGGCACGAGGTAGCGCTCCTGACCCGACAGGGCGCCGGGGCTGCCTCCTGGAAACGCAAATCTGAAAGGAACAAAAAGCAGATAGTTAATGTTAAGTATAGTGTTGAATTTAGAGTTAGGCTGAGAAAGTACAAGTTTTAGTCTAAACTCAGGTACAAAATTAACATTGCCAAGTACGACGACTTAGGCAAAAACAAAATTATCACGATTAGAAAGCGCTTGTTAAGTATCTACATGCAAGTAAATTTTAGCTAAGTAACCTGTAATGAACACCTTATCAGAGCTCTAAAGACATATGCTCAACAGGTAACATAAAGGAAGACAAAAGAACAGCCACCACCAAGCAGGTGGAATCAACTGTTTAGAAATAAGCATAATACTATTGGAGCTGAGTGAGAGTCCATTTCTTTTTTCTATATTTAGGGAGGCGATATGGAGGGAGCAGATGGGGCAGGGAGTGCTTGAAGGGAGGATGGAGATCTAACGAAAACTACCAGAGGGACTTAATAGGCCCGGTACATGAGAAAACAGGCGCAGGCGTGATAACTGCATACACTCATCTATTTGCTGGGGAGGAATGGAGACAGGAGGAAGGGAGAGATAAAGAATGACCGGCATCATCTATAAAGATTTAGCAAACGAATAAATTATAAAACTGCTTTTATTATTTATATTGTACCTTATTCTAGAAAGAACTAAAAACAATTGACAAATAAATATCAAATAGACAGGCGTAAATTAAAACTAAGGAGAAAAGAAAAGGAAAATAAGGGTAAGACTATATATATAACATGGAGGTAGGTATTAGAGTAAAAAAATATGTCTGATAAAACAAAAAACATGTCTTAAAGAACTGGCTCCTCAGTATAACTGGTGTGTTATAACTTAAAACTTTTGACTAGCCCCTTCAGAAAAAACAAAACAAAACAAAAAACCCCACTAACTGTACAACCCTATCTCATCACGAAAAGTTCCCAAAGGAAAGCCTTCTTTCAATGTGGAAAGTCTCACAAATATTTACAATGTAAACTAAAATAAAAAATTAGGGAAAAGGAGAACACCCACTTATCGTGTCACAGGAGGCGCTGACTGAATATGGTAATTACATTTTAGAGGTTTGACTGGGATGATAAACTACGTCTTTGTGGCTGTAATGTAACACAAACAAAGTTGTTCGAGTTATTAAAAGTTAAAAAAAAAAAAAAGAAATCCAAGACCTGTCATTAGTGAAAATAACACTGATTATATCTCAGAGTCAAGAAGTAAAGACAGTAACAGCTCCGTGATGAAGAGTGACTTCACTTGTCTATTCCCTCGCTCTCATGGCAGTTTAATCTGGCCTGGAATTGAAGGCATTACCTAAATCCATGTGGTCTCATCCCCATACCAGGGCCATCAGGGGCATAGGGTCCACGCAGATCTTTGGGGAACACAGAGTACCGAGGTCCTAAGGGAGGGACCACAGACGACCTGATGCCCCCGGGATAAGGGGGTGGAGGCCGAGCGAACGCCTGGCTGATACTCTCAGGCTGCCAGTGCTGCAGGGGGCCGGGGTGGGGCCCAGCGGCCGGCTCCTGCGACCCCCCTTTCTCCTGCCGACCCGCCATCTTCTTCTGCTGCTGCTGCTGCAAGATGATCTCCCGTAACTTCTGCCGCTGAATGAAAAGAAACAAACTTCACCGGAATTTCTGATAACCAATGGCTCTTTAAATTCTAGTGCTTCCCATAGGTGACTACAGTAATGTTTCAAACATCTTAATGTTTTAAAGTTTGAGGAAACACTACTTGCAGTTAAATATTCAATAGGTTATAAAACAAATGGATGGTGTGGGTCCTTTTCCTTGCCAGACAACTATCACAAAAAGGAAAGGTTTCGTATTTAAGAATTCCCCTACATATTCATAAATATTGAAAGTAGAAACAGAATAAATCCAACTGGGTTGGTGTTAATTTTATCAATTTTCATTTTTCTTTTTTGCAGTATGACAAAAAGTTGAACTTTAACACCTGTGTAGAAATTACTCAGTTTGAGGAAATGAACCGCTTTCTCAGACTATATACTTACAACATGTGAGGACACACGTGTTTACCTGTCTCAGTTTCTCTGTTTCCGCAGGCGTCATATTGACAGTGTTCTGTGTATCGGTCACCCCTGATGTTGGTACAGGCCCAGGGGGCTGGGTGACACTGGAAAACTGCTGGCCTTGAGAACTCATTGGAGAGTTTGATGGAGCGCTGAGGGTCCCCCCAGACCCAGGCCGGGGCTGATCAGCAACATCACTTGTTGCAAAAGCATCAGACTGAGGTCTTGGGGTCATTGGAGGCTGATCGTAGGGGTCGTGAGCAGCAGAAGGGGAAACGCGGCTAAAGGTGTCTGGAAGGCCAGGTCCCGGGGGCCTAGGAGTTTGGGAGCACGCGTCAGGTGGCCTCACCAAAGGGCCAGCTAAAGCTGCTCCTCGATTTTGTGCTGCCTGCAGGAAAGGATCCTGGTTTGCCAAGAGGATGGGCCTTGTCACTGAGGACCGAGTAAAACCCTCCGAAATCCTTGGCCTTGGTGTTGCTGGTGGCTGAGAGTAAGGAACAGAAATCCCAGGTCTTGGGGTTCCGGGAGGATGAGCATAGGGACCAGCATGCCTCTGACTGGATGCAGATGTCACAAACAAGTCGGCTTGTGTAGATGGCCTTGGGGTTGGTGGCTGCTGACTATATGGATCAATCGTGGGTGGCCGGGGAGTTCCAGGAGGCTGAGAATAAGGGTCTGCGTTGGAGCGAGACGTTCCTGAGGGCTGGGAATAAGAATCCACAACAGGTCGTGGCGTTCCCGGGGGTTGTGAATACGGATCCTGAGACGCTGGCCTTGTGACGGCACCAGGCTGGGGAAACGCCCTTGACGGATGGGCAAATGGTTCATTCATTGCCGGGTGTGGGGTGAGGGGAGGCTGGCTATATGGATCACTTGACTGGTTATGAGAAAAATTATCTACGGGTCTTGGTGTCAAAGCAGGCCTTTCATAAGGGTCAACCGACAGTCGCCTTGGTGCCTGCGATGCTGGTCCATAAGGATCCTGGGAGGATGGAGGTGGCTGCATTGGAGTCTTAAAGGGTCCAGGACCACTCTCAAGAGGTGCAGGTGTCAGCAAGGGCCGTGTGTAGGGGTCATGGATCCGCTGTCTGTGAAATACATCTGCCCTAGAACATGGTTTAGTAAAGTGATCATTGGTTCCAGCTGCTAGAGGACCTTTTGCAGTTTGTTCAGAAACTAGAGGAGACCGGGGTATGCCCGAGGGTTTGGGGAACTGCTCCGTCATCACAGGCCGGGGTGTGTCTGGGGGCTTTGCATAGGGGTCGCTGAGTGTCGCGGGGGAACATGAATCTCTGACAGAAGGCGGCCTGTTGGACGGGGCGTCACTCAGCTGAGCGGGCCTGGGAACCGATGACAAAGGGGCACAGGCTTCCACCAGGGCCACAGAAGTTCTTCTGGCAAAACTATGGCCCCCAGGAGGTGGTCTCGGGGTACCGACCATTTTTGCGTAAGGATCCATGGGAGATGGAGGTCGGGAGTTAGAAGACCCAGGTGAAAACACCTGTGGTGAAGGCGGCTGAGGGGTCTGAGGCTGGGACAGACTCTCCTGCAGGGAGATGCGGGGAGGGGCTGGAGGAGGCGGAGCCTGAGGTTTCACAAACACGTCATCTGCAGTGGCAGACGTGGGGGCGCTGGGGAGTTGCTTTGTAAACAGGTCTTTATGGAATGGCTGTGCAGGAGACAGGCTGCCGTTGCCCGGCTGAGGGGTCAGGGGGCGGCGCCCGCCACTGCTCGGGGGCTCGCCCGGCGGCACCAGGAGAGGCTGCGAGCCCAGCTGCTGCTGCTGCTGCTGCTCGCTCTTGACCTGCTCGAGCTTCTGCGTGGCCTCGATCTTTGCCTGCTGCTTACTCTTCTGGCGCATTTGCTGTTGAAATCGCAAAGAAAAGGCAATGACTTGGTTAAGGAAAAACAGAGCTGTCCTGCGGGAGAGGAGAGACGCTCTGAACCACATTTATTCTGTTACCGGCCGGCAGGCTCGTCCTGGTCTGGCTGACATGTGCCTAGAGCAGTGCACTGTTTATACTGCCAACTAACTTCCCAAGCCGACTGACAAAGGTGTGGCTGAGAAAGGAAAGTCTATTTTGAAGCAAAGTTTTATGTTCTAGTAAGAACACACTCTGGACTAATGGCATCAATAGCTCTCTTCTCGATGAACAAAAACAGGGTTTGGAAAAGCCAATTATTAAAAGAACACCACACACACCTGTCTAAACTTCCACTCCTGCTCGTGCTCCGATTCCCGCTGCTTCAACGGGTCTTTGAAGAGCTCCGAGTCCCCGCGGGAGCCAGGGTCGCTGCTGTCCTGCTGCTGCCTCCTCCCGGCGTCGTGGGACATCTGCACTTTGTTGATGCGCAAAGCGGCCCTGTTGTCTCGGGCTTTTTGCTTTGAAAAAAGGAGAAAATTACCTCCCATGAATGTTAACGTGGACTAAAAATAAATATAAAGCTAGGTGGAACTTTATCATATAAAAGCAAGAGAAAGTCGGGTTAAACAGTTGAAATACAGCCCTTCAGGACACACAGCCTCCTGTGTGACAGGGTCTGGACAGAAGCCCACTGTCTCCCTTTTATAAGGTATGTCACCGTCTACCTGATCAGCCTAGAGAACCCAAGTGTCAGCTAGTGTTTTCCATCCGGACTTTCTTAAGAGAGCTTTCCAAGATGGAAAAATTCACATCTCTCTCAATGTAAGCAAAAATATCAAATCAACACTCCAAATCTGAAATCTGGAATTTGAAGCTTAACGTTTTAAGAAAATCGCCTCAATCCTGTCATTACATAACATACAGTCAAAGTAAAACAAAGCATTATCAACACATCAAAAAGAATCTTTGCTCTAACCGAACAATTATTATCACTGACAATGTGCACTGAAGATCAAGTTGGAAAATTAACTGCTTCTACTTTTAGAAACAATAATGTCAATTTAATATGCTCTAAAACGAAAGCAGGGATTTGGATCCAATAGACAATCTTATTTTGGCTCTTTGGGACACAGCAACTCATCATCAGAACTGGAATCTTACAAAATACCCTGATTAATTAATGACTGGGAAAGTGCATGTTGCAAAAGCTCCTTCAAGGCGTCCAGGTAGGTCTCTCAAGATCTGAAGACTCTACTGAACCTAACACAGAAAGGGCTTACTGTGGAAGAAAAAGGGTACACTGATGCGGCCTCAAAACGTAGTCCTCTTTTGAGGAGATAAAACAAGTTTGAAGTGAAATAAATTAAACATGCTCCTAAAATAACTGATTTCAATCTTCAATGTCCTAGCTCTGTTAACTAGCTTATAAAAATGTCACACTTTATATTAAGACATAATGAGCTAGGAAATCACTATGAAACAAAGCTGTTTATTAGCTGTACAAATATTAACATTTGTTTTCTGCAATGGAAAATCTTTTTATTAACCTAAGATGATAAAAAACAAGGCTCAGGAATTGTGTTAAAAAATATAATACACTGAATGTCAGTGATAGCGAGCATATCCATCATGCTGAAAGTTACATATAAGATTAATGCACCTGAAAAAGTGATGCTGGGTAAACATGAAAGGACACCAATTAAAAACAAGTAAGTAAAAGATAATGCATAAGCGTTTTTTACATACCACATATGGTGCTCTTTCTTGCGAGCTTGCTTTCCTCCACAACTTAGCGATCTGCTTCACTCTAGTGGTCCAGTCTGCAACAGAAGAAGACAGAAGACACATTTACAGAGCCACAGTGATGACGTATCACAAAAAGGTCGATGAACTAACAGTTAAACGCATTTTGGCCAGATCTCATAAATGAATAGCCCCATACTAAGTTTCTTGTACAGTACCAAGTTCCTGGCACATCAGGACGTCAAAAATACACATTTTCTGAATAAAGTGTTGTCTTATTAATGACCTCGCTTGTAGAGTAGGGAAGTTTTGAAATCAAAGGGGCTAAGCAGCCATGATAAATTTAAGCCAAATATAATAAATTCCCTTAACCATATAAGATGCTACCGGAACCAAAGCTAAAAATTCTGTAAAATATCTGTACTTCAGAGAAGTCCTTCAATTTGACAAAGGCAGGCTTTGTGATGAAGCATCTCACCAGCATTGGTGCACAACAAAGACAGGGAAAAGTAATGACTTTAAGCCATTTCTATGAAATCCAGTGTCAGGACAGCATACAAAATGAAGTTTGGGTGAGATCAACAGTTAATGATAAATGTAGAAATGATTTAGGCCATAAAAACAAAAAAAAAACTTATAAAAAGCCCTAGCACAATATTTCATCAGGTTCTAGGATCACATAGTAAAATTATTATAGAAAATTACTTAAAACAAACAAAAAACTATATCCCTGCTTTAAGGGCCATTTGCAATGACACAAAGTGACTTAATATAACCAGAGTGCTCCTCTATGAGCAGCAATCAGTGTGGTAAAAAGAACTCCAAGAGCATGTGTATTGCTAAGCTGACATCCTGCGCTGAACTGCTGTTTCCACTGGCAGGAAAGCAGCATTTACTTCTCTCTATAATGAATACAGTTCCACAAGGAGGCTGAACCACAAAGGCACCCAAGAGACAGGGGTCACCTCTAGGAAAATCCACTTCTAGGTGCCCCTCTAGGAATTTCAGAGCTGTGCTGACACTGGGAGGCTATCGCAAGACAGCCTGAATGGGCTCTCAGTCCTGGTTGTGTTGCAACACGAACTCAAGATAACAAATCAGCATTTGCTTACATACAGTCTATAAATGACATTTTATTAATCCCAATGCCTCATCCTCAGGTTAATCAGAATTTTCAAAAAGGCTGCCACTGTACCATCTGCTTTTTTTGTCAAGCAGGCTGGACAGCAGTGGGGAAGGGAAGGGAACTCTGCGTTAGTTTTGCTGGGAATGCTGAGAACTGAGTCTGACTGAGTCTAACTTAATCCTTTTGATTAAATGGTAAGATTCTGTTCTAGGGATTTTTTTGTACAGTTACACATAGAACACACCACTGACTTCCATATGTTTTAAGACTGCTAGGAGCTGGGAAACGGATCATTTCAGTCACTGAAATTAACGTGTGGGAAGCGTGCCAAAGGGCACAGGGCCTGGGGTGAGAGAACGCGAGGTGTTTCTGGATTTCTAGGGGCTCTCCACATTGTGCACAGACATCCTGGAGGGAAATCGGTGATGACGGGCTCTCTACTGTCATCAAAAGAACGCCAGTAACTGTCCTTGCACATGAGTGGGGCTGGGAACACAGAGCATGGTCACAGGCCCGAGACGCACCAGGGAATTCGTCCTTCAGGCCGGGGAAGTTCATGTTTGTGTAGAGAACTGGGGCCACCGTCGCCGTCTCCCCCAGAGCTTCCTCCTTCTCCCACTTGAGCGCACTTCTCTGGGCGTTTGACATGGTGTCGCTTTCCCCTTCCACAGGGGGGGCTGATGGTGTCCACGAGCCGTGAGGGTCACTGGCCATTGGATTAAATGCTGGATTTTTATCCCTGGCAAATAAGAAACAACTTTACTTCATGAACATAAAATAACTTTCTCAACAGTATGATCAGGTAGGTACAAGTTCATTAAAACCTATCATCACAAAATAGCTGAAATGTTTTGATTTTTTTAGCAAAGATGGCTATAAAGGTAATGTATGCTGGTATCACAATAACAGACTTTTATGTAACAAAATTCTGTCAGCTCCCGCAGGAAGCGGAGGCTGTAAGTACCTGGCATCAGCGTACGGGGATTGTGCCATGGCAGACAGCGTGCCCAGCCCACTTCCGGGAGGCAGAGAGTTGTGTGGGAGGTGAGGACTGGGTCCAATAAGGCCATTCATGAGAGGCATCCGTGAAAAAACATCTTAAAAGAAGAAAGTAACAATTCAGTTTGCACATTATTCATCAATAGAAAAGCTCTGGAAATATTTCTAAATAAAAATTTGTAATGCTATTGAAAACCTGGATTTGATCAAAATTATCCTGTAAAATACTGCTTAAAGAGTGACTGCTTATAACATTTTCAATCACGGCAGCTACGATGCTGCTTACTTCACAGTGGTACAGAGAAACCAGCACGTGTGAGAGTCGGACAGCACGGGGCATGAATCTCGATTGTGCTTCTGATCAGAAGCAGAATCAAGGACTGTTGCTGTAAAATGAAGGTATTCTGTAAGAGGCTGACAGCACAGTGCCTGACACACAGTAACTATTCAGCATGTGTTAACAATGCAGCTCGGCAAATGCTATTAAGTTTTATCAGATACATTCTCTCTTCTTCATTCAAGTTACAAACAGGTGTTATTCTATTTCACTCTAGTTCTGTTAATACAAACCACCATCTATACTTTGTAAATTGGCACTTTCTCAAAAATAGTTTTGAACAAATGATAGTCCATCTACCATTATCAATTAGGTCATTATTGTTAAAAAATATATACCTTCTGGTTTTGACCTAATTTTCATTACTTGGCAGTTTCAGCCCCCAAATGCATCTTAGCTTTCATTCCAGCTTACTCACAAGCTTCAAATATCTTCTCTTCTTTCTAAATAGACATTAGGCAAGCCATAAAACCACACTTCACTTCCCAGTAACTCTCCTCAAGCACGTAACCGCAAGCCTTACTGGGACCCTTATCTCAGCTTTCCAACACAACACAAAAACAAACAAACCTGTTGTGTACCTTCAAAAGCCCCAATTTACAGATATACTCTAAAGAAATAAACACACGGTCTGGTAACTATTACAACACTCAGAAAAACTCTAGGAGACTCACGCCCACATCACCGACTAATACTACAAATGGAAACACAGTTGTGGGACTGCTCACACCTGGTTTGCCTGGTGGAATGACAGAGAACCCTACACTCTGATGACAGCCGTACGCTTAGAAGAAAAAGCGCCCCGACGGCTTCCTGTCCACCTGAGGCTTCCCCCGGCACGTCCTTTCCCCTAAACCACACCCTGACTCTTACAACTTGAAAGCGCAGAGTTCCAGTCCCTATATGAGAATTCTGAAGCAGACTGCCGGCAGATTTTGGCATTTTGTCTTAAGGACATCTAGGTTAGGGCTTATCCTACTAAGTGGCACAGGTGGGCCCACTGGCTCAGGACTCCATGGTGACAAGTGTCTCTTAGGTTCTCTCCAAGAGTAGATTAAGGACAGAGATTTCTGCTTTTATTCAAAGGAGAAATAGGTTCCATTAAGGACTATAAAATTTTATTGAAAAATAGCAAATGTCTTTCATGTAATTAGGAAAAACAAAAGCTTCTTAATTGGAAAAGCGAACGTGCTCCATCTGACAGTTATCTGTCAATGCTGCCACCATACTGAAACCTTCCATAACAACAGCTGCTACTTATTAAGCATTTTGTATACGCCACACACTGCTCTAAAAGCTGTGCGTGGAGTAACTCTTTGATCCTCACAACAACCCTATGAAATGACTGTTGCAAGTAGCTCCATTTAAGTGAAAAGACTCCACCATCCCAGAAGTTAAATAACTTGTTCAAAGACACACAAATCAATGGAAAGCATTTTTGCTTGATAATTATTTTAATTAAGAGGTGGTCCTTTTTTTAGCTCTCTCTCAGGTCTACCATATCTACCCAACCTGGTCACACGAGTTTATAAAGGTAATCTTTTTCAAGACATGAATCATGGTAAGAATTGAAGTGTTAACTTTCACCGAAAGTGATTTCAAGTTAATCTTCTTGAAATTTCCCTTCCCGGCTCTCTGACCTATACATTATTGTCAACAGTTACTCTACTGCCCTCCTTTCCTGTTCCTATGCAAGTGAGTCTCCTGCAGATTATCAACACTCTTACTGTCCAATAAAACACCTTACAAGTTCATCCGAGTTTGCAATCTGCCTCTAAAGAGCACTGTTTGTAAGACCCTGCACCTTGCCATTTCACCATCTAACCCTTAAAAAGGAGAAAGAGTGCCGGCAGAGTGGCGTGTTGGTTAGGAGTTGGCAGGGGACACCAGCTCTGAGCAGCAGAGCAGGGCCCCGGTTCGGATCCCACATGAGGGGGACACTGCGCCCTCTACAGCTAAGATGGCGAACAACAGCTCGACCTGGAGCTGGGCTGCCGTGAGTCGCAGACAACAGCGTAGGCTGCAGTGAAGCTGCAGTGGGCTGCTGTGAGCTACCGTGAGTGGCTGTCAGCTGACGTGAGCTGCCAAGAGCCGCCGTTAGCAGCCGTCCAATGGCCGGCGAGTGAATGCCTCACCCGGGAAGAGCGCAATGGTAATACCAACATGGGCCAGTGAAGCAACGTCCTCCACAACTAGACTGAAGAACAAAAGGACAGCAACTTGTCTGTTCCTTTCCCCCAATTCCCCAATGAAATCTTTAAAAAAAAAAATAAAAAAAAAAGAGAGAGAAAGAAAAGGAACATATAACTGCACACCTAATATAAATCAGAGGAATTAACCATGTAACTCATTACATTTAACTTTATAAGTTCTTCAAGATTCTGTACTCTACTGGCAGTACTGTAGTGCTCTTAGGAAATCTCACCTCACCCACAACTTCAATTAGCATCACACACAGATGATTCCTAAACTTGAGTCTGCAGCCTTGAGCAATGTATATGCCACATTTCTAACAAACTATAAGTTTGTCCACTACCCTCTACAACACACTCACTAGGCCTTCTTCGTTGCATGCTTCCAGTTTATCATGACTGGCTGTGCTCTCGGCAAGCCTGGCTTATACCGAGTGTAGTTTATTTCTCTGCACACCTTACACATCCTTTCAGCAGCACAATCCTACTCATTCTAACATCGCTGTCTCTCCAATTCATCTCTGCCTTTCAATCAGCACTGCAGACACTTACATGGAACCTGCATGTTCACCTGTTCCCAACCATAATAAACTCATGAGCACACCCTTTTCACCTCAAATTCATTTCCAGCATTCACATCAGAGCTGCACTGCCGAAACATGCAACTCAGCAGGCTACTTCGCTGGTGCACAATCTTCAATGGCTGGGTAAGAAAGACCCGCTGCCACTGCCCAGTTTTCCTGCGGTCTAAACGCCGGCTCATCCCACACGCAGCCTCGGGCTCTGCTCCTTAACCACGGCCCACTGCCCTCTCCTCCTGCACACCTGTCATTCTTCATGTCTACGTGTCCCGTGTATGTGGCCTGGCCATGCTTCACCCTTCAGTTAGAACTATCATTCTTTCCCACGTGAGTGCTGAAGGCTCTTCCTGAATTGTGCTCCACTAGAATGCAAATCAGTTGTGTACCTGAAAGCCTGTGATACTAGGATTATAAACGCCTGTGGGCAGGCAGCATGACTCATCTTTACATTACACACAAACACCTAGCAAAACAAAAAGCCATCTCCTCAAAACCTTTTAAACGAGGCTGCACAGTGAAATGACTTAAATAATGAATGTAAAACCCTTTCTAAAGGAATACATCCTTAACTGATTAGATTTCTAAAATACATACTTTCAGTTTCAGAAAACATGGAGATAGATCGTTTTTCTTACATTGAGAAGAGCAATGCTGAAGCTCTGCATCACTGAGAAAGCATTTGGGAACAATTAAGGCAAGAAGCCCACAGATGAGTGTTTTATCCAAACATGTAACTATCACATGTTTAGTCCAGCAAACATGAAGGTACATTTATTTATGTTTAGAGGCCAAAATGATAGAGAATAAAATATTTTAATTATGTGTTACGAAATTTTTCATGTACACACAAAATTAGTAGTAAAGATAACATTAAATTATTTGCACAGTTCAGCTCTTATACAAGTGTAAGATTTTATGAAAATACCATTAAATTATTCAATTCCATATATAATCAAGAAGCAGTGGCAACAGGATACAGAGAAATGATCCTATGCTCAAATTACCCAAAACACCCACCACCAAACTCCTTCCTAAAGATTTCCTCATCTGCAAACTCTCTATCTACTCCCACAAATTTTAATTCTAGGTTATCAGAGTCCAGCTCTCTAGAAAGAGGGAGAAATTAAATCCTTAACCTTATTTTATCTATAGCTAGTTTAAGGAGGTAGAAGGAAAGTGAGCCAACAAAACCAGCCAAGTTCCACAAAGTTAGGGGTTTCCTAGCTGACAGTGGCAGGAAGGTCGCTGATTTCCTGTGTATGGCGAGCACACACGCTGTGTGCCAGGACACCCAGTGGTGGAGATGGATATGACAGAGCCTCCAACCAGCTGTCCATCTTAAGGTTATGGGAAAGCCATAATCACCCCAACAGGGATGTGTATCTGCACCACATGCTACAGATGAAAAGCAGGGGAGAGGTGTGGAGGTGACCTGCTAACCACTGAGGAAATGACAGTGAAACTGAGACAAGAGCGGTGAGTACAGGTGGCCAGGTGCGCGGAGGTGTCTCCAAACATGGCTGCAGGGAGGGCGGAGTGACCCTGAGCGGGAACCAGGCCTGCGGAAGGGAAGAGGGCGGGCACCGGCGTGTTTTCTCCACTGCCAACCAGGTGAGCAAAGGAAGTCAGGTCCTCAAACAGACCACGGGTTTCCAGAGACTTTCGGGGATGCGTGTGTGGCTGAGGTCAATTTAGAGGTCAGCGGTTTTCCATCCTCACGAAAGAGGGTTCTGTCCTATTGGTCTGTATATGTTGCCTTAGCAAACGAACATGCACACGCACTCCAGAACCCTACTTATGAAACCCTTCTAGTGGAACGCACCCTGATTGTGGATGGGCAGCAGCGGTGGTGCGGGGGGTGGCGGCACTGGAGTGGGCTGAGCGGACGCAGGACTGAGCACAGCCGTAAACAAGTCTTCCACGTCCTTGCCTCCTAGCTCTGCGAGATAAAATGATAATGGTAAGATGAAAGTCTACTAGAGCCACACGGGGAATACCACCTTCACAAACCAAGAAATCAGAACACAAGTACCTGGAATTTTATATAACTTCCCAAGAATTGCTCCTAGGATAGAATAAAGAAATAGGAATATTATTGACCATATCAATATACACTGATACAAAAAAGCATTTGTCATAGAAATTATCAGAAAAGAAGTTAAATTCTAAATAAGCATGCAGAAATCTTTGAAAATCATATTTACTCATGTCTTTTAGAAAGCCTAGATGTAGGGCAAATATTTTACCATCTGTGACCATTTTGTCTAGTTCAGGACTGAGGATTCCATCGAGTTGCTCTTCACTTAATGGTCGTGAACTCTGACTGACATTTGACTGAGGCAGAGAGGAAGGGTCATCAGCGGCGGGGCCAATGTCTAGTCCAGCTGGAGGAGCAAGGTCCATAAATTAAAAAGCGAACTCCGAATTCGCACGCAAAATGCAGAACACTATTTGCCTGCATTAATACACAACAATATGATTCAAGGAGAGCAATGAAATGCTTGTAATTCTGAATTAATCAGGATTCTTATATCTATCTGGATGGTCCATCAGTAAAAATTAGGCACAATGTATTTGGAAACTAGACGCCACTTAAAATTATGTTTTAATAATAATAAATACATTTCCTGAGGCACAAAAGAACACTTCTGCTTCTAATGTGATAATTTCCACAAGGAATTAGCACCATATTATTATGACAGGAATCTAAGAGACTACTCAATATACAATATCCAATACACAAACTAATTGCTTTAACTTGGAAGACAGTGTTTTAAATGTACAGTTCAGCTATCAATGCAGGTGAAACGGGAGGAATGACTGTCACATAAATTAATGAAAAGCTCTTAAAGTCTTAATTAATGTTTAGTAAACATTCTTGTGAATAATTTTAACTACAGATATTTTGAAATATGCTGTAGTCACAAAACAAGATATAAACCACGTTTATGACACTGTTTATGCTACAACGTGCTTTATCTCATACGACTTGGTTTCTAAAGCAAGAAAGTGGTCTATCATCCAATTCCTTTGCCATACTTTACTATTAAATAGTAAAATTTAGTCTGCTCTTATTAGAAACTAACGCTATGACATTTTGGTAAAATTATAAATTACATATTAAGAATAAAACCATTCATTTAAAGAAATAAAAAAACAAAACTACTCAGAAAGTTACCCAAAGCACAGTACAGCTGTACCATGCTTTAGCTACACGCACAAAGGGAAAAGCAAAGTATGGATTAGTGACAAATTAGCACTATAACAAATACGCATGCACCTACAGGCTGTTTCAGCTGAAATCACTATAAAAAAGAAGACTACTCTAGTCAGCCGTCATCCATTGCTCAGTTTCTTACCAAATGGAAAAGGTGAGCTCTCAACCTGGAAAGTGCATAAATCAAGACCTACAAGACCCAAACCAAATAAAATGGATGATTACCACCAGAGCGGGAAGTGAGGGGCAATGCAAACAACAGAGGAAACAAGACCCAGCAAGACTTCAAGGCAGCAAGCCTTCAATTTGATGCCATTAGAAAGACAACAGAAATTAACTAACTTGCTATTTCCCCTAAGCAGGAAAGCCAAGGTAGATCAAATTATACAATGAGTTCTTCGGTAATGACAAAAAAAATTTTTTTTTCCAATTTCAGACAAAAGACTAAACTTGTTCCACTCACACACACACCTCTCACTCACATCATAAAACAGACACTGGGCAAACAGCATTCATATGTACCTGAGTGATCAACTGATTTTGCAAGGTCATCTGAAATTATCCCAAGAATGTCATCATCTGTGTTTAAGACTTCAGAAATATCAGCTAAGGCGTCATCAGCACTACCTAAATAAAGTAAACATATATTTAAAGTCTCAGTAGTTTTCTAGACATTAAATTCTAAAACACCTTTTACTCATTCAACCATTTACTACATATCTCAAGTACAGCAGATGCTGAGGTAAGTGCTAGAATCATAAAAAATTTCAAGTTTATTACATCTAAAGTATGGAATTTTTTTTTCACAGAAAAGGCACTCCAAAGTTTTGAATAACAAAGCATTAAAAATGAAGACTTTTTGTTTTATGACTAGTTGATATTACTGAATTTAAAATAAAGACCTATAGGTAATAAAAGTGAAACAGAATGCTATAAGAAACAAAGCAAAAAAATTCATTGATAAAATGCTATCTCTAAAAATGCCATCTGGAAAACAAAAAACACAGAAGACAAAATATGAAAGACAAAGCCATTATTTAGACATTCCTTGTGAAGTATAAACCAGGTACCATCCAGTTCCGGCCCACTTCCAGCTTCACCTTTATTCTGATTACTCATCCATGTCTTTATTCAAAAACTATTTGAGAAGCCAGAGAACCACGTCTACAGATATTGTTAATAGGCATTGCTGCAGCCACTGGAATAGAGAAGTGGCTAAAACCAAGTGCAAGCCCTCATATAGCTTATTTTCTCAGAGGGGGTAAGACTAAATAAATGACGTCAGTATAAGTGCAATAAAGATTAAAAAAAAGGATTAAAAATAAAATGTGGGGATGCTATATTAGATCAAGTGGTCATAAAACCTTTTAAATGGACATGACGATCATGCATGAATCTAAATGAAATAGGGAGATGTGAAGACTGAAACAGGAAGGGTTCTGCCCGCTTCAGGGGCCAGTGTGTTAATATAGTGATAAGGGTTACATACAGGTTCACAGGTCACGGTGAAAACTGAGCTTTCTTCTAACGTATAAAGTACAAAGGAAGGTTGAGGGTTAGCAGAGGGTATGCCTGATGTATGAAGGGAACAACTGACTGCCCTGTGCAGAGCAGACTGGGGCTGGAGGTGGGTAGGGGTGTTGGGGAGACAGAGCCTGGAGGCCCGTCAGCAGGAGTGCTGGAGCCCGAGTGAGAGGCAATGACGGCTCGCACTCCGGTGGGAGAGAGGGTTCAGAAGTGGGTGGCTTTTGGACATATTTTGAAGGCAGAGAAAAATGTGTGGGCGCATTACATATGAATGTGAGACAATAAAAAGTCAAGGAGAACCAAGGGTTTCTGGCCTAATCAAGCAGAAAAATATTTGGGCAAGCACTAGTAATTTATTAGTCATTTAGTTAAGAAACATATGAATTTTTAAATCCATTTCAACTGCATTTTTACTTTAAAAATAAAAAGAGGGGGACATAAAATTAATACTCAAGATCCTAGATCTAGAATCTCTACGGAACACAAATAGTCTTGTCCCATTAAACATATACTTCTCAAACAGAATTCATATATACATAAGAATATTATAATTTTTCAAAGTGAAAGCCCATGTAAATTTTGTATGCCCAAATATTAAGTTTTTAGAGAAATATATTTCAATAATGTATTCTTCTCTAGACATCAGTACACTTGAAAGAAAAAAATTCTGGATAATTTTTTCAGGGGTCATCTAGTGTAAGTATGCTTGTTTTAAACCAGTGGAATTCTACTACACTATTTACAACCAACATTTTTTAAAAGATCATGTTTCACAAGTTCTCCCCTACCTGAAGAAAAATTTTGTTTATCTTATCAACAAATTATCAAAACCGATGTAATGGACTATATTGAATGAAATGCAAAAAATAAAGCCTGTACTTGTAAATTTCCCATTAAAAGGGCAAGAATGATTCAACTGCAAAAAAACATTACATTTAATGCAGGTTTTAAAATGGGTATTATTCTAGTCTTCCACATTCTGGCTTTATGATCAAACCATTCTCTCTTCAGCAGTTTTGTGGAAAAAAACAACTTCAAATAAAGGAAAAAGGAATAAAAACAACATAGATCAATATCTTTCCCATTGCACTATGTCTTCTGTGCAATTACAGTTCTATTCCTTATACAAACTCAAGTGCAAATAACTTCTATTTTAAGTCTCTGAATGGCTAGCCGTGGTTTTTGTAACAAGATAGCCTTAACCGTAATATGCCCTTTGAAGGATCCACAGGTCTTTCACTATACATTATATTGGCATGGATAAGACCAGGTAATTACTTTAAAAAACAAAACTAAAGTAAAACGACCTGCTACAATTAAATAAAAAGCACGGCCTTGTAGTCCAGTACTTCCATTTCCTCACTGACAACAGTAAAGCTGGATGTGTGTATGCTTCCAGGAGGGGGTAAGATCGCTTATAATTCTCTCAAGTTCACATAAAAAAAAAATCCATCCGGGACCATGCTGCTTGGCTGTGACTACCTGACACATCGGACCATCTCTCAGTGAAGGCTGCCATTAGTATAGTTTTCAAACTGAATTTATAAAATGAACTAAGCATCAAATGGCAAAACAGAAGCTTGTCAGAACATTGATTTATAACTGGTAGTGAGATAAAAATCTAGAAGTCGGGGAAGATCACAGCTCTGATACACCCAACTAGTTGAACTCCTGGAGCCTTGCTGATGTTAACATTACTTTATAAATATACTGAGCTCCCATACCTTTCTCTAATTTTAAATAGACCCCATATTTACTACACCTAGGGCAGCGGTTCTCAATCGCAGACAATTTCGCAGGGGACATTTGGCAATAGCTGGTGGCTCTTTTGATCACTGTGACATCATGAGGACAGAGGTGCTGCTCAAAGCCCTATCAGCACCAGAAGACTGATGGGCCTGAGCTGTCCGCAGTGAGAAACGGATCTAAAGCATTGCATTTCCCTGTATTAACGCAATCTGTCAGCAGGTTCCCACCACTCAGCGCTCTTCCTGTCCTCTTTTAAATTTCTTGGGGTATGCAATTAATCAAAAATCTATCTTACTGAACTTGAAGATTTTTATAACTCACCAACTATGGCTAAATTACACTCCCTTATATTCCCTCAGCAAAGTATGTATAAACCTAACATCTTCCTTTGCAACTCTTGATTTTGGTGGTAGTTACGCTTAGTTGCCAAATCTTATAGATCTGTCCACTTAAAAACAGTTGCATTTACTGAATACAAGTTACACTTTAATAGGGTCAATTTTAAAACTGCATGCAAAGCCTAACTGAAACGCTTCTAAGGTTTAATCAGAAGGAAGATGAATGTCACGTGATAAAGGTTCCACGCACCGTGAGCTCCGGGTTTTGCTGGCGTGGAGGATGCGCTAAGCAGTGGGTCTAAGGAAGGATCCAGGAAATTTGTGTTCATGTTTGTTTTATATGAAAGCTGGGCTGCGTCTTCTGACAGATTATCTAAACTTAGCTTGTTTTGTCTACTGGTATCGAGAAGATCTTTTCCAAAGAAAGCTTCCTAGATAAAGATAAGCACATACGAAAATGATTGAGTTATGAAATTGAAAAATGTCAGTTTTTGACAAGCAGGCAGAAATAACAGAAAAATTTGGCATTTAACAATACAGAAATTGAATATAGAAATATATAAACAATATCTTGTCAACTATTTTACATAGGTTCCCCTTATTTTAAAAGTATGATTTCTACTGTAGTTTTACTAGAGGAATAAAATTATGCAAACAATACCACACAGTTCTGTCAAATGTATTTCTAGCAACAGCAGTACAATAATTCAACAATTCCAGAAGATTAGGCTAAAATTAAATTTAAAGACTGATAAACTTACAATACTTACTGGCACCTTAATTCATGTAAGAAAATCCAAAGCTTCATGAATATTATTATTATTGATAGATTTCTTGCAGAGGACAGCACAGTGGTTTGATCTACAGCTTTAATACTTATATACTTCAGATTTCATAATCTCATGTTAATTCATAGAACCACATTAAAGACTTAACACCGTATAAATTGGAAAGTGTGTGTGTGTTCACACTCAATTTACCCAGATCATGTGCACCAAAATCTACTGCTATTACCGGCTACTGGCTTTTCATTCATTTACTTATAGTAACATTTCTCCATTTCAATCAACGTTCTCTGCTGTGGATACCAGCGTTTCAAGCTGGGTTCCTCACAACTCGAGGATCTCTCCAAAGCTGCTCGAGGTTCAATAAAAAGGGCAAAAGGAAGCAGCGGGGAAAGCTCTGCACCTGCTTTACCCAGCGACTCTGCTTGGGTCTCTTCTCTACAAGGTCGTGTGTCGGAAAACGGGTTCTTTGTAGAGGACAATTATGCAGTAACTATCAACATTTAACACACTTGCCAAAGATACAGTCACGAAAAAGGTTTGCTGCAGCATTTTTTATACCAAAAAGCGAACACAGCCTCGACGTCTATCAAAAGGCATGACTGAATAAATTAGATATCCATACTATAAAATATAGCAATTTTAAAGAAGGATATAGCGCTATGCTGTCAAAGAAAAGCTCTAAAATATATACTAAAAGAAAATGAGTTAAGTGATAAGTCCAGCTAAACATAAAATGCAAACTAAGACTATTATGACCATGCAAAAATAAATTATAAAAAAATTGTGAGAGGCTAAACACCACACTGTCCATAAAGCCAGCTTTGGATGGGGGAGGAGTAGTGAAGTCTGGTGGAAGTGATGGTATGCCTGATTTGAAATTTTCACGTTTTGTAAATGAACAAGTTGTTTCACTATGAAAAAGAAATTTGAAAATCCACAAAGCTAGGTTGCTGGGTAGCAAATGTTTGTTTCTTATACCACCAATGCTTTTATCATGAGGAAAAATGATGAATAGCAGAAAGCAGCTTCCAGTTTAGAGATTTATTTATTTAATGACTTCAGTATAAATTTGAGATATCTGAGACCACCATTAGCAAGAATTTCTTCTTTAAATGACTCACAATGACTGTATTGGTATTTTTCAAAAACCACAACATTCTTATTAATTTGGTGGCTTTTCATTTCCTGTAGTTAACATAATGGAGTGACCCCACGTGGTTTCTAATTTGATGTCAGTGTCTCCCAGAACCCGCTGGATCTTGTGCAGAGTTCCTAACGTCACGTGGCATCACGAGCTCTTAGTAGACTGTATAAGTATTTCTGTTGGGTAGATTATACAGTAATTTATGGTTTATCTTAACACAGTTTTAACTAATAAAAATTGGGGAAAAAATTATTACTGAATTCCTAGTGGGTTTTTGTCACTATATATTCCCCCCAATTGGTGGGGAGAAAAACTATAACTGCTGTCACAAGATGTCCAGGGAACAGCACCATTGTAAAGGCTTCCTTCACATACACACCCCAACAGGTATCACTGCTCTACACCAGGAGAACAGCCCAGCTCAGGAGGTCACATTTACAGCAGTAACCAGGAAAGCAGATCCACGACTTCTAAAGGCCGTTTTGCTAATATATGAGTCAGTTTTTATACTTTCATAAATAGCTAAAGAAAGCTTTCTAAATATAGATTACACTTTACAGAAGGGTCATTGGGTGCGGGGTGGGGGATGTGTGGGGTGCAATGTCATCTACTCAACACTCCCAGGGACAACCAGCAGACAACAAAAAGGATGCAATTAAAGATAATACAAACAATAAATGGATCCATTTCCTGACCAATAAATTTACTATTACGTATTTTTAAAAGGTACAATGCTAGGATGAATGGGTGTTGATGGGAATCAGGGGGAATAAAACAGTTATTAAAGACAGACAATATGGAAGGCACAGGGTTCACTCTGCACAGTACATACGCAATTCTTATTGAACCTCTCAACATTTCTGTGCAGTAGGTGTTACCACAATCACAGCTGTGACAATGGGACACACACGTTCCCTGGCAGCAGAGTGGTATTCGAGCCCAGGGCTCTGACGTGAAAGGCTCAGCTCTAAACTTGGCACCACCCTAAAGATGTTAGGTGTCTAATAAAAATTCACACTCCAATATTACTATATATACTGAAGCAACTACACTTCAAATCTTATTTATTAAGCATAGAGGACTTTTCACTGAAATAAGTATTTTATTTTTATAGTTCTAATTACTGAAAAAGAACACTGAGGAGCTTGTATGCTAACTGAAAGGAAACATTTTAAAACTATTAAACTAGTGATGGGAAACTGGAAAATTAAGGTTAAAATTAGGTAGAATTAAGGTAAAAAAATAAATGCGAGTCAAGCAAAGAGGAGGAATCTCTGTAGGTGACAGTTCAGTGGGAGGAACAGAGCAGGTGAACAGTCACACACTGATGTCAGCACGGGCGCTCCATAGTCTGTTCTGACTCCACGCTCACACACAAAGAACTAGAGGCCCAGGAAGAACGGCCACGCTCAGGAATGCAGCATCAGCTGGGGGCCCAGTCAAGGCTTAATCTCAGTCCTGTTTCTAACACAGAGCTTTCCGGCATAGCACACGGCCTAGAACGCTTTTGTAACTTAATGTTTAGAAGAGGAACTAGAAAGATGTCTATTTTCATATCATCTACATCTATCAAACATAATTTCTTCAAACTGATGGATACTTTTTTTATGTATATTTTAGAAAACAAAAACAATTTTGCTTAAATCTTTGGTTCACTTGGCTTCTAAAAAGGGTAAATTACTATTAAAGCGGTCACTCTGGCTGCTGAAAACCTGTCCCCATTCAGTGAACATTATCACTGTACCCTGCACCGGCTAAGGGGACTGTCCGTAGGAGTGGGCCTACGGAGCACGTTGTGAATGGTTTGGAAGAAAGAGTTCTTCTCAGCTCACAGTGTCCTTATTTACCTTTTGAAATATTTAGCAGTGAAAAACTAGGATTTAATAAAAGAACTTTGTGAAATGTATCAAAGCACAAAAAAGGCAAGCATTAATTTTTCTGGGCCCCTGGAACGTAAAAGAGGCATTTATGATGACTAATTAAAACAAGTACAAAACAAGTACAAAATTAACAAAGACAACAGACCTATTTTTCAAAACTCAATACATTACATTTCTTTCATTAACAAACTACATAATATAATGTAAAGCAAAATATTACTTGTAAATAGGCAGGGAAAGTTTCTTCGAGCTTATTTTTCCTTTTTCGGTATCTCTTCTTTATTTTTTCGGTGTTTTCAGTAACAGAAACAGATTCATCAACTAGAGTGTCTGGTAACTGCTCACTCCAGCCTGAAACAATTGTCATATTTATGAATATGTGGCATTTAAAACTGTCAGACAAACCCACCCGAAGTAATATCATAGTTTACCAACATACAGAAAGCACGTTCCATATAAACACGCTTTTTCTTTTCTCTTCCCGTTTTATTGAGATATAACTGACATACAACACCGTGTAAGTTTAAAGTATACAGCATAATGACTTAACAAGATTTTCACAAAAAAGATCTCAAAGCAAGTTTACTAGTAACTTACATATCATAAAAAAGTCATTTCATACCTATTTAGCATCAGCATATTTCTTATTGTCTCCACCAAAAATTCAAGTAATATAAGAACCACAGAAATAAGCAAAGAACTAACTAAAACTCTCTGAAATTTTGCTAAAATCCAGTGACCTTGAACTCTCATTTCCAGAGCCTTATGAGGAAGGGGAACAGAAAACAAACGTTATGGCCCCTCCAAGGTGGAGATTAACCAGAGGTGCCTTGTATGAAAGTGGACCCTGAAGGGCCTCCATGCTCAGAGCTGGTTTAACAAAAAATACTCCCTCTCATCACCCACTCCCCGGTACATCGCTCCCTGCCCTCCCCTCTCCTCCACCAACAGCAAAGAAAACTGCTAGCTGTCTTGTCATAGAATTTGGTGCTGGGTAGAAAGGCAAAAACTGACAATCTTCTCTGAGAATTCATAAACTAACATAGCCCTAATGTGTAAGAAACCTGAATTTATATAAAATAGGTGGACCCAGAAACTTTAGTCTAAGAATTTAGCTTTAAAGAAGTCTTGGGTAGTAGCATCTCATGTTCCTGGAAGTGACAAATGCAAATATTCTCTGAAAAGAACTCATCTTTAGTTCAGCTCTCAGAAGTTCAGAGAATGTTCTAAAGAATATATGAAGTCACAGTAAAGCAAAAGAAAAATTAACGTATGCGCATCTGTATGTATGTATCTACCACATAAACACAAGGGAATGAGGCACTGGGAATGGAGCAGGAGGTAGGCTGGAGTCAGTAGTGTGATGGCTTACAGCGGATATTCTAAATCAATCAGACACATAAGGAAATGAAAGACGACTGAAACTAGGAGTAAGCGGTAAAGGGAAAAGACTAAAATATCAAAAAGGCAATTCAGAAAAGGGAAAAATGCCAATAAATTAAAAACTCTGACTTTGGATGACACAGATGAAAGAAAAGAATACTGAACTAAAAGAGAACTGAAATTTACAGAGGTAGAAAACACAACAAATACTTTCAGTGAACATATCACATTCTAAAATTAGGGCTTATTACAGCCATACTGAGTCATATTAGAAACTTCTTTAAAATCATTATGCTGCCTCCTTTTAAAAATGTGCGGCGATTTCTAATTTTTATTAATTCACAGGTCAAAACCACAGCCCATAGTAATGGAAGAGCTCTTCAATAGAGCACATGCTGAAAACACCTCATTTTTCTTCCGACATCCTATTTCAAGCATTTAAAATATATAACCATACAGATCATGATCATGCTGATTACAAAGTGTTCATCAGAACCAATTCTTAAGCAATGGCTTAAGCAACGATTTAGCTTTCTTTGAAGCTCTAAATGAGGATGACAGAATATTCATTGGAAGATGTATTTCTAAAACATTATACAATTTGTTAAAAATTGCTGGGGTAAGCTGTCACTTTCAACTAAACAGTCTAAAAGTTTCTAATTTTATGCCAAGTAGCTAAGGCAGTCAAAGAAACGCCTTTTGTGAGATGGCCAGAAAGTACCTGACGTAACTAAGTGATTCGTTCCCTAAACTACTTATATTGAACATAGGGAAGAAAAAAGGAACTAGTTAAGAAATCTCTGAGGAATACGGTCTATTGGATTTCAATCATTTCCTAATCAAACCTAAATTTCTATATTACAGGTATGAGCTGCACAGGCACTCAAATCCTTGATCATAGGCAGCAATAAGGCTGTGACTGCAGCATTATCTAGGACAGATCTTTTCAGTAGAGATGTCAAGACAAAGGGGTTAAATCAAACAAAATCAGTACCATACCATCATCTCTGCTTGCTAACTGCTCAGAAATAGAGCCCGAGGAATCTTTCCTGATCACAGATCTTTTGGCTTTTCCTTGCCCGGTTCGACTTCTTTGCCGTACCATAAATCCACCAATACCTACCCAAAAAAAAAAAAATTGGGTAACCCAGTAAGTAACTAATTTCTCGATTTCCACAGGAGGGTGAAACTGCTTAATGTTAAATAGTGAGAGGCATTTCCCAAATTCAATATGGGCGAATTTAAATCAATAATCTCATTTTTATGCAAAAATACAAGAGTTTGGAAATAAACAAATAAAAGAGGTTAAAGCTATTATTACCTTATTGCTAACCAGACGGAATAAAAAATTCATTAGAGTACGGAAAGACTGCAAGCACTTCTTCTTCTAAACAATGTCCGAGTAAATATTCTTAACAAATATTAGTAACTCACACACTATCATTTAAATCACTTATACATTAGCTGAGGGAGAACCGAGACCAGATACAAACCAAACTAGACTCGTGACTCCAGGGCAGTGTGTGCAGTTGCGCCTGGTTGAGGCCCTCAGACAGGAGACACACACGGCTCTGTAGTAACAGCGTGACCTGGAGCCAAACTGTAATTCTGGTTACTACTCCACTCTAGCAATTTATTTCAAGTTGCCGTGCTTCAGTCCCTCACTGGTAAAACAGGGCTACCTTATGATTAATATTTAATCATAAGGATTAAATATGTGTAAACGAATAGATGTAAAGTGCCTGATCCAAGGTCACCACCAACAGCTTTTGTCATGATACAGCTGTCTAACAATACACTTTGTGACCTAATGGGCCCCTCAATTAGAGGGATGAAGAACTTCCATGTAAGGCAGAGACGGGAAAAAGGAATAAATACAAGCTCCTAGAAGGAATGTGCAGTGTCTAAAAAAGTGTCCTTATAAGCCTCATAACTAGGGAGAAATGAAATCACTTTCACACAATGATCAGGATGATACTAATCTAAGTCCTTATTATGATGTGGTCCATTTGTAAGGAAGGTCAGCTGTTTAGGTCCTGCAGAATACAACAAGCACAGGGAGAAGTTTTTCCTTGTACACCAGTAGGTGTTTAGATCCCTCTTATCAATAATGTAAGCAATCAGAAGAATAAAGATTAAACCGAACCGATGCAATTTAATACCTCATTGATTGGTAAACAGAAATTAATAAACTACCTAAAGAAAGCCTGTAAGTTCTGTATTGTGACCATTTCAATAATTTTTTTTTTCCAGTAAGGCAAACAAAATTTGACAAGCGAAATGGTGTTTCTACCCCTGAGGCGGAGAGGAAATAAGAGAGTAGTTTATCATCCCCGTATGAAATGGACGATAAATTTCAGGAAGTGTAAGAACCCCGACCCACCCCTTCATACTGTACACTTACTGGCACCATGCATACACACTGCAGTAAGTTTTATAAACATAACAATACTAGAAAGTGAATACTAAAAATTCCAATAACAGGAGGACACGTCAACAGAAACTACCGGGGGTGCCAAAATAATGTACACTCATTTTAACATAACATCTCTTAAAATGGGTATACATCTTTTTGGCACATTTTTTTAGCACCCTCTGTATTTAAATGGCTTTAAAAGTGCAGGTGTAAATGAAAGTTAATCTAGTGAAACATTTAATAAAATGGACAATATTTGGGATAAAGCATGAAATGATTTATTGTGAAGTATCACATACTCAGCCTAAGGAATGTGTCACCTAAAAAGCATATTCAATTAGTTCACTTCTTTAATTTATAAATATAAGTTTTAGCTTAGAGAGTTAAGAAGCTATATTTCAACCTGATTATTTATTATTATTAAAGCCCTCAATATTATTTTTCTTAAATCAATTAAGTTTCAATCAGGAAAACGTCTAGCTCAGATACTCTACCTGGTCGGTACGGTTTCCTTTTTCTCTTTTTGACACCCTCTGTCCCTTCTGCTCCCTTGGTTTCATCATCCACAGCTTCCCGTTCAGGACTCGATTCTGATTTTCCATCACAATCCATAAGTTCGCCTTCTGGAAAAAAACAAATGTACAGATAAAACTGGGAAAGCCTATCAAACCCATAATTCCTATGTGACAGGAAATACAAAGCAAAGTAGCTGCTGAGTCAGGCTGACTGTGCATCCCAGGTGGCGGGAAAAGTACAGAGGTGGAAACGTCCCGAATGGTCCTAGAGCTCATGCTACTTAATGCAGGGATCTCAGGAAATGAAGCAGTTACCAGGGAAGAGGGATCACACAAAGAAAATGCTCAAAAAGATGATTAGAAATCAATGTGCACTTAAATCATTCCCCTTGCTTTTAATTATGTCTTCCGGTCCAAGACCCCAAGGCTCCCTTCCGAGTTCCAACTAGAGCTATAATTGGATATTCCGTAGTTACTGAAAACTAGACTCAAAACTGAACCGTCGCCCTTTCCAGGTGTTACCTATCATCATTCAAAGGCCTGGAAATATACCTCAGAGAAGCCAGAATCCTGGGAGACGGCCTTGACAATTCCTAATCTCTTCAGCAATCAAGAGGCCTCAATCTCTCTCAAAAACATTTCATTTCTCTACCATCTTAGTCCAATCTTGACTTGCTATAATACCCTCCTACCTAGCTTCCCTGCCTCAAAGCTTACCCTCCTCTCAAATCGGTTCTTCAAATTGCAGCCTAAATCATCTTTCTATAAATGTGTATCCATTTTCTGCTTAAATCCGTTCATGCATCCCGTGGCCTCAAAATGAAGTTCCAATTGTAAGGCCCACACAACAGTCTCTCACAAGCTCTCCAGCCTCACACCTCCTCAACTAAGCGCCACTCATTTCCTTGAACACACCAAGCTCTTTCTCCCACTGCTCCGCAGGCTCTGCCCTCCACCTGCTTGTCTTTCAGGGTTTATTCTATCACTTTCTCAGGGAATTCCTCATGTTTAGATAAGGTTACATGCCAGTTACATGTTCCTGTGCATTAAACATTACGCTTCATTTTCATTGGTTCTTTTAATGTCTGTTTCCTTGCTAGAGTATATTCCCCATGAAAACAGATATTATGACTCCTTTTAACAGCTGCATCCTAGGCATGGTACCTAATATATGTTTAGTAATTATTTCACTGAATCAAGTAAACGATGAAATTATGTACACAAAAGCTCAGCTCTTCAAAAACAATGCTATATTAACCCTATGAAGATCAAACCGTTGCAAGTTGTATATGGATATACACTGAGCTATATGAAAAATATATGTCATCAAATACATTGAAGGTCAAACTTTACCTCTTTTCTTCCTGATTCTATGTACTATATACAACATTTTCTGTAATACCATTCCCAGAATTTGTGAATTTGTTTTGATAATATTAAGTCGATGTTTGAGGCCAATTCCCTAACAATCTGACACCTGCTCCATATAGCTAAGACTAAGTCTTAAAAGGAAATGCTTATTTACTGAAACTTAGCAAGCACCAAGGAAAACAAAAATACCAGTTGTTTACCATATAATAAACCCACCTAAAAATTTATGAGAGGGAATTTTGGGTGAAGATGGTGGACTAAGTCCACGCACCTATTTTCACTCTTCCAAAACCCTATTAAGTGTTCAGTGAAAAAACCTATTGTTACAAGGCAAACCCACAAATACAGAGAAAACAGGAAGGGCGAAAAGTGTCAATCTTGGAAATAGAAAGTAGAAAGATGAATGATAACTGACTTATTAGCAAATGCAAATTCTCAACTGAGAGTGTAAAGAACCAAGGAAAAAAATCCAGTTTATAACACAACCCTCAAAAGGCCGAGGAAGCATATAATGCCTTAAGTTTACCTTCCGTACAGTCTCTCTCAGGAAGCACAGGAAGCTGTGCTCCACCAAAGTGAGGGTGAGAAGTAAGAAAGAGAAAGACATGAAGTAACAGGAATGACACGCAACACAGGAGAGAAGAGAAGGTGAGCTCAGCGTGGTGGTGAGCAGAATCACCACACTCCTCAGGCTAACAACTGCGCTAACGCAGCCCTGGGCCTGCTGCCGGACACCTGCCCTGCCAACAGCGCATGCAGGGCCAGGGGACGCCAGTGGAGCCGCACTGACTGATGACAGTGACAGGACACAAGCGAGCCTAAATGCTGACATCACAGTGCACAGTGGCCCGCACGTGACTGTGCCATGGAAGGTTACGGTCCCTACTAGCCAACGTCTTAAGAACGGCCTTCTGATTCCCAGACTGTAATGAAGAAAACACTCCATGCTGCCCAAGTGTGAGCAGCTGTGCTATAAACACGCGTGTATGTGGGTAAATGATCTCTGGAAGGTTCTGAGAAGACAGTCGCTCTTCCCGAGAGAAGAGGACGGCTGGGAGGCAGATGAACTTCACTGCCTGCTTGTTGAACGCTGTGCGTTTTTTCTGTCACAGATGGTACCCGATGAAAAGAAACTTGCTCTAGCCACTGAAAGAGGTTGCAAATGCACACACGCTTTGATGTAGCGAGGGCTTCACCTTGCAGGCCCACCATTACAAACGCACCAGGTAATTCACTGTACCACTCATAGGGAAAGACTGAAGCAAGAGTCAACGTCTATTAACGAGGGAAGTGAGTTACTTACATCCACACACAGGAATATGAAACATGAGGCCATGAAAATGAAGAACAGTCTAGATTCTAGAGGTAAGGAAAGGGATAATAAGGTAACGAAATGAGAAAAGCACATACACCTGTGGGAGAACACAGGAGTGGCTGGCTCCGGAGAACTGGACTGACAAAGGACAGGGGAGACACGGCCACTTCACCGTTTACCCTTTTTTTCACCCAATCTAAAACCAGGTGAATGTATCACTTGTCCAAAAACCAAATTTAAAAAGTTGAGTGAATTACAACAAAAGTGACAGGACGTAATAGCCTCCCACTTGGCTGCTTCCTCGTGGCGTCTCTCCGGTGACCACTTTCTGCCACTCCGATCCCCCCTTTGCCCCCCCTCTTGCCCTCGCCAGCTCCTCACATCCTGAGGGGCTACCTGGGGACAGCAACGGAGGGGAGGCAGTGTTCCCACTCTTGAGACACACACAGTGTTTTTGTCTTTTTTTTTTTCCCCCCCCAAGATTTGGAATTTTTTGCACTAACAGAGTTTCCTGATCCCAGTAAGTGAATCAGAAAGAAACCTTTGATTGTACAAGAATTTGTTTCTGATATGCTAAGGTGATTGTTTTTTACTTACTTTCCTAAAGACACATTTATCAGAATAGTTAAAAATCAAACAAGATTGGGGCCGGCCAAGTGGCTCAGTTGGTAAAGAGCTCGCTCAAGAGTTTGAGCTCTGAGCAACAGCGGTTCGAGTCCCAGCCCGAGCTGAGCAGCCGCTGAGCTGCCAACAGGTAGCAGGATGGCTCAGCTAAAAAAAATAAATAAATAAATAAAATAAAATCAACCAAGACCAAAACATGGGTAATGTCGCAATATTACAGGAACGTCAGAAGTTCGCTTGGACTCTGTAGCAGCCTGCAGAGTGTTACATGTGTATCATGTGTATGATACACTGTATGATGTGACTTCTACAGGGGTACACCTTCTCAAGCCCCGATTCAAAGCCGCACAGTCGAAGAAACATCCACGATGTTTCACACTGCTCTGCAGAACAGCAGTCACACCAAGAACCTTCTCGGGTCTTTTTTGAATGATCTGTCCTGTTTTCAAAGCTTCTATGATGTCATACTTTGGAAATTAATGTATACTATCAAAAAACCTTTCAAATTTATAGAAATTCAGCATTTCCTAGATTTAAGTAACTATGGAACCATTTTCCCAGACATACTCTAATGTCTTCAGAAACTAGAATTCTTCACTGTATTCTGGCTGATAGTAGTATGATCAATTCCTCCCAGACACACGGACTAATTCTTTACAAGTCCCAAAGCACTTAGAATTTCAAAATCAAATTTCCTGTTCAATGGCATCTGAGCATCAGTTATACGTAAACGTCAGAAAGCTTTTCTCCCAACCACAGTCCCCCACCCCCCTGGAGGACTAACTGACCAAGTATCAGGTACACACCAAAGAAATCCATTAAGCCATGACGCTCGCCCCTGACTACTGAACAGCCTCCTAACCAGTCCACTGGCCTCAACTCCTGGGCCTGGCAGGCCAGTCACATCACAGCACTGTTCCTTGTAAAATACAGGTAAGAGCATGCCACTCTCCTCTGCGGAAACCTCCATCCACCCACAGCAAATGCAAAACCCCTTTGCTCACTGTGCTGCACACACTGGTGTGCAGAGCTCCCCTCAGACACGCTGCAGGTACACCACACCCACTCGGGTCTCGCACTGGCTTTCTCATTGTCCACATGTTCTTCCCTCAGAGAATCGGAGGCTCACTCACTCAACTCTTTAAAGTCTGAGCTCAGATACTGCTCTCAGGTCATCAGGCCCCTCACATCACCCTATATACACCCCCAATTCCTCTTATTCTGCTTTTTCCACAGCACTTGCTGACCACACTATAATCCACTTACTCATTGTGTTATAACTTTTAATAGAATTTTCTCCTAACATTAAAATAAGTTCCATGAAGGGAGAGTTTTATCTGTTTTGTTCACTGATATGACTTCCAACGTCTGGCACATAGTACGCATTCAATAAATACTGTTCAATGACACGATATGATACAACAAAAATAATTATTACTATAAACAAGGCTGTGGTCATCTGCTTCAGAGATAAGCAAAAATGTAACTCACAATGAATATAATACTAAAATTATGTTGTCGTTTCAAGAGTTCAGATAGAAAAGCCTTGATATTAGATCAAGAAAATGTTTACAAACAGGTAGCTTATGATGAACATAAGCTTATACTTGAAGATTAAAATGGCTTTTCCAGTGTTAGAATAGGACGCATGATCACGCTTTGCTTCAGCATAACCATCATGTGCAAGTTCACAGCACCTGAGGAGGTTTATGCTGCTGTCAAACAAACAAGAGTCAAGCTCTCCGAATTTCCCCATCTGTGAACTTCCAAGATACAGTGCTGCTGGAGATTTTTCCAATGTAGCTTGTTCTAAAGGATTCAGGGAAGGAAGAGACCCTGAAAAGGGAAGGTCCAAGAGACCATGCACTCAGGGAGGACAAGTGTCACATCAATCAAGGGCTATCTAAGTCAGGAGAATTTACCCTGAGGACAAATCGTGTGTATTTAAAAACTACTTTATACACTTTAATTCTAGCAAACATATTCCACAGACTATAAATTCATATTACCACGACTGTCATCCATGTCACCATCCCTTGAATGCTCTGACTGGATGTCTGGAGGGGTCTGAAGGACAGCCACACTATTCTGATTTATAATCTTCAATTTCAACTTTGGTTTTGACCGTTTTCTTCTTGGAACCGTAGCTGTGAGGCTCTGTAACTGAGTCATCCCTGATTCGGTCAAACACACACCATCCTGGGTGTAGGTCTTGGGTGGATCTGAAATTACAGTATCCAAGAACACAAATTAAATCTCTTTTACAGTTCTGATTGATAAGTTGATTAATGGTCCAAAATACCCATGTGTCAAGGGAATGTGACTTCTATAAAGCAATTATCTACGAAATGCAAGAATAATTAACTTAACATTCAATTAAAACTAAGAGTAATTGAGGGCCGGCCGAGTGGCTCAGTTGGTTAAGAGCTCGCTTAAGAGTTTGAGCTCTGAGCAACAGCGGTTCGAGTCCAGCCCGAGCTGAGCAGCCACTGAGCTGCCAACAGGTAGCAGGATGGCTCAGCTTAAAAAAAAACAAAAAAAACACTAAGAGTAATTGGCTAGCTTCCTTGAGTGATAGGCAGAAAGGTTGCACGTTTTTAAAAAACGGTCTTCCTGGCATTTCATTGTCCATGTGTCAATATTAGGATTTACAAAGAAAGCACTGAAAGCAATGCTCAGCTACTCAACTATAAGCCTTTTCCTGGAGAATATGTTTTGTATAAGAGAAACAAGAATGCTCTAGAAGCTCACCTGCAAAGCAAAGTATCGATATAATCACTTACAGGGAGAGGTAGTAAACAAGGAGAAATCCAGCCAGTGTTGAAAGGTGCAAAACTGCTGTTTGTTAGAACAATTTCTGTGCTAGCCCAATATTTTTGTTAAATGGAAGTAGACAAAAGAATAACAGTTTAATAAGAATATATTAATCATTATTCCAGGCTGATCTATTACAGGAAAAAATAGCATGAGACTGAATGAATTCTAAAGGAACCTCCGTTTGCCAACTAAGTCTAGTTTTCTGCTACCTGGTTACTAAATGCAATGACATTGTCAATGAAACCACAGCAAGGGTGGCGCCAGCAGTTACGACTGGTTATGTTCATGGCCGACAGGCATACTGTTACTAAAGCTGGATAAGATGAACATCTCATGTATCAATCACAGAAATGATCACCAACATCAGGGAATTTAGACCGAACACCCATATGATTACAGAAGGGTTCATGTAACCTGTGCAAAGTTACATAAAAATTATGCATTTATATGCTTTTTGTAAAGACCAGCTAAATAAAGCAGTTCAGGTTTTACCTAGCTCTTTCACTTTTGTGACAATCTGTGCTACAAGTGAAGAGTCACAGCAGTCTGAGGAAGGCACTGAAATGAAAAACAAACAAAATGCATGTAATTTTTTCAGAAATGGTAAAGTGCGTTTGAAGACAAATGATTAAAATTTCTATTTCTGTATTACAGAATTGTACACTTGAAACTTATGTAACTTTACTACTCATTGTCACCCTAATAAACTTTAATAAAAAAAATTTTCTATTTCTGTACCTATTTACTGAAATAAATACTTGAACACTAAATAGAGTTAGAGGCTGTCTTTAAAATAACAAAAATAAGTGGCGAAGGAAATATACACATGAGGAGGAAACTGGTAAAGATAAAGAACTACTGTGCTAGATTTCTACAAACTGCTAGTAACCACAAGATTATGCGTCTTAAAAGCAAAGATTACATTTTATATCTAATATATATTTAATATGATTTCTTTATGTAAGCATATTGTTTTAATACATTAAGTTGGGATAATAAGAACTAATTTATAACGAAAAAGCAACAACTTATCTGCTGTAAAATACTTGTCCAAATAATAGTTTCACAAAAAGAGAAGAGGGGTAGAGCTAAGCCCCCTCGCTGGCCATGGGCAGCGAGGCGCAGTGGAGGAGCGGGCTCGCCGTTTCAATTGTTTTCTTACCATTTGACGTAGGCATATAGGGTCTGCACATGCTACAATCAAAACCAATGTCGGCTACATTCTCCACTTCCTCTTCGGTATTTAAGTTTTGACAAACTGCATGCATCCATCTAAAGACCGTATTTGTACATTGGAAAAAAAAAAAAGAAAGAAGAAGAGATATACTGAGAATGGTTTCCTTTTAAAAACAGGAGTTGACTGTCTCTAACTTCGAGCCCCTAAGCCTCAAGTGATCCCCTATTTGGACCGTGTTACCCTTTAATCCTAACCCTGACTACTGACCCTTAAAATTTTTCAGAACTAAGAAAAAGAAGAAGGACTGTCAGTCAAGTATTTTGAAGGAAGCAGAAGCACATTACACGAGGATGATGGGGTAACTGTTTAACAATCATATCCTGTAGGTTTGAGAGACCACGAGGAGGCTGGCGGGGCCAGTGGAGGGGGTCAGGAGGCTGCACATGGGCAGCGGGCATGCGCCCAACCCCATGCAATGCACCGGCGTGAGCACGTACAGCTCACACAAGGACGGCAACTGCAGTTGGTAAATAAAAGCAGTTATCTTGCCTTAGAAAAAAGAAGTGGTCAGCAGAGTCCTGAGAGTCCTGTGCTACCGTTGAAATAGTACTATGACCAATAGCGCATGCCCAGGGCTTAACTGCTAACAGAGCACAGTAAGATACCACTGAAACCAAAGAACACATGCTACATTTTGAAGCTGCACATAAACTACTTAGGGAAGGTGTCTGATATGTACATATTTAGTGCTGGTATCTAATATGCAGATATTTAGTATCGAGAGCTTTAAGAAAAAGTGGTTTAAGGAAAACAGAAAGTGTAAGGCTCTTTGTAAAATCTAATAAAAGATTCAGAAACCCTCCTAGAAAAATGCATATACACAGGCAGTACTGCATCTAATTTCAAGGAATTCATAAACCCTTAAAAAAGCCCCAAGTTAAAAATCTTGAGTCTGGAACTGAGACTACAAAACAGGAAGAAACTTCTGTAAGTTTCTAGTTGACTATAAACCTGGAGGAAAAAGTCTTGTTTCTTAAATTTAAGGAGAAATTTATTTTCCAATTCCTTCCTGCTCCATTGAAGAGAGAAAAGCGTGCAGAAGATGAAAGATCAAAAGCCAGCGCAATACCTATCACATTGTCTACACTGCAGAATCAGGTCTTCCTCTCTGTAGTTGCGACGGCAGGCCGGGCAGGAAGACAAGCTTGCACAGGGGGCGCACTGCGTGTAATTGTTTTGCCATTCACATCTCAGGCCTGCACACGTCGCTCCACAGTGTCTGCACCAAACACACCTGAAACCCAACACCCCAAACAGTCTCAATTTTATTTACTGAGTTACTTTGTGTAATTCAAGGAGCTACACATGAACAGGATAGGGGAAATTATTTAATGCATATTTGACAAGTTTTTGATTAGTGATATCTATCATGGTAAACATGTATTATGCAATTAAACGTATGTGACTAGTTTTTTTAAAACGAAAGTAACGTGGGAAAATTGGAACTTGGAAGATCAACAAGGGAAACATAAATCCTAGAGTACCATTTGCACTTCCAGCCTCCTTTGGGAACTGTCTGCAATGGAGGGTCTAGGCAGTAGGTGTGGTAACTTATGTCACAATCATCACACAGCAGCAGTCTTCCTGGGTCAGTCGCCTTCCCACAGGCCTCACACACAGTACACTCAAGACACCTCCAACCTTTGCTAAGAACCACTTTAGTGATCTGTAAAAGAAACAACCAGTCCATGTCATTTACACATTAACCTATGCCTCGTTTTGCAAGATCAAATAGACCCTATAAGTGAATATGGCGCTCATGCACCTAAAAGCAGAAAAGATGCAAGTAGCTAACGTCTACTGAGCACCGACAGTGGCCCAGCACTGAGGTCAGCACATCCTAGGCTCTTAGGAGTCTACCTATCAGACAGAATAGAAGTGGTATGTATTTTACTGCCTTTTTTTAGTCCCTATAACTATCTTGTGCTGTAGAGTTTATGTCCATTTTATTGATGTGGTGACTGGATTTTTAAAAAAATCAAAGAAACTGCCCCATTACTGCTAATAAAATATTTAAAATGTATTAACATATCTGTGACATTTCATGATTTATGCTTCCGAAACTTGTATGTATATATTGCATAGGGACTAGTATATTAAAATCAATATAAAAATGCAAAAAATGAAAGTAAAACATGAGCTCACAAGAACATTTCATGAGCTTGGAGGTCTTCAGGTTATGAAGCTAGGACTTCTGAAGTTCACATTCTCTCCTCTGTATATTTCCTCTGCTGCAAAGGTCTAAGTTAGTCTGAGAATCTCTAGAAAAGTTTGAGAATCTCTATGCTTCTAATAAATTCCTCACAGCAGCCATATTATATATTATTAAGAATTTGGAACCAACTTAAATATCTCAAAAGACTGGGGTCTATACACAGAAAGGACCACAAAATGCCTGTGTTATAAACAAACAGCAAGCAATCAAGACACCAAGTTAAAAATTCAGATCATGAGGAATAAGAAAGTCTAAAAGCTACCTTAGAGGAAAATAAAAGAGTTAAATAAAGGAATAGCTATCAAAATGGCATCAGACTTTCTAGCTCTGGCAGCTAAAATAAAGTCATAGTTTCCAATTCTACAGGAAAATACTTTTCAAGGCACAATTCTTAACCAAGTAAACAAGCAACTCGGTGTGGAAGTAGAATACCTGTTAGACATACAAGACACTCAGCTGCCCAACACCCCACCTAATGAAGTTCCTTAGAGAGATGAGGATCAGAATGAGGGGGTGTACCAAGAAAAGGGGGGATGTGGGATCTAGGAAACAATAACCCAACGGAGGACATCAGCCCGAGAAGTTCAAGGATGGGGGTGGAGCAACAGCCCTAGATCAGAACATGGCCAAGGGATGCAGGGACGGGGCAGAGCTCTTCCCAGAAAAACAGGTGCCTGCCCAAATAACCGGATAGGATTCTGCTCCTATTGTAGGTAGAAGCACACAGCAAAAGCGAATGAGGAATCTTCACTTCTTCTTGCTATGAAAAACTCCATGATACAGGAAAGAGTCACAGTATGCTGGTCAGATCTTCAGTGGACAGTTATGAGTCATCACCAACACTGTGTATTAACTGATGCAATGAAACGACTACACTGGGGGCTGCTGGGAGAAGGCCGGAGGTGGATTTAAGAGCGACGTTAGCCTTGACTGGTTCACAGCGGCAAGTGCACAGAATCTCACACAGATACAGCGGTAGCACCAGCTACTGTTTAGGCTCCAGAGCTAACTGCAAGGAGGACGTGAAGAGATGAGAAGTGGCTGCCTGTGGGGCACAGGAGTCAGAGGCGAAGGTGGAGATAAAGGTTGTTCAGGCATTACAAGGCTTCTAAAGCCATTTGATATTTTAAACATGCACACTTATTACTTTGATTAGCCTGTTAATTCTTTTAAATTAGTCTTGGATTATCAGTTTTATTATTTACCTAAATGGAGGACAAGGCCTAGAGTAGGAATAGCAGGGTGGCTTAGAGTCAGCAAACCTTTTCTGTAAAGGGTCAGATAGTTTTTACACTTTGTGGGGCATACGGTCCGTGGAATTACACAAATGTGTCATTGCAGTGTGATACCAACTATAGACATATGTCAACAAAAGAGCATGTCTGTGTTCCAACAACGCTCCATTTACAAAAGCAGGCAGTGGGCGAGATTGGGCCAGTGGGCCGTGGGTTACCGATCCCTGGCACAGAGGGTGAAGACAAAGTGGCAGGCAGATCCCAGGTATTAAGTGGGAGCCTGTTTTTCTATTGTACCTTCATTCCCACTAAGTTTTCTTATTTCACAGATGCCTACACTGTGGTCCTTTACAGCCAAACTCTCAAGTTAATCAGCTCGTGTTCACTCTAACACACTACAATCTGGCCTATGCCCATCGCCCCGGAAACTGCTCACATCAGTCGGTCAAGTCTCCCATGTCTCACTGACACATTAGTATCTGGTATTTGACCTCTCTGCGGTATGTCAACATTTGAACGAATCCCCACCCTTTGTAATTCCCTCTTAGTACAGATTTCAGGGCTTTACCGTCAACTCTTCCTTCTCCTATTGACTGGCTCAGTCTTTATTTTAAAGAGCTCTTTCAAATAAGGGATTGTCCAGGGTTTCATCCGTGGAACCATTACAAAATCATAATACATGTGTTTTTAGTCTATACTGGATATCTGCTTCAACTACGATGCAGTGGCCGATGAGACTGTTCTTCCATCATAAAATACCAGAAAACTGGGTAAACGTCTGAAGCACTTGTTTTCAGATACTGGGCACAAGACAGGACAGGCCTGTGGTCTCGAGAGGCGGGGACGAGTGAGGTTGAGTCCTGTGGTGTTTTGCCTGTAGACGTTTTCCAGGATGCTGCCCAGGAAGGAAGAAGCCCCGAAGGGTACGAGGGTCTCCCTGACTTTAGCACACAGGATGGACTTCAGAAGGATGAGGCCGCTGGACTTTGCAGGACAGAGGACTGGGAAAGCGGGAACAATAAAGAGCAAGGGCTCTAGACGTCTACCCAGGATCCCCCTGAAGTCCTTGGCGGACACCAAGCTGCACAGCTAGGAGGACAAACAAGGACCCATGGGCACGGCCAAGGCCACCTGGTGGGAATATGTAAGCTGACACGATACTGAAAACATCTGACTCTCCACCAGCCAGGGTGAAAAGACACTGATGAACGGGGGAGCCTGGGGGTTGAGAGGGGTGTGGGGAGAATTCAGCAGAGACTGTATAAAGTCCAACCCTCAAGTACAGGCTTAAACTAGTGCTAGAAGAAAAGTCGCAAAAGTGTGATCAGGGGAACTCCAGTGGGTCTGTGAGGTCAAAACCATTTTCATAGTAATACTAAGATGTTATCTGTCTTCTTCACTTTCGTCAACCCACGGATGTTCTGCAGAGGCTACAAGATGTCCAAAATATCATTATACCAACACCATACAAGCTGTGTCTCTATATTTTTGTTTTAAAACATTCCCAGTTAATTTTTAAAATGGTAAAAATTCAGTAAGTATTACCCGTATAAACAAAAACTTTATTGGGTCCTAAATAATTTTTAAGTGTTCAGGGTTCTAAGACCAAAATGTTTACGTATAGACACCTTATTGGGAAGGCTCTCTAGAACCACCAAAAAAGCTTAAAAAGAATCTTCAAAAGGTTGAAACTTAGCCACAAGAAACTGCCTGCCACAACAAAAACTCAATACTTTTTGAAGGAACAAAATCCAGACTCCCAACAATATACTATCACAATGCACAATGTCCACAAGCAATAAAAAATTACTAGATGTAAAAATAACAGGTAAACATACCCTGATGAGGAGAAAGATTAGTTACCACAATGAGAAATGTCAGATAATCATATACAAAGGCTTGAAAGAAAGCATAGAAATTTAAGACTATACAAGAGAACTAAAAACTGTAAAATGGAGCTGAGTTAAAAAATACAATTATCTGAGTGAAAAATCCACTGGATGGGCTTAAAAATATATTACGCACTACATAATAACCGTGAGTTTGGGGAATATAATAGAAACTACACAAACAAAGCAAAGAGAAAAACAACTGGAAAAAAATTAACAAAGTGTCAGTAATTTGCAGGAAATGTCATGCAATTTCTCATATACACCCAACATGTGTGCACATGTGCATGCACACACACAACTGAGATTCCAGAAATGGAATTGGATTGGGGAACAGAAAAATTTTGAGGACATAATGGCCAAGGTTGCTCCAAAAACGATGAAAAATATGAACCTTTTGTACACAGGGTTGAGAAGAGTGACTGTGGGAAGGCCGAGGTGAGTTAACACATATTTCACTAAGTGCTCAAGATGCTCTCAACTTTTATAACCAATAGGATGAATCAAATAAACATCATGGCTTAGAAAATAATAGTATAAAGTATCTCTTCAATTAAATATATGCATTTTTGTCATACTTCTTCAAGACAACAGCAGGATAATTACTACAATTTAAGACAAGAGATTTATGGACTTAATTTCTTGAGGTAACACTTTAAAGGTAATATTGAAAGTACTTAAATATTGTCACATACGCACAATAATCCTGACAAACAACACTTGATTAATTATAAGAGCTGGAAGCAGCATGATACAACCCAAATCAAACTGAAACGCATCCGTGTTAAGTCATTTAACTGTACGCATATTCACCTTAATACTGACGCAGTATGGATGGTAGCACTGCCCACACTGTGAACAGGCGAGCAATCTTCCCTCTGCTCCTTGGCCGAAGCTGCCACAGACGACACACATATCCTGGAATTCAGAACCCATGAACATATTTTACAGCAGGCACTAGCTAAGAATGTACTAACATACTAATTTTGTAGTTCTGTAAAAGTACCTTCTCAGCTTAAATATAGCAATAGAGCTAAACATTGGACGACTTCAATGCAAACGCGATAAAGAAGAAACGAGCAGAAAGGGGCTCCAAAGAGGAGACAGTAAGTGACGCAGTGCAAACCTGGTGCAGAGTGAACTTGTCGCTGCTGGAAAACAACACAACTGTGTTGTGCATGGAGTTTTCCTCTTCATCCTTATTTGATGAAATATCAGCAGCAGACACCTGTAAAAAGGAAAATACACAAAATATGAAGTAATATTTTCAACTGAATTATACTGAACTGGAAAGTTTGAGAAGATTCCCAAACAAAATACAGTGTTCGCAGAGGTCTAGATTAACAATCTCAAATTAGATTATTACCAAGATACTACCATAAAAGTGTAAGACTGACATTTGTAGTCACCTAATTGTCTCTTTAGAGTTACAAGTCCCACAGATCAGGAAGTAATGAGAAAAAGATAAACCTGTCTTTAATAAGACTAATTACCCAGAAATTCTAGTCAAGAAACAAAAAATACCACATGTGTCTATGTATATATGTGATTGTGTGTACATACATATATACATGCATGTACCTACATATACATGCATCACTCTACTTTAGTGACTTTTAAAACCTGTAACATGTTTAGCCCAAATTGAGATGTGCTGTAAGTATAAAATACCCGCTAGACTTCAAAGACAGTACCAAACAAAAAAGAACATAAATATAGCTCATAAATAATTTTGTACAATTTATATACTATATGTTGAAATGGTGATATTTTAGATGTACTGGGTCAAAAGACATACAATAAAATTAAATTTCACCTGTTCCCTTTCCTTTCAAATGTAGCTACTGGGAAGTTTTAAATTGCATATGTGGCTCACAATATATTTCTTTTGGAAAGCACTACTTTAAAATAGTTAATTTGAATAATATTATTGAATAACTTACCAAAATTTCAGTATTAGCCACAGGATCATCAACTATAGATGTTCACTTCTGGGCTTAAGTTAAATTTGACCAAATCAACTAAGTACCCATGGGTTTGTGAATTATTTACAGAGTGCTTACCATGACTAAAGCTCTGAATTAGATGCTAAAAAAGAGAACAGGAAGGCCAGTGCCAGAATTATAAAATACAATTCTCTTCACTTAAAGAGCTTACGATCTTGTCTGGAAAGAAAGAGCTGAAACAGAACAGGTCATGGTCAAAATAAAAAGTTAACAGTACTGTTCTTGAAGAATGACTGAAAGAAAAGTAACTAATTTTAAGAGTAACTAAAGGGGGCCGGCCGAGCGGCGCGATGGTTAAGAACTCGCTTGGGATGCCAGAGGGCCCCGGTTCGGATCCCACATATGAGGGCCAGTGACACTGCCCCCCAACTCCAAAAAAAAAATCTAAAAAAAAAAAAAAAAAAGAGTAACTAAAGGGAGTATGTTCCAGGAATAATATCCATTTCTACCTCCCATTTCCAACACAGGAAGGAAAACAGGTTTTACAACTGGGTGATACATAGAGTAGCTCAAAGAAATGGTAAAAATGTTATTCTTATTTTTGAAGGATAATTTAACCAGGGAATGCTTTTGTTCAAAATGAGAAACAAGGATGGAATAGAGTATTTCCAGTATAAACCAGAAACTATGAAAAACAGACTTTTCTTCAAAAACTAAGCACACACCTAACATATATGCAGGCGTTCCACCCTAGAGGTTTACCCACGTGAAGAGAGAGCATGTGCCCACATGTGGACTTGAACATAAACGTTCCCAGCGGCTTTGTTTCTAAGAGCCAAAAAAGGGACGCACCATCATGTGCTTTAATAGGTGAAGAGACGCACGAACGGTTACACACCCGTAACAGCAGATACTCTTCAGCGACAAAAAGGACTGAATTATTAACCCATGCAGGAGCATAGATTAATCTCAGCATAACTATGCTGAGTGAAATACATCAGACCAAATGGAATCCACTGCACTTATATAAACTCTGGAAAATGCAAACTAGCTGACAGGTGGGAATCAGGCAGGTCGTGCCTGGGGAAGGCCAGGTGGAGCAGGGAAGGCCGAGGCCCTTCGGGGGGCATGGAGACACTTTGGGGGTGATGTGTCCACAGTACTGATTGTGCTGTGGTTCTCACGGGTGTACCCACATGTCAAAACCTACCAAGCTGTACACTGCAAACATTTCTACCTTCATTTTATGTCAGTTTACCTCAATAAGCCTGTAAATTTTAGGAGGGAAGTTGCTTTTTTTAAAAAAGGACCAGAGCCCAAGTTTCCTTACTCCTTTAGTAGTAACATGAAACAATTCCACCTGTCTTCTGAACTTAAAATGACAATTAGAATTTGAAAAACAGGATGTTGGTAAAATAGCTACTACAGGAAATACCTGCCATTTCGTGCCAAATACAGCTTTTTCATTACACATTTAAACAAAGCCTCCTAACATGTCAGTGAGCCAGTATTTATCAATCTTAAATGAGAACATGTCAAAGGCAGTCACAAAACCCTCAAAATTTTAGTCCTAACTCACCTGCAACATTTGTCTTCTTGTGTAAGCCACATTATAACCCTGAGAGCAACTCCAACCCGAAACTTAAAATGTCGACATAATTAAGTTTTCCAGAGAAACAAGAATGTAACAGGAGTTAGCCATTTTTTTCTTTTTTTTAAAGGAAGAAAATATATTAATTACATTTGGACTTTTGAGAAGGGTTTGCGCAGAAAGATGTTACAAAGGAAGGAAAGAAAAGGAAAAAAAGAATAAGGCAGGAAATCTGACCAGAAGTTTAAAAGAAAAAAGCAGAGTAGAGCTACAGTTTAAATAAAAAAAAAAAAAAAGAAAAATCTCAGCCCGCTTGTGTGACCCTGGGCATCTACGTGATTCACCGCCTCTGAGGTCACCACCACCAGTCGACGTATTACGTTAAGGATTACAGCGAACGGGAAGGAAGCAAGCCTTACCCCAGGTAGCACAACTGCCCCGATTCCGCTTTTCAATTTCGATCTGCCTCTGCCACCGCGTCCCGACAGCCCTGCGCCTCGGGGTCTCCGCTTTCCCGGGAATCCTGACCCACGGCCCTACACGACAGAGAAGGCAAGTCAGCCATCTGTGCAAGCCCCAAAGAATTTAAAATCCAAATGTGAGGTAAAAACAGCTTGTTAAATGTAAGCAAATACTAGTGGCTTCTTGCTTTTATTCTGATCAGATGATAAATATTAAGAGGCCCGACTTACTACTTGTATTTTTCAAGATGTATTCTGCAACTTAAATATATATCTAAAAACATGAAATGCCTGGCACCTGCTTTGAGCCTCAAGCTTTGAGCCTGTCACTGCAAATGCTCTGCAGCTCAAACCCTGGCTTTACTGTCCCATTTCCTCATCCCACAACCCAGGGGGCGACAACAGCCACGGCCCCATCCAGGTACCTCCTGTGCAGCCACTTGTGTTCAGTATGAAGTACAAGGAGGGACTCATGCGGCCGAGTCTGTCACCACAGTGACAGCTAACAGACTGCTCTCAGCACTTGTTACTCCCAACAGTCTCATAAGGTCGGGCCATTTTATTATCCCCATTTTAGAGATACGTACACTGAAGAATAAAAAGGTTAAGTAACTTGTCCGAAGACACAGGGCCAGCACGTGTGGCTCCAGGGTCCCTACTTTTAACCACTGTCTGCACTGCCACATTACATGTAAGCTGAGCTTTGCTAGTGTGCAACAGTACTTTTCCTGTCATGGAACTGTCCATTTCCTTCACTGTTCAGTAGTTGTCCATGAACTGAACATGTGTGCCTCATTCTACTACAGTTTTCGGAGGACAATTTATTGAAAGATAGGAAAGCTGATGAAAGAGTAGAAGGCTTGCTTTAAATCATCTAGATAATGATTACTTCAAATGGAAATAATTTATTGGAATTTTTACCCAACACAAGAAAAAAATTATATGGAAAACAGGTCAAATTCTCTGTTATTTTCACAGTAAGTACTAGGATTATTTGTTGTTTTTCTTGTTTATACTCAGACTTATTTTTACTCCCTCCAAAAACCTAGCATGTTATACACCCTTGTGTAGATTAAAAGTGTTAAAATACTCAGGAAAATCCTCTGATATTTTTCCCTAGCTAGTTAAATAGTATGCCCCATGTTCAACTGATGTCACTAATCATGGTTTGAAATGCTGAACTCATTATTAGCAGAATGGTTTCCAAGTCAATAATTTATGATTATATTGTGAGCGTAGATACACATGAACAAAGGGGAGAGTGAACCTTTTTCCCCATCAGTGTTAATCAATAGAGCCAACTTCCAATTTTCAAATGGCCTCTCCTTGCCCTTTAAACTGCTCTCCTCTAGAGCTTGAGCTTCTTTGAACAAAGGATAGGGTAGGGATGAAGTTGATAGCTTCTTGTTGTTTTGTTACTAGGTATAAAAGACTTTTTAAAAATCGGAGATTAAATCAAGAGTAATCTCGCAATTTATTTTTCCTCAACTTCCAATGAAACAGATTAAGTGAAAACTGGTGTCATTTGCTTAATAATTGTCAAACAAGCCATCTTTTACACTCTTAAAACAAATATTTATACTTTCGACACCTTACATGATATCAAATTGAAAAAAACAGTTCTTCCAATGGTGACAGAAAAATAAGTGGAATCTAGAATGCCTTTGAAATCCCTAAATAGTCTAAATTAAACAGCCTTATTCCAGAATTATATTAAATGTAGTAGATGAAGAAAAATTATGTTCTCTAGTCAGTAAAATATTTTAACTTTTCAGATAATAAATGCTTTTTCAAATTAATATTTTACCCTTCAAACTGTTATCAGACCACTTAACTTACTTCAAGGACTAGCAGAATCATACAGTGACATAGAAAAGAGGCCTTATAATTTTGACGTTAACAGAATGAAATCTGCTGCAATTCTGATATTTCTTCTCCATTAATACATTAATAGGTTAATGCAGTTTTTCTTTTGTTCTTTTCTAAGCAACAAAATTTTATGGTATCATGAATAACCAAGTCCTTAATTACGTTTAGGCAATGTAATGAGAATTTCCCTTCATACTGGTAATTACAACATAAAAGGAAGAAGCCATTAAAAGAGGTATTCAAAAACTACACTTAAAATCAGTCATGTAAAATTTCAATTTAATTTCCTCTTAATCCAGGTTTGTAAGAGCAAGCATGTTGCTTCTACATATTAAAATTCTGAGATAAAAACGTGGCTCTGGCAGCTGAACTACTTAGCAAAGAAAGGTTCAGTCTTAACTTCCACTCAGACACAACCAACCAGAAAGAAATGATACAGGAATGTAAGTGCAAGTTTATTTACCACTTTGATACTCCAGAGGCCACTGCCAGGAAGCTGCCTGGGTTTAAAAATGTCCCGACCTTCTGAAACGTCTGGGGACCAGGAAGGTGGGCTCACTGTGTTATGGGAACTCCAAGCCCCCTAGGATATGGCAGGTGAGAAAACAGATGTATAAAACTCAGCAACACGAAAGTTCAAGCCAGCAACTAAGGAAAACTTTAGAACAGCAAAACAAATGCAGACGTATGCAAGTTTAGGACAAACTGCTCAGGGTAAGGAAAATAAGGTTATCACTCACAGTGGCTTTATGCTTAAATGTTTTCCGACAACCAAGAATAAATAAATAAAAGTCAATCAAACTCTTAGAATTAACAATGTAAGAAACTAGTTGGGGATTACTTTCTTCCAATGACTATCACTCTACTGGAAAGGAGAAAAAGACAGCCTTAAAGAATGTTATGTATATCTATTGCTTTTAAAAATCAAACCAGTAGGCCAAAAACGGCAATCAGAAACATGAGCAATAAACAGACATGTTTCTTTAAACTGTAGAAAGTTAGTTTGTAACCTTAAGATGTAAATACCATTATAATCCTAGCATTTAAATTACTCTTCCTTCAGTGACCAGTAGTTGTGAGTTTTGGCTTTTCATTCTTATTTAAAGGACTTATTATACTTAGATGACATCCAAGGGATTAATTTTCAAAGTGAAAAATGTTAAAGCAAGTTGTCCTAAATTTGCAAATTAAAATGCCCAAAGTACCTGATTATTTATGCAAGAAATAGTACCTTATAAAAATAGTTAAATTAAAACTAAGACATTTTACTTCCAAATAACCAGGTTCAGTAACAACCTGAACTAAGCTGATGAAGACGCTAAGCAGCATAAAGAAAAAAGTATACTCCACAAAGATAACATTTTAAAGGAAAACACAAAATAAATGTCAAAACAATAACGTATTTTGAATTAAGCAGTTCAGCAAGACATGCTATAAATGTTACCAATTAAATCACCAAAACTTAAGAAACACGGTACTTACCAGGTTTCTAGAATACTGTCAAATTAACAAGCGGTAGCCTACTAATCACATAAAAATACCATCGGGAATTTAAATAACCAACCAAAACGAGGAGCTTGACTACCGTGTGTGGATCAGATAGGTAATGGAATGACAGTACCTGGGGGAGAGCGACAGGGGAGAGGCTGGCGGCACTTTTAATTATCCTACCTACTCTCACTCAGGCATAGCCATGGCTATGCAGGTTTCACTGACCAGCGAGTTACTGCACTTTCCCACCGTCAGACCAGCCTGCCTCTGTCTTTGTCTTCTCCCCCGCTTGCACCCAGGGTCTTTGGTAACCTCTCTGCTGCCAAAACTCATTGCTCTATCCTCCTTTTACTCAAACTCTCAACATCTAATACCTGTGATGTTCTCGGCCCTGCCGTACTGACCCTCCTCGGTCTCTCACCAAGCTGTTCCTCCACCTTACCTCGAAAGCCCTCTCTCCAGTCTCACCTGTCAGGGGGCTGTGAATACCAGCCAGTATTTGTCTCCCAAATGCACCTGTTCTGAGAGCTGCATGTTAGCAACATTGTCCACGTCCTTCCTAGCATGTCCTTCCTGCCATACGAAACCTCTCCCTTACCCAGTCCCATCTTTATCACCTTCCCGTCTTTAGACATGCACCGGGAGTCGTGTGCTTCTCCAACCCTCTTTCCAGCACTCCCTTCCAAGTCCGGAACTCTTCAAAAATGTCATCCTGATCAAGCAAGTCACGACCCTGTTGTAAACCCTTCCACAGTTCTCAGTGCCACCTGAAACCCACGCCCTGCCTGCCCCCGCTGCTCGCCCCAGCTCGCAGCCCTCTCTTCTGCCCTCGCTACCCTGCCTCCCGCAAGCATGCCAGCTCTCTGCCACTCAGAACACTCCACCTGTCCAGTGGCTGCCTCGTCCAAATTCTTCAGGTATGGCCTTAACTAATTCCTCACGAGAGTGGTCTTTCCTCAGCGCTCGCTCCAAGGAAACCATCTCATCATCTCCCTTATCACCTTTTGCATCTTCTCATTAATCACAATTTGGGGTCATGTGTTATTGTTTATAGTTATTTAGTGGTAGGGAGGGGGGTTTCTCTCTGAGGATATTTGGCTAGTATACACCTTAAATTCCTTTTGGTGGATTGTTTAATGTTGTCAGTAGACAGTTATTAAAACATACCATAAAAGTCATGTTCTAAGATAACGTTATGTTATTCATCATAATTTAAAAGTTAGCTTTGATGTCAAAATTGTATCTGATTTTAAAAAGCATTCATACTTCATAAAATATAGATGAACAAAATGAAGGTTCTATAGATCAAGAATGTTTGGATGTCATCTCAGGGATAATTAGAAAATCACTCAGCTACTATGAAGAACTTATATAATAAAAGCGTGGGTAATTACATTATGAATTTTAATATGTATATTATCATAAGACATTGGAAGATGGATTGTGTGCAATTTTATAGAAGAAAAATTATGATATACTTCGATATTTTGACAAAGAAATTACCTAAGATATTCTTTAGACCTTAGAACTAAAACTTGAGTTATAAATTATCCTTCAGATCTCAGCGTTGATAAGAAGCAACTTACAGGCTGTTCAGGGGGGTGGCGCACCCTGTCTACAGCAACGTGGTTTACACCTCTGCAGCACCCGAATTTACACTTCCTGCCCTTGTACGGGTTGCCACTGGAGCACACGCTTGATGAGAAGACCATGCTTTTTCTGCTCGCTGCTATGTTAAGAATTGCTTAGCATTTAGTGAACATCCATTTTTTCCGACTGAGCATGTATTACGATTTTTGCATACATGTACACATAAATGCATCAACACTAACGCGATATGAAACATGCTCATTCACTCACCAGTTACAGCCTGAAATCTTGGATTTCCTCATCTATTAAAAAATTACCAATCTATCCAATGCACTGTTACTCTTAACGTACTATCTACAAAATGAATTAAAAGCAAAAAGGGTTCAAAATGTAGACATTAGGAGACTAAGTTGTGAAGAAAGCTAAATAGAGCCAACTCGTTATCAAATCCTCTAGAAACTAAAAAAATACTACTTGGCAGAGATCGAATTACATTCCAACAATAATTACTGAACCCAAAGCCTGTTTAAAATTGGTATTAAGCTTCTTTCTGCTTTGAGGCCCATTTCATAGGTAAATTTATAAACACAGTAAATTATGCAGCTATTACAAGGCTGGTGGGGCAGGGCGATGGGAACGGTGATGGCAGGTGGAGAGAGGGTCGACTATTACGGGCAGCTTTCTATCGGAGTCTAACCCTGTTGCAGGCTCTGAAACATGATAAACGTCACTATTAGAGCCCAGGAGCATCCTAATCGACTGAGTCCGTTTTAAGAGAGGCCAGAGAGGGTTTCGTGTCTCCTGAGCAGACTTCACACCTAAGTTATCCTGGAGGTCACCCTCTCCCAAAATATCATCTCCAACCAACGTTGCTATAAAAGGAAGAGTCTGGTTTAGAGCAAGTAAAAACGATGAAGAGAGCAGAAAAGAACAACTAGCAAGAGAAACAGAAAACACGTGTTTACAATTTGTCCTTTGGGTACACACATTCACTCAGGTGCATTATGGCTACCACAGCAAACTCATTCTTTACGACTTACAGAATTCTCTTCACATTAAGTCTCATATACAAAACTGAGTTCAGCATCAAATGGAAACAAGACATTTAGTCCTGGTAGTGATTTGCTAAGATACTATAAAAGCATAGAAATAGAATAGGAATTTGGCTGGAGCTAAAAATGGTTTTGGTAATGGCTTCAGAAATATCACAACAGGAAACGAAGAGGAAAGTCTGATGATTCTTACTCTGAGTTTGCTGCCTGACACCCCAAAGAGGAGGCATAGTTTAGGTTTAAACTACATTTTTGTTTCTCAGTGGTTTATAGTAGTGGATCTGAGACTTGCGCCTGCATGGGGATCGGTGGGGCCTGAGCATCTGCCTAACCACCTCCCAGGTAACGTTGATATTCCTGGTCTGCAGGTCACATTTTCAGAAGTAAGGGCTGAGCCTCCGTTCCTCCTAGAAAACACACCTAGGGCTGCTGGCCCAGGGAGAGTGTTTCCTCTCACCTGCTCTGCTCTGTAACGGGCAGTTTAGTTCTAAAACCTGTGCAACCATTATGTGGCTTTGACCTTGAGACACCTACCACCTGCTATATTCACGGTGGCCGGCGTTTGACTGGGTCAAGGCCTCCAGTTACTTTATTTGCTTACACATTCAGTGCAAACCGTTGTCAGTCAGTCGGTCTGGCTGGTTTTAGGCCCCACCACTCCAGACCGACACTTCACACGTGATCACTGTGTCCTCCTCCACTTTCACAGAACAACATCTGCCTCAATCTGCAGTTCAAGAAAGAAAGCAGGGCAGCACTACCGTTCGCTCTGTGTCCGGTGCCTGGTGTGTGTGTCAGCGTTCAGCTGTAACCACCACCATGTGGTGCAGTCTCACAGGTGAAGAAACAAGACAGTCCACAGGGGCCTTGCTTAGTTTCACACTGACAATCATGGAAGAAAAATAAGGGTTCGAAGCGCAGCGATTGCACTATGGAAAGGTCCGTGCTGACTATTAATCAAGCTTTCCCAGCATCAATTAATTATGGTAAAACAGATGTAAACAATACAAAATACTTCTCACAAGTCACTTTCTGAAAAGGCAGCATAGTATTTAGACTAGAATATCTGTGGAAACTAACCTTTGGCATCTACACTTTATCTTTTTTCTTTTAAGATTTCTATTGGGGAATTGGGGGAAGGGGAACAGACAAGTTGCTGTCCTTTTGTTCTTCAGTCTAGTTGTGGAGGATGTTGCTTCACTGGCCCAAGTTGGCACCATCATTGCGCTCTTCCGGGGCGAGGCAGATCAGTCGCAGGCTTCTGGACGGCCGCTCACGCTGGCTGCTGGCTACATACGGTAGCCCATGGCAACCCACTGCCACAGGGGCTGCAGCCTACGCCGTCACCGGCAACTCACGGCAGCCCAGCTCCAGGTTGAGCTGTTGTTCAGCATCTTAGCTGTAGAGGGCAGTGTCATTGGCCCTCATATGTGGGATCCGAACCAGGGCCCTCTGGCGTCCCAAGCCAGCTCTTAACCATCGCGCCACTCGGCCTGCCCCTACACTTTATCTTTTATGTTCCATTAAGAATATACAATATATGTCTATCTACTAATGAAACCTTTCTTTAATAGACTCTAAGACAAAGTATCATAAATGTAGGTTTTACCTTATAGGTGCCCCAGAATGGACAATTAAAAACACTCAGTGTAGTCGGGCCGGTGGAGTGGCTCAGTTGGTTAAGAGCTTGCTCAAGGGTTTGAGTTCTGAGCAACAGCGGTTCAAGTCCAGCCCGAGCTGAGCTGCCACTGAGCTACCAACAGGTGGCAGGATGGCTCAGCTAAAAAAAAAAACAAAAACAAAACCAAAAACACCCAGTGTAATTTCTTTTCCTTTAATGACTACTATGATGTATACATTCTATAAAGCAATGTTTCAAATATCAAATTCATTTTAATTAAAAGCTTGGTATGAAATAGTTTAATAAGAACTGAATCTATCCTTATGATTTACAGATCTGCCTTTAAAAGTTTTTAAAAACAGGGCCGGCCGAGTGGCATGTTGGGTAAGAACTGGCTTGGGAAGCCAGAGGGCCCCGGTTCAGATCCCACATATGAGGGCCAGTGACACTGCCCTCTGCAGCTAAGATGGTGAACGGCAGCTCGACCTGGGGCTGGGCTGCCATGGGTCACTGGCAACAGCGTAGGCTGCAGCCCCTGTGGCAGTGGGTTGCCATGGGCTACCGTGTGTAGCCAGCAACCAGCGTGAACAGCCAGCGTGAGCGGCCATCCAGAAGCCGGCGACTGATCTGCCTCGCCCGGGAAGAGTGCAATGATGGTGCCAGCTTGGGCCAGTGAAGCAACATCCTCCACAACTAGACTGAAGAACAAAACAACAGCAACTTGTCTGCTCCCCCTCCCCCAATTCCCCAATATAAAAAAGAAAAAATAAATAAAAACAAAAACCAAACAATGACAATTGTGCTTCTTACTAAAAAAATTGTGTTTATAAACCAGAAATGGTGTCCACTATTTAAAAAAAAAAAAAAGAAAGAAAGAAAAGAAAAAAAGAAACTGCTTACTTGTGATGAACTGTTAGCAAAACTCCAGTCCTCTACAGCTCACCACTCTGGAGCCTTATTTTTCTCTCACAGGAATATATTATGAAACTGATTTGTTAATTCGAAACACTTCATTTAAAATGCTACTGTATTACACAAGTATGTTATAAAACTCTATGGTTCATGATAAAATACTTCAAGTAATGAAAAACAAGAAATCAAGTTCACAATTGGAGGAAGAGTATTTTTTACGTCAATCCTTAAAAATAGTGAAACCATAAGCGATATTCTTAATTTATCCATCCTAAATTCATTTGGTATTTCTTTTAATTTCTTTCATGAGTAATTCTGGAACTAAATTTTTCATATTTTTAAAAAGGCTTTGCCTTGCACTGTGCATTAGGACAGCCACTAGTCACAACCCTAGTCTAAAACCCTAGCACACATAGCATGAAAAGTGAATGGAAAATACCTCATTAATAATCTTATACAGATTAAATGCTAAAATATTTTAGTATATTGGGTTATATAAAACATTAAAATTTACCTCACCAGCTTCTTTTATTTTTCAAGTGGGACTACCAGAAAATTTTTAGTTAGATATATGAGGCTTGCATTGGATTTCTATTGGACAGCACTGGCTTACCCTGCTATTGGCTAATTCACATCTCCAGAAAACATCTGATAATACAATCACTCGCTGTCATATCAAATTTTGAAGCTTTCAGATTTTCTTTGTTTCTAATTATGTATTTAACTCCTAAAGGAATTCTTGGGAAAGAAAGCTCATGTGATATTAGAAAATGGTTAAGATAAATGACCGCGATGAAACAAAATTTAATCAATGAAACGTACAGTCCTTTGGTTAGGATGATGGTCACTATACTGGTAAAAACCACAGGACTGATGGCATTCAACAAAATATGGAAATGTGATATTAACAATAAAAAAAAAACAGATGGAAACCAACAAATCTTGCTTATATCACAATCACTGCCATGAAACTCCATCTCATTTTATAGCCAGTCCCCACTGCCAAGAATATGCAAAATAAACACTCAATAAAACCAAAACTATGAAAGAGGAATCCTGATATCAAAGAAACACATGTAACAGAATAATGGACTTCAGGATTTCCAATAAAAGGACATATACACTCCTGTATATGTACAGAACAGTCCCTGGAAGTTACGATCCTAGTACCTCAGCAATGATTAAAAAATGAGCTACCTTGTTCTACGTGATGCATACTCTCTACAAAAATGGGAGTGTAATAGCAAGCTATGAATCATCAAGTGAGGGCTGTTGGCTGCACAACCAAAACCAAGCTAATGGGGGTAAAATACGGCCTACAAAAGGCTTATGAGATTAGCAGCAAATCATGACGTAGTAATGAGACAATGGCAGCTAACTAGAAAGTAGAACAAACAATACCAGAACTGGGAAATGAAAGAGAACACAGGAGAAGCAATAGCAACTAGCAGGCCATGGCTCGAATGAAATGTCGATGAATCTGGAAAAAAAATACAAGCACACACACTCTCTCTCACACACACACACACACACACACACACACACACACTTTTGGAACGTAAGTCTAACAGAAAAATAACTGTAATGGATTCTCAGAGCAGAAGTCTCTTAATAAGGAGAAATAAAATAAAATTTAACAGGAATATTTAAGATGCAATATCCTTAAAGAATGTAAATATTTGAACCAAACTTAAATTTGAGACTCAAATTTCAATTGCTAAAGTCTTTTCAGAGCCCAAACTACATAATCATTATATAACTACTCAAAAAAAGACAAGACTGAGGAGGAGAACTGGTTTGAGAAGAAAAATCTCTCTTGGTATAACAGTGTAACTTGCTGACTTTAAAATATATCTGGATTTTATTTAAAGGGGACTAATTCTCTCATTAAAATAAAATTCAATTTTATTTTCTGCTGGTCTTACAATTCCAAAATTAGAAGATCAAGATATTATTTCTATAAAAAGTCAAACTATTAATCACTGAAAACAATTTAAGTCATGAGACTTGAAATTCCAAATTACTTTGTGATTAAACACTTCTGTACTGTTTGATATCTGGCCATTTTATGAAAACTTCAGAAAGTAGGAATTTTGTAGAATAAATAAATCTTAGCTATATTGTCTTCACTTTGCCTTGTAGTTTCAATTAAATCCCACTTAAAAAGAACGGAAACTTAAAGAGTAAAAGGCACATTACTTAAAACAACCATGGGAACAGCTTCCTTCGTTTCCAAAAGACCAACGATACAATTCTAAGATTTCTCTGTGAATTCAGTGAAATAAGTCCTGACTTGGAAAATATCCGACAAAAAAGTTAGGAATTTTGATACTTAGGCAGTTAAAATATACGCAATGAATAACAACAATAAGAACTACATTAGAGGGGAAAAATAAATGTTAGAATGTTAGTTACAGTAGACCCAAAAATTTACTGTTTTTTTTTTTTTAAGGGTCTATTGTTACTGTGGCATAGAACTAAAAAAATAATAATAAAAGAAAAAAAATTAAAGTGTTTTCTACTAGAAACTATAATCAAATAGGTTACATTTATATGTTCCAACTAAGCTAAAATTCCAAATAAGATCACTTGAAGTTTAATAAATTTGTCTTAACAGCGTTTTTAAAATGGCCAAACACGTACATCAACATTACATGTAAGTTCTAAGTGAAGATAGAAAAAAATTGCTCTCCAAACCAAAGCTACACATACACACCTTCTTATTTTATATAAATGCTCCGACATCATTAAGATCACCCTACCTGTTTGGACCGAGGCCTCCCAGGAGAAAATTTCCTTTTGGTGATAGCGGGCTTCCCCATGCCAATTTTTGGAGTGACTGGGATGTAAGTGGTTGGCATGCTGTTTCCAACGGCAGCACTGAGAGCTGAGGGGTACCCGTGCGGCAGGTCATGGGAAGGCAAGTGAGAAGGAAGTGGTGGAGGGGAAGACACCGTGGCCCTGCCTCTGTCTCCTGCTGCTGACAGCGAGGACGCCAGCTCAGAGGGTAGTTTTACAGACCCGTCCTGGCAAAAACCATCCTTCCCACAACTCCCAGCTGCAGGAGCCATTTCAAAGTCCATAAATGCAGAGGACGGCTCAGGATTCTCTTTGTGTTCCCTTTCTTCTTGTACCCTTTCTAGAGCCAACTGTTCTTTAGGACACAAAGAAGTGCTTTCCTCACACGGGGGCACTAAGGTTTCTGGTGAAACAGTGACAGATTCAATTGCTTTGGGAGGCCTTGATTCTTCTGTGCATGTCGCCATCTTAGGTTCCTCGAACAACGGCAATGCCTCTTGCACGGTGATCTGGTGTGCAAGGACTTCAACGTTTTCTGTCACTTCCATTTTGTTTTCATTTTGATCTTCATCACAAACATGCATCACTTTAGATGACGTTTCCATTTTTTCATTATCAACTGCAGGAGCAATCTGATTTTCCAATTCCGGATTCATTTTATCTTGGGATGATTCTACAAAATTTGGAATATTTGTTATGTTAATTTACATATGAAAATTTAAATTTCTAACTATGAACAGATGTAAGACATTAATATCTTATGTCTGTAGCTTTGTGTTTAAAAATAATAGGCTTGGGCCAAAAGGGGGCAGGAAAGTTCCCAAAACATACTTTTGGTTAAATTATGACTTAAAACCTACAAAAACATTGCTTCAATAGAATCCCCAGAGTTTTAAGGTAATTTCTGGTAAGGATTTAAAATAGAATTACTTTGTAATATAATTCTATTATATGGATAACAGTTTGAGCACTTACAAAGGTATCTAAAATTTTGTAAGTGAAGTTACACTCATTTGACAGCTAGGAAAATGAGGCTCAGCGATATCACATGAGGTGTCCAAGTTAAAAAGTAAAGGCTATTTATTCTAGAATATAAAGATATATTGCAATAGCAGGCACCCCAGATGTAAATAAACAAAGCTCTATAGATTCAAATGAGTAATGACCACAGATAGAAAAGACTTATTTTATTAAGCTGTACCAGCTAACATACTCAATACATTTTTGGGATATAATCCTTCTTCCTCGTCATCTATAACCAAAGAGACTAATCTTAGCAAGTCAATAAATATAATTAAGTACCAGAAATATCTAGTCACTGACTAGTAAATTTTAAATCTACTAGTGTGTTAAGACCTTTAACCCAATCTTACTGAAGAGTCAAGTTAAAGAGGTCCAACTGACAGGAGCCCTAAGTGGCTCTACAAAGTACGACCATTAAAGATAAAAACTTGTTTCAAATACCATCAAGGTAATTTCTAAGTTACATTAACAGAAACACTAAGTTCCCCATTTACTATTTACCATGGTGAGAAATTTATCTACGTTCTGATATCAAAATCTTGCTTCTCATTCCTACTTTATTGAGAGTACAGTCGAAGATAAAGAAAAAACATCAAATAACTCATCTGATTGTACTAAATATGTTTAAACATGAAAATACTTCAAAAAATACTTAATATAAAAAAATAAAAAATAGATTTTTAAAATAGAAAATTAAACACACACGAAGAGTTAACACTTAAGGGTTTAAAACCAAAAGTACCTTCATTGGAGTGACTCAAGTGAAAAAATTTATCCAAATACTATATGAAGCCCATATCACGTGTAACAGAAGACCCATGACCTGAAGTCTCACTGGCTAAGTGGAGCCACATTCAGACCACGAGAATATTCTTTCTGTACTATGCCAGGCAGGGAGTATTAACGTAAACATGGAGTTCAATTATGGCCAGCTCCTAGGCTTATACAGTGATTTTAACTTGCCGAAATAAGGGACATTTGATTTAGCAACTCTTTTAGAGAATGCAACCTCCTTCAGAATTCCATCGCCAATTCTTCACAAGAAAAAGATCGCCTAAGTAAAAGATTTCACGACTGTCATGTGTAATGTGCATACAACAACAGTGAACAATTCTTTGGGATAACTAATGTGGAAAGTCAATAGACAGTGACTAAATGTGCATAGAAACCATAAAGGCATCATGCTGTAACTCGGTCAAATCAGACACGTGAACATATCGCTTACCAGGAGTGAGGGGGCCCTGTGTGCCGAGCCTTTCTGGTGGGTCCCTCCTCGGCTGCTCCCTCGTGAGGGTCTGAACTGCTGTGAATAACACATTTACGGAATCTCTAGCAAAGAGTCCAATTCCTCTAACTGCTCTCTCAACAGTAATCTGAGTAAGATTTTTATCCTATTGCCAAACGCCAATTTCCAATATAAGCATAATACATAACGCTATTGATTAGTAAGTCAGGTATGAAGATGCGTATGAAAATGAAATTAGGAATCTGATTATGCACTGTAAGATTTATTATTATAGCTTTGTCTTATTTTTCTTCACTTTACAGCATTATGAAGTATACCTTTTAATGAGAGTTGGTAAATATAAACGTAATCTCAAACAATTGGAGGCTTTTTATGTATACACTCAATCTATAAAACATACAATATCACATCAAAACTACAGAATGTCAGAGGACCCCAAGATTAGACTTAATAAGTAACTTTCCCCCAACCTGGTCTCTCATCAAGTTCAGATCCTCAGCTACTATCAATATTGCAAAAAGCTTAATTGAAACAGCATTGAAATAACCCTCAATGGGACTGCTGAGATGATCTAAAATAAATTTTTCATTATCTCAGCACGAAACATCTCATCATCAGCAACAGCTCTAGTTAGTAATTACAAGTATAACTAAAGAAAGAGAAAATAACAAATTGCTTTTTAATGAAAACCACTTGATCTCTAAACAAAGCACATATTTATGATTAAATCTGGACTACAGCTGAACTACAAATATACACATGCCCTTTCCCCTATTAATTTCTAAGGTTATTTTACTAAAAGCTCCTCCCTAAACAATTTCCTAACTACTACATATATCTTGGCTAATTTTTATTTAGGGTACTAACATTTTGGCAAACATTCACATACTCACTGTATGTACACATTTCCTTCAGGAAATAGACTGCATCCATATATCCGTGATCGCAAACACTCTTACCATCTGGAACAATTCCAGGCGTGGACTCCTGACTGCCGACATCTTTATTAACTGCTGGCTCCAGAAATACCACATGGCCTTCAGGTCCTTCAACTTCCATTTCATCGTGATAATCTTAACAGAAATGTATTTATTCTTTAGCTCAGAATGAGTTTTTCTGTTTTTGCTAACTAGGTCAACAATTGTTACTTTGCAATAACGAGAGTCAATTATCACCCAAAATGCCATAAATTCTTCTTTGCATTTTTCTATTTTGAACTCAATATATATTTCCATTTTTAAAAACATGGAAAGTATAGTGAATTAAAAAGTAACTGTCATTGTCTTATTTTAAAAGGATATTCCACAACTCTATACTGATGGCACCTGGAATCAAAGTATTCGTAATTAAGATGTGTCTATTTTAAACCCCTTGCAGACGATAATAGAGGGATTTTTCTAGATGTTGCCATTCACAATGATGAAAACGAAAAACTGTGTGGTAAGAAGGTTTGTTTTCTTTACCATTTAAGAATATTAGCATGTTTGTAACCAACAGTACACTACTAAAAATACCTGAGCAAAATTTTGGGCTCAAGAGGTGAGAATTAACATTTAAGAAGGGCATTATAAAACTAAAACTTGTTTGAAGTGAAATAACCCAGATTTTGAAGAGCAAAACTAGGTGATATTGCCAAACACTGAGAACTTCCACGCTGGCTCAAGGAACACAGCTGGAGTCAAGCACATGCATTCTGGAACTCAAACCGTAGGAGAGCAGTTGTGAAGAACTAGAGCAGACGACAGCTATCAGATTCAGTGATGACCACGATTGCAGGTTATTTAAAGGTTGAGAAATGAAGAATCAGATGGGATCTGACACACAAGAGTCCCTCATTATCGTTAAGATAGTACACTGGTGAAACGCTCAGGTTTACCTGTAGTGACTTCAGACATGGCCATTTCCACTTCATCACCTGGCTGCAATGGATCCAGCATCTCGGCCGGATATTGTAAGTGTTTACAATACATGCAGATGTACTCTTCTTTGAACTGAGAATCCAGTTCATGATCCGTTGGTTTGTCACATTCTAAATGAACCCATCTGCAGTGATAAATACATTTAAATAAAAATTTCTAATTTAAAGTCAAGTTTATAATATGGAAAAAAGAGAAGCAATTGCTGCAAAACTGATATAGGAGGGTTGAGAATGACAAGCAATTGGTGAAGGTCCTAGATAAGGAAGTGGCATTGCTGATGTCGTTAGAAGTGCTGACATATCCTTAAACTATTTCTTCTTTAATTTTCCCTCTTAATGCTCGTTTCTGGTCTTATCTTTTGCCCATTCACTTCTTGATGCCTTTTCAGATTCATGAAAAGGTAATTTAATTCCATCTGTAATATCGCTCAGTACTAAAAGGATTACTGGAGCGATAAAACCTTAGAGCTCAAAGATATATGGTAGAGCAAATGATCACAGACAGAAGAACTGACAAAGCACTTACATGGAGTAGCTCTATGTTCTTACCTTTTGCACATATTACAATGTAGCATGTCTTTCTGCAATTCTGGATGGTAGCACTTCCCACAGAAAGGACATAAGTTATCCTGCTGTTGGTAACAACTGTCACATACCAGGCAATTGTGGTGCCACTGAGAACTACATCGTGTCCCACACTCTACACATATTCTGCAATTCTAAACACCAAGAAAAATGAAAACAAAACCAGTTTGTTATGCATTTGTGTTGCAGTTCTGGTGCAAACCGCTTTGAAATCAATGAAGCATTTATAGATTATACATTAAGATTTCATTTTCATGACACTAATTTAGGGAATGTTTTTGGAAAAGCAGTTTGTTTTGAACATCTAATAAGGCATCACTCAATTTGCACTAAGACCTCCAGGAAAATGTAAACGGGACAGAGACATCCAAGAAAACATAAATAGGGAGGGAAGAAAACCAAGAACACAGCAATTCAAGCTTCAAAAGAGAAACATATTCCAGAATCAGGAAGCAGATCATGTGGAACATGGCTACTCAACCCCCTACTGCAGAAAGCAGAATGGTGTTGCTAGGGTTTTCCATTTGCATATGGATAGTTAGAAACTAAAAACAAGAATTCATGACCCAGTCCAAATGACTGTGAAATACTCCACATAAAAATCCAGTCATGGCGTCTGGTATTTTCATGCTGGAGAATGGCACTGTCCTTATCAAGCAGAGCTGTTTACGAAGTTCAAGGCCTCCCAGAGGCCAGCCAAAACCCTCTCTGCACCTGTGAGCTAGCCTGCCTTAAGCTCCTGGATACAAGGTTGATAAATCGTGGGGCTCTCATTAACCACCCCAACTTTCCAAACTAAAATAGAGATAACGAGCTGACACGAAAGATTTGCTGACGAAAAAAGAGAAACTAGCCTGAACTGTAGATCTGCTGAAGTCTTACAGATTTAAAATGAATGCACTCAAATATTGATGCAAAAATCCTGTATAAAGTTTAGCAAATAGACTGCGATACCAAATTAGGAAAATAATAAACCACGTCCAAGTGGAGTCTATACAAGAAATGCATGGATGGTTAAATATCAGAAAATCTATTAATAAAATTTAACATATTCTTAGGTCTGAGGAGAATAATTTCAACAGATGCAGAAAAGGCCTTTGGGGGAAAAAACCAAGGGCCCATTACTAGTCTAAAAAAACTCGAAAAAATAAAAATGAATGGGTATTTCCTTAATGTGATATGCAAACATACCTAATTCTAAAGCCAGCATTTTACTTAAGTGGGGAACCCTAGAGGCAATCCCACTGAGGTCAAGAACAAAGCAAGGATGTTAGGTACTATCTCCACAACTACTTAACAAGGCTCTGAAGCCCTCTGAAGCCCTCTGAAGCCAAGGTAGACATCGAAACAAATGGAAACAGGCAGAAGAAAAGAAAAGAACAAGACTGTATATTTGTGGATGATAAGATAGTACATTTGGAATATCCTAGAGAGTTGATCATAAATTCAATAATAGAATTTAACAAAGTAGCAAGACATAAAATAAGCAATGAAAAGTCAATAGAATTCACATACACAAATAATAACCAGTTAAAAGATAGAATGAATGAGAAAATCCTATTTATAACAGCAACAAAATAGATCAAGTATTTAAGAGTGAACTTAAGAAATGCCTGAAACCTATACAAAGGGAATTATAAACTTGCCTAGGAGACATTGAAGTAGTGAACAAGCACAAAGCCATGCCTTGTCCTTAGGACGTCTTCCCATTGAGAAGTCATTTTCCCCTAAATCAATTAATAAATATAAAGTGATCCCGATAAAAATTCCAGGGAGGTTTTTCATTCAGTTAGGTTAAGTTGACACTGGAGTTCATACGGAAGAATAAACACACAACCAGCTAGGAAAAACGTGCAACGGAAAAACTCTGAGGGGGACCAACATGACCAGATACTGCAAAGCCTCTGCAAATGCATCAGTGTGCTGCTGGTTCATAAAGAGACAGATCGATGGAACAGACAAGAAATTCCAGAGACAAACCCAACCAAATCCAGAACTCCAGTGTGGAATCAGGATCTCTTTTTACTGAATGGTTTGTGGACAAGTGGATAGTCAATCGGGAAAAGAAACATGACACCATACCCAAGCATCAACTCCAAATGGACAAAAGAAAATAAAATGATGCAAAAGCAAGAAGAAAATATGAACTCTTCTATAACCTCAATGTAGGAAAAGGATAATTTTAACTCAAAATTCCGGAAGCACTAGAAGATTAATAAATCTGGCCACATAAAAATAAACTTTGTGTGGCAAAAAAAAATATATAACATAAGCAAAGTCAAAACGAAAATGACTATCACTGGAAGAAAATACGCGCATCACGTAACACAGACGAAGGCCTTATATTCCCAATACAGAAAGAACTCTTAAATTGAGGGGTAAAAAACCCCAAAATCTTCAAGAATAACAGGCAAAACATGTAAGATCAAAATTACCCTTAAACATATGAAAAACTCATCAACTTCACTCAAAAGAGAAATGAAAATTAAACTACACTGAGATACCATTTTCACCATAAAATAAATAAAAATTCAAAAGCTGACATGACAATCTGTTGGCAAGATGTAGGAAATAAAATTCCCTCATACATGCTGGTGGCCATGTGAACTGCTTGCCACAGCCCCCAGGAGGGACTGTGACCACAAACTACACAGGCATGTACCCACCCAGTCATCCCCCTTGCAGGAATTCATCCTAGAGATTCTCTCTCGACAATTCAAAAGTTCCTTTGCACAAAGTTACTGCCTACAGAATCATTTGTAACTTAAAATACTGAAACTAAGCATAGGACATTGTTTGAATAAACTATGGTACAAATATACAATGCAGTAACTGAGAGGGACAGAGAGAAAGAGAGAGAGGGAAAGAGAAACTGACAGTGACTTCCATATTTTTTTAAGTGAAAAAAACCAACATACAAAAAAGCATATATGCTACCTTCAGTGTAGGAAAGGGAAATAATATATCTGCTTATCATTACAAAAAAATACAGGAAGGATGAACCAGTTAGTTACCTACAAGAGCAAATGGGGTAGTAGTCATACGGGGGAATCAATAATTCTGGGGAGAACTTTTTAGATAACTTTGACTTTTGAAAACATTTCATATCCTATATATTTTTTAAAATTTAATCAATAAGGGAAATAAAAGCTGTTACTGAGAGCAAACTGAAGTAGGTCGGTTTACTGGACTGAGCAACTGAGTCTGTGTGTCGGTGTCGCTGAGACCCAGGCTCTTACTGCAGAATGCACATGCAAGAGCAGGAGATGGCACAGGAACTGGGATCGGGACGTGCTGGTGTGAATTCGTCATTTGTAAATTGTGTGTGTGTGTGTGTACGTATCGTACACATGTATGTGTAAGTACATATACACGCATGTATTTCCTGCCCCATCTGCTGAAAGGGAAATGAAGAAAACACCCCCACATCCCACAACCCCCAAGTCCCCCCAAGCTCCCTAGCAGTGAGCACACGTAGTGCCCGTTTGCCACTAAAGGCACCCAGGCTACTTATTGGAAAGACGGGTTCCAGGGTGGGTGCAAGGTGAGCTGGGGAATTTCTGATAGCCAGCAGGTAACGGAGTGCTCAAACAAACAGTGAGGGTGCGTCAGGAGGGCACAGGAGCCAGCTGGGGGAGGCTACCAAAAGGGACAAGCTGAGCTCACCACGAATTAGCTACAGGAATGTGTTACAGCCTCATCTCACAACCAGCCAGTAAAACCGCATTAGGCAGCGGGTCCTAAGTCTTGGAGGAAATTCTGAGGGAGGTCTTCACGTGCTCCTCAAGTGCCTGCTCACACGCTGCTCTATTGGATACAAGAGAGAAAACGGGAAGCGTGGAGAAACTGGACAGCAGCTCAGCGGATTATCAGAATTACCATCACCCACGAGGGGTGTGTCCAGCTGCGATGCCCTGAGAAGGGCACGTCACCACTCAGGCAGTATTCTGGCCAAGACTGCAGAGCTCGGTATAATCATGAGGAACTATCAGACAAAGGGAGGCAAGTTCTATTTGGGGAAGAGAAAAAAAAAAAAAAAAAAAAACCAGGTATGTGGAGGAGAAACTAGATTCTCCAAAAATGTCATTAGCAAAAAGACAAAGAAGAGCTTAAGAACAATTTTCCAGATTCAAGAAGTCATAAGCGATATCACAACTAAAGGGACTATCAAACCCTAGACTAGATCTTGGATGTGAAGGGAGAAAGTGCTATAAGGGACATGAGATCGACAAAAACTGAAACATGGATGGCACATTGGATGAAAATACTGTATTAATGTGAACGTATGAAGCGGATAACAGGGCTGCAGTGTATGTCGTTTTCCCTCAAAGGGTGCAGGGCAAAAAAATTCATGGAAGGTGTGGGGGAGGCGGAAGGGAGTGAGGAGACAGGGCCAGCACAACGACCCAGAAACCCTATCAGTGAATCTAGTCAAAGGCCTATGGAGGGTATTATTTTTATTTTTCTAACTTTTAAAGTTTGAAATTATTTCCAAATAAAAGTTTTTTTAAATGGGTAACATACCAACCCACAAGCGCTCTTGAGAGAAACAGAGCGAGGAAACCTACCCAACACTGGGTTGTCTACAAGGATCCTGGGGAGACACCTGATCAGCAGCAGCCCCCAGACTGAAACCCCTGGGGAGGCCCTTCAGTGCCCCTGCCTGCGTCTCCAGGGGCCACACACGAGGCCCTCAAATGGTAAATAAACGCGCCAGTTATGACTAAAGCCTGTGGAGATCCACGAAGGAATTTAACAGTAAAGGAAGATCATTTTACAAACTGCTGAGAGGAGCTTTCCTCTTAGGTGAGTTTCCTAAAAACTCACCTCAGGCATTACACTGGGCATCAGCTCACTAAACCCAAAGCCCCAGTGAATGAGGTACCAGTCACATTCTCCACATGAAGCAAATTGGCTTAGGGAAGTCCAATTATCGCCAAAGATCCTGTACTTAGTAACTGGAAAACCTAATCTTTTATGCACGTTTAATACCTCCAAAGAACCGAGTTACACACTACCCAATCATATGCTCAGCCGTATTATAAATGATCCCATCACTGTGACAGAGGAGCGGACTTCCATAGAGAACGAATTAGTAAGTGAGCAGGAAGAACAAAAGGAAGGCTGAGAACCT